AGGTAGATTTTGCATGTTGTGTTTTTTTTCTTCTTCTTAAGATATATTTTAAGAACAAATATGTCTTCAGGATAGAGGAGAGCAGAAAATAAAAGCTCTGAATTCCTCTGCTCAGTAGGTTTTTAGTTGTAGTATTTGTCATATATAATATGAAACTCAGTATAAATAAATTTAAATATCTTTTATCTATTTGTATACTTTTTGTCAAAGAGATTACATTTTCAGAGCAAAATAATTGGTGGTGTTTGTTTCCTCACCTTTTTCTATGGGCTGAAGGCAGTAGTTATATGCCTGTTCTATTACTCTTTTGAACAAGGACTGGATCTACACTAGGCTTTAACTGTAGTTCCAAATAATTCCCATGGCAGGTGAAACTGCTTGTTGTCTGTCCTTGCCACATTGTCTCTCCCTTTTTATTCCAGAATGCTCATGATTTGCTTTATTTCAGCTGTTCTCCTTCTTGCACTTTAGTTGGGATGTATGCCTGCTGCTGTCCATGCCTTCCCTGTGGGGCTCGGCCAGCAGAAGGGCCCCATAAGGGTTTGGGGTCTGCAAAGTACAGCAGCAACTCAAAGGCCATTCAGTTGCCTCCCTGATTCCCTCCCCACAGCTTAGAATAATAGAATAGTAGAGTTGGAAGGGGCCATGAAGGCCATCGAGTCCAACTCCCTGCTGTTGCAGGATACCGTGTTACAGCATCCCACTCAGATGGCTGCCCAGTTTCTTTTTGAAAGCCCACCAACTGCTCTTTCTAGTTTGTGAATGCACTCTCCCCAAAGACTGTGCAAAGAATGCATGTCTATTCAGAATTAACTCACATTATCTTCCACATCTAAATCCCACCAACTTCAGTGGAACTAACTTAGAAGGAAGTCTGCACTGGAGGGAGTGATGCTTGCGTGTGGGTGGAGGGAAGGAGGTGTTGGTCTTACTGGTTTCAAAAAACAGGCAGGCGTAAACACATGGAATAGGAGGAGCTTCATCTGCCCATATTCACATCTTTGCGCCCACACACAGCTAATTGAGCTAAAAGCAAACACAAAAACAAAGGGCACTTAAGGGGACATTTCCCTGCATACATTACATATCCAATTCTTCATGGCATGTTCTCAAGTAATGACAAATGTCATCAAGAAAGCAACACCTGCTATTAGTGCATGCGTGTGTGTGAGGGACATGAGGGGAAAACAGCACAAAAACTATGGATATCCCACAACAAGCTGTGCCATGTGCACAAGGAGTAAAGAATGTTGTTTTCAATGAGCTCTTAATGAAATTAGGTTAGGTGTATTTCTAGCCAATGTGTGTTGAGGTTTTTATTAACTCAATTGTAAACAGTTATGTAAAAAGATAGCAAAAGTCATGTTTTACTTGCTTTATTGGACAAGAAATGTTTTTGATTATTAAAATGTTGCAGCCCAACACACAAAGGATTTAAAAACCCTATATGCCCTCTCTTGCATTCATGTGTAAAAATTGCATTGTGTAAAGCGTTGTCCTGATCCTGTGGGAGAACAAAGCCAGTCCGCCTAAAATGCCTCCACCATCCAGTTGACTGGAAAGGGGTGTGGGACATTTTATTTAGCATGTGCATCTGAGTAGAAGGAATTCATGCTAAAAAGGAAGTCAGATTATGAGAATTGTTAACAACAAATAATAATTTCCCACCAAACTCCTAATGGGATGTTGAACAACTGTATACACATGTTCAAAGTGCCATAGCTCATCAAGAAAACAAACGGAGTGGCTAAGAGTGGAAAGGATTTGTCAGTGGAGGGCAAAAACAAGCAGAAAACTTCTGCTGCATTGGTTTTAAATCACAAATCCACATAACATCTGCTTATAAACAGGTATAAATGTTTTCCTCAAACAGAAATTGGTTGCACTTAATGAGAGGGAGAATCGAGTGCTTTTTTCCCCCAAACTACAAGTCTTTTAAAATGTTAGAAACAGCTGACAACCTCTAAGAATAGACTGTGACCTCTTTACATTTTCTTTTATTATACTGTTAATTAAATTTTACCCTGTTATTACTTACTAGTCAACTGATTTAATTGGAAACAAATTTCAGTCAAGATAACTAGGCTGACATAATTTAATACAATGCTGACAGATGGTTTTAAATATAACTTAAATGAAAGGAACATTAAGAAACGGCAGTAGGGAAAAATAATGTAAGCGGCTTTTGTTTGTTTTTTGTTTTTAACTTAATGTGGAAGAACTGGCTTTTTACCATATATAAAAGACAAATGTGTTTGTTGGCATGCATGCTTTTAGTAAATCAACTGCACTTTATAATTATTTGCATTCCTAGGTTATAATGTGTTTTATTTTTGTTCCATAAAGCAAATGTGTGGATGTTTTATTATATTTTATTATTACGGAATGATTTATTATAATGTAGAAAAATGGAAGGTGCTAAATAAATTCCATTAAAAAGAAAAAATACCAAAGAAAAGAGAACATGAAAACAGCATAGAGACTAGGCTTCTCTTCCAGTTCTTTGGAAAAAGAGTGACTTGGGCCTGAACTACGCATTGGTTCAGAGCTTGGTGTTCCGAGCAAGAGCTAATTTTCTTCTGGTAAAGATGCTGCTCAGCCCCATGATTTAGAACAGTGCTATGCTGTGGAGCTTGGAGGGTGTCTGCTCTCTTTTAATAGGGCCATAGCTGCAGGCTCTTCTGAATTGCAGTGAGTCATCAAAGGGAAATGTGCCCATCCTGCCTCATGTGGTTAATAGCACCTATGGAAATTTCTGCTGAAAGCTGAAATTGAACTGTAATGACAATTGCTGAACTGGGCACACTTAGAAGGGATTTAGACAAATGGCAAATAAGGTTATCAATGGCTACTGGCTTCCTGTGTATTACTTCCACAATCAGAGGCAATATGCCTCTGTATGCCAATTGCTAGGGACTACGAGTGTGGTGGTGCTTTTACTCTCATGTCCTGCTCTCAGGGCACCTGACTGGCCACTGTGTGAACAGAATGATTAACTAATGACTAACTTTTGGTCCAATCCAGCCTGGCTTTTGCTATGTTCTTTTAAATATTTAGAAAGAAATTTGCATTATAGCTCTTTTCTCTCATCCTTTGGGTAATGTCACCTTCCTAGATTTGAAGTACCTTCTATACAGCTATTCTTGAAGTGTGAAAATCTCTTACAAGTTCACTTTCTTGCAAGGGGTAACCTTGTGGGAAAATATTTGCCTTAGTGTGAGTAAAGAACATCTTTATTTTTATTGTTGAGAAAGTATTGGCATCCCAAGGCTGATGGGAAAACAAATTTTCAGAGAGGAGGTGGTCATCCAGCACAAATAGTCATTTCTGAGTAAAAATGGGCACAATGTAAATAAATTCAAGCAGGTAGGACAGGACATTAGCAGAAGAGAAGGTTATAATTGTATTTTAAGTATGAATGAAAACATTAGTTACACAGTAAACCAGACTGCATAATTCAACTGATTACTGTTGAACTGTCTAATTTAGATTATGCTAGAATGAGTAACTTAAAATTCTTCTTCTAGGCCCTCTGTCTTTGTATCCCATTTCTATTTCACCACAAGGTGCTAAAAGAATGATATGTACTTCAGGTGTAAAATGGATGTGGACATTTTCCTATGTTTTTGGAGAGGAAGTAATTTCTGTTTTAGAACAAATGTAATTAATCTTTGTGCATGAGTGTATGCAGGCTTCTTGCTACCAAGTTCAGAATTAAGTATCTACTGAAATTAGAGTAGAAGTCTCTGTCAAACATTATGGATATGCTACCAAGTCTCCTTTCTTTTGATTATAGCTATTATTTCTACAACCTCCATCAACTGATTCTTAGAAATGTGATATGGCATATTTGACTTCCATCCTCTTGCTTGCTTGCTTGCTTTCTGCAATTAATTCTTTGAGCTGGGAAATAGTTGTGTATATTGACATTATATGCATCATTGCTCTTGGAACTTAGTTCTTACAAAAACAACTAAGAATTCATCCATCTGGCGTATATTGCAATGTGAAGTCTCAGTTTTCTACTGTTCTCATTGCAGTCTCTGGAAAGACTTCTGTAATAACAATGAAAGCAGTGATTTATTATAATTCAAATTGGACTCTCTGTCATGTGCTCTTTACCGCATTAATATTTCCTATGGGAAAATATTTTCCATGTTTCTTATGGAAAATATTTTCCATGTTTCTTATGGAAAAATAGACAAACATATAAGGAACTGTATTACACTTAATATGTAAATTATACATTTCAGGGGCATTGCAACTACCACTAGCTGACAACTTCCCCTTCCTCATTTCCCAGAAAAGGCTGAGTTAAAGCAGGAAGTGCAATGTGATGTGAGATGTCATGTTTGGTGTTTCCATGCTTCCACTCGGCATCCACCCAGGAAATTCTGATTATGTTACATTTCACATCTTGTTTTACTGAATGTTGCTCAGGAGTGACGACTTCAGAGAGATTCCTGTAATGCCTACTGTCCATTTACTCAAAGAAACACCTTCTTTTACTGCTTTTGGTTCTCTAGTTTCTGTGCTAAGTCTTCCTAGTTGCATATTGAAAACTATAGATTTTTTTGGGTAATAGGAGTCCTGTACGATAGAATGTTTATCTCTATCCAATGAAAGCTTTTGTATAATTTGCACTAAATGGGCTTGTCAGACTTGATGTCCATGAGACCAAATTAGTTCAATATAACACTTTTTTCTGCCTTACAAAAATAAATTATGATGTTGAAATGGATCTTTGATGTGTGCTTTGCATTCTTCAATATTGTTACTATATTGCATTTCTGTCCTGCCTTTTTCCTCTTGTGAAGAACCAAAGGCAACTAACATAGTTCCATTTTCTTCTTACAATAACAATCATGTTGATATTGTGTTTCATGGCCAAGTGGGAAGTAGAACACTGGTTATACAATGATTTGGTACTGAATATATGAAAATCTTTGCTATGTACTATTTGTTTTGGCATTCATCTTGTATTCTTAACTCTTTTTTAGATTATAGCTTTACGGGAACAAAATGCACACATTCAAAGGAAAATGGCAACAGGGGAAGGCCCTACTGACTCAGAGCATATCAAAGGCATGGAACCTGGTCAAAAAGTTCATGAAAAGGTATAAATCACAGCTTTCTTTGAGGGTCATCTTGACTGTGGCATAGTGATTCTGTTTCTGTTTTCTGGGATAAACATAACATGACTATGAGGAATGCTGGGGACACAGCTGCAAAGTGCTCCCCTAACCCTTTGAGCTGATGACAGGCAACTTTGACCCATCTTATACAGTATGCCCTTATGCCCTTTTGCATAGATATGAAGCTGTGTTCCTGTTCCTAACAAATCAATGGCAAAGAAGCAGCGTCCTGTACCAAGCTAAAGAAATGTTATACGTCAATAAACTTCACAGCCACATTAAACTAATTTGTTATTATTTAGATGCTACACAAAACAGGATTTCCAAAATCGAATGGCCTATTTCTGTAATCCAAATATCTCTCCATGAGAGTTTATCACCACTGAAACATGCTCATCATGTTGCTTATTTTTTATACATTACATTTCTGAGTATGTACATGAAGGTGCTGTTGTATTGTAAGGAAATATGAGTAGTTAATGAAAGCACAAGACATAACAATGATGGCAGTAAAGACTAGTATGGGTACAAATCTTACATGAAGTACTAAAGGCAGAGACTTCTTGGGTAGTAAGTGAGGATTGATTGGCCTAATGTGTCCTGTAATATGAGAACAGGGGTTAGAACTGGGATTTAACATCCTGGTCTAGTGTATTTTCCCTTTCCTCCTTTTAATGTAAATCTTAGGAAGAGGCCAAGGAATAGGGTGGGATACCAGTAAAATTGAGTAAGTACACTAATTTCCAGTACCTTGACTTACCCAACAGCAAAACTCCAACCCGATGTGCATTGACTTGAGGATGAATCCCACTGAGCCAGAAGAGTTTAACGAGTGGGAAAGCACTCGGTGCACTACTTGCCTTTCCACTTGGGCTTGGTCATAGTTTCTCATCTGACATTACAAGAGGAACACATTTCTAGTGTTTTGTTTAGCATGAGATGTTTATTTCCTCTTTTTCTTCTCTTAACCAATATTATTGTCTTCAGTGTTTTCACACCATAAACTTCAGCCAAACCCCAAATAAAAAAACAAAAGTCATCAGGTTGCTGGCATTGGTAGAACTTCTGCTTAAATCTCTAAATGTCATTTGCTATAATGCATGAAGAATTCTGACAATAATTTGATTTCTAATGAACAAAATGTAATAATTCAACAAGAAATCATGTTTTCCAAAGTTATATTAGTGTTAGAATGCTGTTATTAGTGTTCATATTTCTAGATGTACATCTCTGTGCACAGAGAGCTATTTCCTTTAAAACTTTTAGATATATGTGCAAAGTGATTCTAGAAGCTGGCTTGTATAGGTGGGTCTTAAAATAGAATTTAGAGGAAGATATGCTCTCCATTGCATCATGAATGTGCCATGTTATGTATACTAGATACCATTTGTATGTTTCTGATTGCTGGAGTGCACAATCTAGTATATGTCATCTCTTCAGACAGAGAAAAATAAGAATTAGTGTGAACAGCCTGCTCTGGATCCAAGGTTGTCCCCATCTATTTTGAAAGAGAATGAGGAAAATATCATGGGTCGGTGCATGGAGACTGTAGGTAATAGCCGAAGGTGTTATGCAGATATACCTTAAACAATTCAAAACTGTGTGTGTGTGTGTGTGTGTGTGTGTGTGTGTGTGTGTGTGTGTGTGAGAGAGAGAGAGAGAGAGAGAGAGAGAGAGAGAGAGAGAGAGAGAGAGAACTCTATCTAGAATATATTCCAGATGTATTTCAGGAAAAAACACTTGTCTCTCAGTGATTGATAAGAAATTTAATCACAAATAAATCTGAAAGAGAGTATAAATTGCCCTAACTGTATTTCATCTGATGAAGCTATCAAAGGCAAAGTGTAATGTAATTATTTTTTAGGGGTTTATCATCTTGGTAGTTTCTACCTCATTTTCTAACTTTCTAGTAGCACTTCAGATGTCCCTTGCTTTGTAGATAATTTAAAGGGCAACTGTGGAATTTGTTTGGTTTAATATCAAATTTGTTCAAATTGATTGTCTACATATTTCAAAGCAAGTAAATTACTGACTTCTTTTCAGCTTTTGCGTTTTTTCTTAAATAGCGGCACAATACAATAAGTGAAAATAGAGGCAAAGCACTGTGGAGTCTTCCTCTGAAAGGGTCATATAGGGAGCTATTGCTGACCTTCAGAGGTCGATTATAACTTGGAGAAAATTTGCTTCAAGGAACTGATGCTATAATTTTGTGGTTTATTAATTTTTATGCTTGATGTATGGAACATAGTTAAGTCATGATTCTTGGCCTCAAAGGCTTCACATTCTAAATTAGAAAATTAATATAATCCTAGTCCAAAATGCAGCTGTTCGTAACAATATGGTTTATTCTACAAAGCAATGCAGATACTGTATTCACTTTCAAGTGCTTTACTTCAATCCATGGATAATTATTGAGAGATTTTGCTGAAGAATGATGTGTATGGAATTTGATCATAACATCTGCTTGTTTGGCACATAAGAAGGGCAAAAGGATTTACAGGGAATGGAAAACGGACAAAGGGAGAGGTAAGGGGTTGGAAGCAAAATAGGGGAAGGGGAGGGTGAAGCAGATTGAAAGTTGTTAGAAAAGCTGCATGTCGAATGGTGAAGTATCCTAAGTAAAAATGGAAATGGTCGACAAGACCACATGCCAACTGTATGGGAATAACGTAGGGGTGAGTGCAGCTATACAGAGGTGTACCTTGTGAGTCATAGGCAAGGAATAAATGGAATGTGGTCAGCTAAGATATTTTTAAGCTTCACATGTCAACTGTGGAGACTAGAATGTCTCTTGGAATCTTTTCATATAAGGCAGATTGTCATCAGTAGCTTTAATATGGAAATCCACCCAAATTGGTGTCCTGAACAAGATAAAATGGTATTTTATTTTATTGTTCTGTTGGTCACCTCTACTGTTTTTTTTAATCTGTTAGTCAGCTGAAACTTTTGAATCAGGGAGCACAATACTTGAGAAGAATAGGCACGCAGCTTGATTGTGTAATAGTCCAGAGAACAGGCAGCATAGCTTTATGTGCTGGCTGTAGCTCTGAAAACAGTTGGCAATCTGTACAAAACTTAAATGTTCATTAAACTGGGGGAGTAGAAGAGGCTGTGTGTGTGTGAGTGTGTGTGTGTGTGTTAATTTCAGGATTATGGACTGGTGGCAGGTGCATAAACACAGTGTCTCTTGATATGTAGGTCATTTGCAAGTTTTATGATACAAAAATGTTAGCAAGGCCATATAGGAAACCATTTAAAAGACAGGAAAGCAAATATGTCTCTAGAACGATACACGCAATGTGCAGCCCAGTATGCACTTAACTCCCACTATATTCAGTAGTTTTTTGCAAGTTACTATGCATAGAATTGCAGCTTTGACATTGGGCATACTGGCTTTACTGAAGATTACTTAAGTAACAATACAAGATTATTAAAGTATAAATAGCTTTACATAATCAAATTTAAAAATAAGTTATTTGCAAGCAACTGCAGAGAGATCAGACAGATAACACAAGAGGCATATCAACACTTTACCTCCATCAATATCTCCCCGCCTCCCCATACATCGCTAATGTCTACTTTCTAGCCCCAACAGCATGTGGAGTTTTTAATGCTGCACTCATTCATTTTGATAGGGGACTTGGGTTGCAAAGAAAATTTTAGCTCTGTGCTCCCATATGTTTACCCTCCATTTAATTACTGATACATGGTCTATGCAAACGCCAGATTGTGGTCGCTGCTGTGCCTTTGATCCAGAGAGAGAAAAAAACCAACAACTCATTATTTGTACTGCTTTCCATTTCATGATACTTAGAAAAGAAAGTCTTGGCTGTGGTCTTGCTTTCTCTTTCTTACAAACTACTGGCTACTATAGTTCTGTATTTGTTGTTTTGTCTGAAGTTCTTCCTCAGTTAATATCCATTTCCCTCTGTAACACTTGTTACTCTGAATACTTCTGAATGTTTTTCTCATGGCATGCCTTCTTTGTTATAACTAAGATCATCTCTTGATTTCAAATTTTCTTAAATACATGTTCATCTTTCTCTTCTTGCTCCTCCTGGCTTTGGAAAGCTATCCATACTTTTTCTCCTTAACAAATTTGCTGTGCTTTTGTCACATAGGTGCTGGTTTTAGTACTCCACCACTCTCTTTTCCTTTTCATTTTCCAAGATAACTTACAAAGAAAAGTCATGTCATTCAGACATACCGAAATGTTGGTTCATAACATGATAAAAGTTGCTTACTTGTAGTTTTCTCTTTCCCTTTTCAGAAATATTTGACCAGTGTGATAACTTGTATAGAGTAGGAGGATCAGAAGCCTACAGCTCTTAAATGACTGATCTCCTTAACACAGTTCATGCATTGAATTAACTGCTGACTTTTTTGCATGTTATGAGAACCTAGCTTTTTAAAAAAGCCATTTGGATTGGTTAGGAAGTAGCAGGGTTTTTTTTTTTTAAGTGATTGAGCACAGTAGGTATGCATGCTTGGATGCCAAATTATTAAAGGAAATAAATGCATGCCTTGGATATTTAAATTCTTAATTTAGGAAAGCTAGTACTATGTAATCAAGTTTCAACTGAGTTTTATGACCACTTAATTAACTGATTTACAAGGCTCAGCACATCCCAGAAAAATAAAATGTAGGCTGTTTGGGGCTTCCGGATTAGCAAGGCATTGGTCTATAGGAACTGCTTGGTTTCAGCTACCTATAAACCTTGTGGCCAACATTAGTACATAAGTGGAACCTTAGAAAATAGCTCCTGCAGGCCGGAACACCTCTGTGCTGAAACCTAAAGGCAATTGATCAGCTCTACCCACACTGACTTAGAAGTAGAACCCCATTTAAAAAGGAAATCAGTATGGGCTGTAGTCATGTGCACCAACAGATCCATGTGCCTGGCCCCCTAAAACAGAGTATTGGGAATATGTTCTAGTTAGAAGTGGTAAGATGCCCACCGATTGTTTGTTTAGTATATTGGATATTCAAACAGGACTGAGTATACTTTATACTAAGATGTATTATCTGATGTTTTCTTTACATGCCATGGATGAAGGAGAAGCAGGGGTGACAGGAAATGCCTCACACTTCTCCATCCATACTTCCTTCATGCCTGAAATAGGCTTTCTAAAATGCACAACACTAATTTTGGACCCGATAAAGAGGCCTATCACCAGGAAGTGCAAGGTGATTGTGCAGATGTGACCCATCCAAATTCATGATTTGCATAACACTATTAACAATGCTGGTTGCAGGTGAAGAGTATGGTAATTCAACACATCTGGAGGCCCCAGTTTGTGGGAACTTGCTGATAAGGTCTTGTTCCTGGTATCTGATAGTCTATTGATGTTCTGTATTTTGTATAGAGTTACAAGTGCAATTCCTCAAATCTATTGAAATTGACAGCAGTACTGATGTAGTATGTATATGACCTGACTAAAACAGTGTTAGTCATAAGCTGTATCGGGGATCAAGTGGAATTCTTGAGTGAAGTGAAATAATCATGCAAGTCTTTAGACACATGCATCTTACTGTTGTTTTTCACCATACTTGGCTAACTGCTTTTCACCATCCTCACATATTATCACCAGGGAAATGTTTTCATGGAAATCACAGTGGCAGCCTCTATAAGTGTAATACCTTCAGAATATAGAAATACTTTCTCACAGAAGCTGCCACTATGAATTTCTAACTAGACTTAGTAAACCACTCATGTAAGCAATGACTTGTGAAAATGGATATAATGCATGAACCAATGCCAAGATGTAAAATCAAAGGATAGTAGTTCATCTGCAGCAGTTATGTTCCACAGTAATAGCCCTCTGAGGATAGGTGGGGCATTATTATATTTACATGCTAATTCAGCATAGCTCAATGCTGTAGTTCACATAATGGAATTCTGGTGCTTCATTGTTTAACCTAATGAGTATCAAACTCTAGGGTAAAATAGTTGTCTATAGTAATAATACATAGGTGACCTAGCACACTTAATAGATTGTTATTTGTGAGGTGTGGAAGATTAAGCTGTCTTTAATATGACTGTAAATGCATGTATATACATCTATATTTACAAATAATGTTAAGATAAATTGTTACAGAAATTTACAGCAAATAATAATGCTGTGCACTTTTCTTTCCTTGCCATTCATTCATCCATCGCAATTACCTATAAAACTACCAAACTGGCAAGGCAAAACACAGCAAATTTGTAGGCATGGGTGCTAAGATTTGGAGGCAATTCTCAAATGAGTTTTCTAGATTCTCTACAGTATTGAGAATGTGTCTTTCTCTGCAACAGAGGAAGGTGCTGAGTCTGAATCATACTTGTTGATGTTTCCCTTTTATAAGAGGACCGAAAGCAAGAGAGACTAGATTTCCATTTTTTTTGTTTTGCATGCCACATCAGTGTTTTGCTTCTCCTGTATCCTAGGGCTTATATAAATCAAGCAAGGTTTATAACATAGATGGGCTACCATCTGTTTCATAATAAACATTTGGAGTGTGGTGATCGTGCACTTTTGTACCTGGGCATGATCTTTGCCAGAGAGAGTAATACATCACTGCACATCTCCCTTCCCAAACAATTGGAGCAGGAGCATGTGACGTGGTCAGTTCCCAAGTTTCTTGTTATGTCTTTTCACAACAGGACACTTTGAAAAGGTGCTGGGGAAAACCTGAGCAAAAGTTGTTCCTCCTCCAATCCTTCAGGTGTGACAAAAGAGCAAACGTTGCAGACAATGGACTTTGAAAATAGTTGTCTATATTACTGTTTATTTTAAATTTGCTTGGGTTTGTTAGGAGTGCTGCTGTTTAGACCCTTATCAAAATGTACATGATCAACAATTTATTTTGTTTAACTAATGTAGAAGTTGGGATAATGGATTTATGGCCACTCTATATTTCATAAACCTCCTTGTCCCTTTCCTTAAGCAGCTGGATATTACTCGTTTAATGTTAGCGTTGTTGGTTTTACAGCGGCTGTCAAATGGCTCTATAGACTCAAATGATGAAACCAGCCAGTTGGTGGAACTGCAGGAACTCCTTGAGAAGCAAAATTATGAAATGGCTCAGATGAAGGACCGTTTGGCTGCACTGTCTGCAAGAATTGGAGAAGTAGAGCAAGATGCTGAGACAGCCAGGAAAGACCTTATTAAAACCGAAGAACTGAACACCAAATATCAGAGAGACATTCGAGAGGTAAAAAATTCATAGCATCTTCATTTGTGTGTCCATCCATCCACTGACTGACTATAAAGCCATTATGTGTCATTGGCCCAAAGATCTAGAAAACTATTTTTTGTGTACTTAGTGAAATGTAGTCCTTGTACTACATATACAGTCAATTGGAAAAATATTTTTAAAGGTATTTTCTTTACAATTCAATGTCTGTGCCAAATTAAGACTTTTTACCTACATACAACATGGATGAACATGCTAAGAACACCCAAGGGGTGTATTTGCACACCTTTGGCTCACCAAATAAAGAGAAGGTTATTGGCTATGAGACATGTTTCAAAGAGGAAGAAAGAGGGAAATAGTTTTGTGGGTCTTCAGAGAAAGTCCAGAATCTCTGTGGCAACCACTATATAAATAAAATAAAATTATACATAAAGTTTTGCAATGTGGAGTCATCCACTATGGGGAATACCTTAAAGAGGCTTCTGGACAATTGATGTCTCATATATATTGACCTATGACATCATGTGGGAAAACAGCAAGACAGTGTCTACTGCCAACAGCTCACCTGTTGTTCAAAAACTCATAGCCTGTTTGAGTGGATATTCGGTTCCAGTTGTATACTGTGCCTAGCTATGACGCCTGTTACAATGCGGTAGCGCACCTTTTTTGATAAATCAACACAATATGCGAGTAAAGCCTTTTTTCTAATCATCTCTGTAATTTTGATGATTGCCATATTAAAGGCAATTGGAAAAGAACAGAAATGGAGGAAAAGAAGAATGTTCTCTAATTTTTTGTTAGTTTGGATGCTTACAATTATGTAAACTGTTCAGGGAAATACTTTGAACAAGTAAGGGTTCCTCTGAATGTTCAGATTTGTAGGAAAGGAACACTACCTTCTTCATACTGTCCAAAGAGAAGGCTTGTGCTTCTCGTCCACAGGGCAATAGCGTGAATTACCTCCACACCAGCGTACTGATTTTGGTTATTACAAATTCTTGGGTGTGTGGGGAATGCAACAAATTGCTTCTGTTTCTTGTTCCTACTGCAAATCCAAACACCCTTGTCATAGTGTTTTCCTTGCTCTTGTTGGTCAGAATTCAGAAAGCATTCCTAGGCAAAGATTTGTGTGTGAGAGATAGATTGTACCATTACTCAGTACCATTTTTGTCATACCCTTTGTTCTACATGAGTGTAGAAACAGGCACACAGGTATTACCTATTTCAAAGTGATATCAGCTTCCTGGAATCCTAAAAGCAGCCTCTCTCCAGAAAAGCCACTTAGTAGTTCTGCCACGCAAACTTTCCTGAGATTCTATCTAGGCCGACTAGTTTTTGCAAATTTCTCCTGGGAAGTATAACCTTATAACATAGAAAGTTTTAAAAAATAAAAAGCAACAATGTATTTCTGAGCAACATGAAAAATGGCAGTGCATGTAAAATTCAATATTTTAATGAACAACTTGTTCTTTTAAGGCAATGGCACAAAAAGAAGATATGGAAGAAAGAATTACTACCCTTGAGAAGCGCTACCTGAGTGCACAGAGAGAATCCACCTCCATACATGACATGAATGATAAGCTGGAAAATGAGCTTGCCAACAAGGAAGCCCTCCTGCGTCAGGTTCAATATCTGAATTGCTGTTAGAGCTGAAATGAATTGTGGAGGAGAGTTTCCGTAAATCTTCTCATGCATTAACATTTGCTTGAGGGGAGGAAAATTTATATTCCTGATAAGATCTTCTGCCTTTGATGGATTTGGTTCAAAGGGGACTTTTCTTTCATGCTGAAAAAGAGACAATGCCTGGATCATATTTAGGCAGGGTTTAATGTTAACCACAGCTAAGCTCAGAATTTGTTTTAATGACAGGGCTCTGCACTCCTGGTTCCTGCCAAATCAGGATAGAAAGATCCTGGGAGCAAGCCAAGCTTGGGTGAAGGAAACACAGAAACAAATCAGGGCAGGCTAGAAACCAGGAACGTGCTGGGTTTCACACTGCAAAGCAAGCCATACAAGAAATGTAATGGTGTGATGCTCTAAGCCTATACCATAATGAGACTGGAGGAGGAAAATATGCAGTGTCATCAGGGAGTTTCTATGCTTAGAGAGCGCAGGCTATGCTTACTATTTATGAAAAGAGCATGGGAGTGCCTTTAATTAAAGTTGGTCACCAAAAGTACCATTATACACCTCAAACTTCCACCACTTTATCAAATTGGCCCCAGTTAAGCTAATAAAGTAAAATTTGGTATCCATTATCTATCTGCTGAGACCTACAGCTGTACAAAATTTCACTGTGCTGACAAAAAGCACTGCAAGTTGCCACATTTGTTGTTTTTACTGCAAATTGTGGCTTGTCATATCATGTAGTTCTTTCAAATGCTGAGGGAAATTTCCAACTTTATTCAGACATGTTGAAGAGAGGTGTCTTTAATTGTTTTGGGTTGAAACTCTGCATAGTGGTTCAGAATTCAGCTTTTGTAGCCCCTGGAAAGGTTATTGTAGGGACCTCAAAGTTTCACTCTGAAGTTATAATGCTGCCAAGTACTCAAGTGTTTGGAAAGGAATTTCAGTGTAGTTATTGGTGTTCTGAAAGTGAAGGAAGGGTAGCAGGAAGCTGTCAACTGTTGAGAGAGAAGTAAATTTTGAGGCTTAGGAAATCACTGTCACTGTTCAATCATTGATGACGTTGGGGTAAGGAGGGAAAGGATATGTTGGAATTATGTGCAGACTTACTCAGAAATAAGCTGTTCTTGATTTGTATACATCGACTCAGTGAATGGCTTGCTCATCTTATATATATGACCTGTATAACTGCAATAACAGATTTATGTTTTCAAAGTCAGGGAAAATCAATAATTTAAAAACCTTCTCACTTAAGATCACACTTAAGACTGTCCCATGTTGGCTGAAGCTCATGAGCTCGAGACTGGAAGCTGATACATTAACTGACACACCGTGACTGGTGATGCCATTGTGCATGCTTAAAACTTGCATGCAGGGTCAGGAAAATATGGTCCCAGAGAATCTGCCCTCCCCATCTGACTCACGGAGGGTGAAAGTGTAAGCAAGCAGCATTTGTGAGAATGCACAACAACACTGATCACCGGTCACATCAGTTAAGGTATCTGCCTTCCAAATTGCCACTTAACTTTTTCCAGAGTTTCACTTGTTGTTATGCTTATTTATATCCCATCTATTCCCATTGACTGGAACTCAAGATGGCTTGCAACATTACAATCCATAGAATTAAAACATACAAAGGTATAGAATATAAGTACTGTAATATAAATGTATGTTACCCTGATCCAGAGAAACAGAGATGAACTTTCTGTTTCAAAATTCAACGATCAAACAATCACATGTGCACACAACAAAACTAAACCAAGCCCTGCTTGTCTAAGACCAAGGTTAAGATTGTATCATGTTAGCTAAAACGCCACAAGGTCAGGGAAGTTCAGTGGCAGAATGCCAACTTTACATAGACTTGGAGTTGTTTGCTAGAGCGTATTCAGCAGTTACAACAAAGATTCATTACATGCTCAAGTCTTCAGTTTCATAATGCGTTCTGGATATGCGTCAGGCTATGTCATGCACTTTTAGTTCTTTCTAAGAATTGCAACAAATTCCTAATTTAACACCCCCACCACACTTTTTAAAAAAAATTTCAATTCTGATTTTTAGATGGAAGAAAAGAACAGACAACTGCAGGAACGTCTTGAACTAGCTGAGCAAAAGCTGCAACAAACTATGCGAAAAGCTGAGACATTGCCTGAAGTGGAAGCTGAACTGGCCCAGAGAATTGCAGCCTTGACCAAGGTAAGGTGCACTTCAGAGCTGGTTAATTTCAGAAACATGTTTTCCTTTAACATTGATTATCATCCCTTTTTCCTTCCTTCAGCACCATCAGCAGCAATAAAAGCCTGTTATGGAGTGGACAAGATGATTCTACTTAATGGCACCGTAAATAAATACTAATTACACATACAAAGTTACTTGCTTTAGCTTAATTTAATGGCAGAAGTATTGCTTCATATTTCTTGTATGGCTTAAGTACATTTCTCCCAATATCCCAAAGGAGAGTTTATTTTTATAATACTTGGTATTATAAAAGTTCTGATTAATCCAGTTCAGCTTAAATTCATGAACTTTATTTGCCATTGAATTTTTCCATGATTTCTTACATCACATTGATACAGAGAAACACAGTGATCACTTTCATTAACAATAAACAATGAGATCAAGCCATTTTCTTTTCGTGGCCCCTTTCAAATGAATTGGTGTTGCATGACATTGTCAAACTGCAGATAGGAGAAGTGGCTGGGACCCTGTTCCCATAGAAGCAACCTTGTACAAAGTCATTTGGAATTTGCACAACTCCTCAACTGTGAGATACGCAAATTGCCAGTTTGGATGTTATACAAGAAATGCAAAAAGAAGAGGCACAATGTGCTGATACATACTCTTTTTACTCCTTTTAGGAAGTGTAAAACTACTGTGTCTTGTTCGTCTGTGTGGAGCTTAGGCTACATGCCTATGGACACTTTGCTGGGTGTCTCCTCACCCCCACCATGGCCTTAAACTCTGTGACACTTCACTTCAAAATAAGTATGCATAGAAATGGACTTTTTCAGATATGTTCAGAACACAGTAATAACATCATTAGTAGCTCTTAATAGAAAGAAAGCCCTTTTGAAACAAAATCAGTAATTCAGTACAGGCACTTTAGATAACAAAAAGCTGATGAGGACACATAATTGAGTTTTATGCTTCTCAGATATTTTTTCTTTTATTGGGAGTAGTCTAATCATATGCAATTCTAACCTAATAGTTTTCATGGACCATGAAATAATTTCTCATGTGAACATCATCTTTGTTAATATCCCTTCTAATATTAAGGAAAGGTTGTACACACATTCTCCAACCCAACGATGTGACATGGAAACAGGAGTTTCCATGCACACAGGTTTACTTAATTCTTTTCTATAGGGGAAATGTGTTGTCTCATGGATAGGGAATGTTTGTGGCATCTCAGCCACCACCCCCTTCACTGAAGAAATAGGGAAATGTGCAAGCAGAGGGGTTCCTTAATGGAAAACATGTGATACAGTGGCAGATTGAGATGGTTGTACAGCCAGATAAAAACAGGAATTACTGTGAGATGTATCTTTAAAAATGTAAGTGGCCACATTGGCCTATTAAGAGAAAAATCTGAAAATATTGTTAATTACTGTATTGTAGTTATACGTTGCATTGACTCCTGGTCTCTTTAAATGATCATTGCACTTGCAATGAGAAGAGGTAATGGCAATATTACATATTAGCTCTCTCGATGAACAGAGGTAATGGCAATGTTACTTCTTGGTTTGTAGGGGGCAGAGTAGAGGAAGAGTAGTATCTACTTGCTGCATCTCACCAAACCATTTCACTCAGTCAGAAATTCTAGCCCTTCTGTATCTTTTTGCTTCTGTGACCACTAACAAGATATACATAGTTTCTATATTGCATATGGATTTTGTTGTGTAATTTAGATTGAAAACCGGACAATATCTGTTTAGTTAATGGAAGATAATTGCATCCGGACAAGATAAAATGGAATATATCTGCACCTGCCCTGCAAATTCATAATTAGCCATTGAGGGCACCAGTGGCACTTTCTTCCTTTGCCAAAGCAAAGGGCCTACTTGGTCCCAGCAACACCAAGCAGGGTCCAGCGATCTCCCTGTACACAGTGGGAAACTGGGGGGAAATCAGCCACTATACTCCTGTCTAAATACAGCCCTCCACCCATCACCACTGCTCCCCCAGAATTTTCTGGCTCACTCAGTTGCCAACTTGCAGGGTGCTCTTAATAAAGGCCTGTGGAAGGGAGCAGAGAAAAGGTAATGCCTGTTTATTCCATCTGACTCAAACTATTCCACCCAGCATGATTTCTTCAGGATCCTTATTTGATCATATAAAAAAATTCCAAGCAAGGTTTACTAGCTGCTGCATCAGGGTAATTGGTAATTCACTGTTTACCAAACATTTATGAATAAAGGTGTTATTTGGCCTTACTGGAACACTTCCCAAGTAAAATCTGCTAAATAAGATGCCTAATGCATTGGGCTGAAAAATCCAGAGCTTTGACTTCTGATGAACCATTTCTCCCCAATACGTGTCTGTAAGCTTTCAAACATTACACAGTGGGAAAAACATTTATGGTCACAGCTGAGATGCATATGCAGGACTTGACCCAGACATAGATGTAGAAACCTTCGGACAATGAATGGGCACTCACAGAAGAAACTCTGGCTGGCATGACTATACCATGTGATGAATTGGCTCATTTTATACTGCCTGGTAGGCTTAATGCTGTTCACAGTCTTGGCTTTTTCAACTGAAAGTAGCATAAACAAATAAATTAAGCTAGTATGTTATTCAGCAACAAGGAACCTGTTTCACACTCCCTGTCCCTGAACAAATTGAATGCATTCTTAATATATTTCTGGAAATTGCTTGTGCTCAGCTTTTCAGGAAGCTCCAGGAAAAGCGAGTTCCTGAACTAAGAAACAGTCACTTTTGTAAATGATAACGGGAAAGCCACTTCAGTGGGGAAAATTGCAGAGCCATTCCACTTTAGGGCTCAGGTGAAGAATTCCATATTTATTCTCTGATCGTGTTTTTTTTTAAGGATCCCTCTGCAAGAAGGCTGACATGTCCACAAAAAGGCAACATGCCCTAGTCCTGAACAGGAAAGATTCCACACGTATTTCTATTGATGCCATATCAAGAAATAAAGCATAATCTTTTCCTTTTATTTCATGGGCTCGGCAAGCATTTGGGAAGTCATGTTTTCCCGAAGTAGCAGGAGGAGGTAGTTATCATATCTGGGATAGCACATTCTTTTGCTCTACTCATGGTGCGGTTGCTGGATTTCAAGGTTACCTGGCTTCCCAGAACAGCATCACTTGGCTTCAGATAAAAAGGGCCTGTGTTCATGGAGGCAGGCTCCTGTCCCCTCCCTTGTTCTGAGTGGAGGAGAAGCAGAATGAGAATGCAGCTGGGTCGCTCAGCTTCCATATCATTTCTGCAGCCACATAGTGTCACCCAGGAACACTTAGAGCTGACATCTAAATGCCAAAGTGCAATTATCCAAGAGCTGTAAATAATTCCCCCTATTCTGTGCATCTTTTCTGCTCCGTGCCTGTTATTTTCATCCCAGTGTGGTTCCTCCTACATTTTTGTCATTTGGTTGTTTCTTTAGAGGAACACACAGTGACAGTGCAGACATATTAGAAAGGTTCCAGCACAACTGGAAGTGGCAGCCAATCCCGTTCTCCTTCCTCCCCAGGGTGGGTTGATCATCCTTCCCACCCTGAGAGACAGCACATAGTTCATCCTGCTTGTTCTGAAAGGCAAGCAGTAGCACTGGTACCTAGAGACAGCAGCACATATTGCAAATAAATCCAACAAGTACAGGGGGGTAAGTTGAACTGTTTCCATGGGAAAGTGTTTTGTGCTCAAAGGTCTTTCCTCTGTGCCAGTAGGTAGAATGGGCTTCTTACTAGGAATGGGAAGATTTGTCAGCTCTTGGTCCATTCAGTTTCTCATTTTTCCAACTCATCTGCATTCCACATCTGTGGAATTACTCATTTTGTATGCATTCTTTCCACACATCCAAATTTTACATACACTTTGCTAATGTAGACATTTTTATAAGCTCACTCGTTCCTACTCTCTACAGGAATTTTAAGTTCCAATGGTTTTTCTGCAAGCCTCTACAATACCATTGCCTGTAGTCTTGCTTGAATTCAAGACTTAATAAAGTTTAGTCCTTTTTGTAGGAGAGGAAAATTGACTTAAAAGTTCCAGAGGAAATGCAGCATGGGGAAAACCTTTCCACCTACATCTGCTCCAGTGAATTATTAAATTATGTGATGCTGTCACTCCTGGAAGAATTTCCTGAGGAGAAGTGTTTGACAGGATCCTGCAAAAAATTATTAAGAACTTGGAGTAAAATTGCCAGAACTATACAAGCTTTCTGGGAGTATTTCTAGCAGATCACAAAAGAATTTTAAAAAGCGAATTTTGGCCGAGTGCAAGATTTTTGTCTCTGCCCAAGTGATATCTTATTTCTTCTCAATCCAGAGAAGAAAAAGAGTCTCATATTCAGGTGTGTCTTGCCAAAGTCAGAAAGTACAGTTTCAGTAGCCCTATTCAAGGATTCTGGACCTGAGCAGAACAAACATGTGAAGAGGAACGTCTTCTAGCTCCACCTCTTCCCTCATTGCATTTGTCTCCCTCTGCTTGAGGTGGGTGACTGTCCAGTTAGGATAGTCTTGTGTATCTGTGGGAACTCCATGTGAGCCATAACCCTGATATTTCAGCATCCTTGTGCACATGGAGAACTTCCACAGATAAGAATGCTCTCCTGTATGGGGCAACAAATACAATGACAATGAAGAATGGGACTGGAACACTTCCTCTCTTCACAGTGCATCCAAAATACCACAGCTGGGCTGGTATCAACTTGGATATGGGAGATTTCCTTTCCCCAGTTCCTTCGCTAGGGAGTTTTTTCATGTATAGCAAACATTAATATAAAGAACACTTTCTTGCTCTAACTCAGAATTCCTCAAGTTGGCTTCTCAAGGCACTCAACTCAGAATTCCTTGAGATGACTCCTGCCATAAGGTATGTTAGAAAACTTTCAGACCTCCTAAAAGCTGGTATAAGAGGCTTAGGCATGGGAAATGTCTGCATTAGAGACACAATGAACTATTGGACAAGTAATTAATTAAGGGGTTATTTTGAACATAAGGAGTTAAAAATATTTATTTGAGGCGGGAGAGTAAAGAACTCCTTAGTGACAATTCCTTAGGACCCAAGAGACACTGTTGCTGTTACAAGTTTTTAAGGACTTCTTTTAGGCTAACTTTGCTGAATTTCCAAATCCCCTTACAACCAAATCCCCTACAACCAGGTTCACTTCCCAGACATAATCTTTCTCAGATGCCAAAGCTCTTCCTGTTATATTTCTAGATGATTAGACAGTTTATTTAGGTCTTTATTGCTTGCTTGTATAACCTTCCCCTGGTAAGAACTTAGGACAACCTCTTGTGATAACGCGGTCATCTGCTCACTTTTTCTGACCTTTCCCATTCCACAGAAAAAGAATAGCTTACGTAAGAACCAGGCCCTAGCTATTCACAGGCCCTTACCTTAATCCTTTAACCACATACCAACCAGCATACTATGATCTCTCCCTCCCTCTGCAGACTGTACTCCTAAGTGTCAACTTTTTGTCATTTGGCAACTTTTTTTTTCCACCTGTCTAGACTGCACAGCCAATCAAAATTGAATTTACCTAATCCAGGTATCATCTAATTATATTCACAGTGATTGTCTCTTCCAAAACATCACTAAACACCTGCTACATATACTGTAACAAATGACATAGCCACAATAACAAAACATAGCCACAAGCCTACACTGATACATCACAGAGGCTACACAAAGTAAACATTATCTGGCACCAATAATTATATACAGGCATTTCTTCATACTGATGAATTTTTCTTACTAATTTCTGGAAGCTAGTAATGCTGCATTTAAACCACAACAGTAATATTTATGAGACAGTATAAGTGGACTACCTTTGGGCATAGGTATTACCTTTCATTTTCTAGATCACATGCTAGGCATGATGGTCTTGTGGCAGGAAATTACTGCCCTAGAATCCAACATACGTATAAGAACTTTCATGCTCCAGCAGAGTCCAAGAAGCTCCTAGCTATGGTAGAGGTACATTTAATTGCATTTCAAGCTAACTGCTCAGAGGCAGATGCTGGGAGATGGCAAATGTCAGTCCTATATCATCTTCATTTAAGGTGTTAAGTTTGACACAAAGCCCTATATCATCTTCATTTAAGGTGTTAAGTTTGACACAAAGCCCTAAATGGTTTAGGGCCTGGATATCTGAAGGAATGTCTCCTTGCATGTATACCTGCCCAAACTTTGAGATGTTCCACTGAGGTCCTTCTCTGGGAGCTCACTTTGAAGGAGGTTAGAAGGGTAGCTACCCAGGGAAGGGCCTTTTCCATGGGAGCACTCTGCTTATAGAATCTGCTTCCAAAAGAGGTGTACCTGGTCCTGACGCTCCATTCATTTTGATGCCAGGCCAAAACATTTTCTTTACCCAGCATCTAAATGGTTGAGTGATATTTATGTCACAGTATAGAATTATATAGTTATTTTACTGCATATTTTTATATTTTGAAATTACGTTATCTAACGTGTGGCCACGGTCTTGGTTTTGTAAGCTCACTTGAGATCCATCTCAGATATTAACAGGATAAAAATGTTTTAAATAAATGAATGCTTGATGAGGAGGGGGTTAAGAACATAAGAAAAGCCATGGTGGATCAGACCAGTGGTCCACCCAGCCCAGCATTCTGTTCACACAGTGCCAAACCAGCTGCCCAGGATCCATCCCATCAGCAGGATGAGTACAGGAGTTCTGTCTGCCCAAGCTCCTCAGCAACTGGCGTGAGCAGGCATGCCATCTTTGATCATGGAGGTAACACATAGCTGGAAAGACGAGTAGACATTGATAGAAGGAGAGAGAAGTTATGCAGCCTGTCTTGTGTGCCCTTTACCCAGGATTTCCTGCTATCTTTTGGCATGGTGAATTCTAACTTGCAGTAAAATTAACAGCCATCATCTATATGGAAATAGGGTAGGTGGAGTGCATTATTCTCCTTTGCCCCCAGACAGCAACATGTTTGCACAGCAGAAATGAGGATATCCGAGCAGACAGTCTTACCTATAAACTCCTGTTTTTGGTGGTGAGTGGAGGCAGTTGCCCTAATCTGCTTACTGAATCATATTGTCCAATTCTGGGATCTATATTTATATTTAATACTGATACTTTTATACCACTTAATATTATATAACTCCAAGCAGTTAGAAAATTTCAACTCTTAAACAAATTCCTCTTTGCCATCCTATTCTCTTTGACATTTGCCTGTGAGCATTTTTTTTCTGTAATATTTTTTGTGTTGGATAAGATTTTAATAGGGTGAAAGATCCCACATATATTCAAGGAAAAATTAAAGGCTGGTATAATAGCATTGGACATCTTTAAATCCTTTGATTGCATGGAATGACCAGAAATTAAGATGTTGATAGAGATAAAAGGATTTGGCTTATGGTTTAAAGGTATATTAAATAAATTATATTGAGAAAATTTTGCAACCATGATAGTTCATGCAGGTTTAACAGAGCAAATATCCCTAGGCTGAGGTCCTAGACAAGTATGTCTTCTTTCTGCAATATTGTTTGCCTTCTTTATAGAATCATTCGCAAATAGTTTTAGAAATGATAATAAAAGGTATTGGATTTGAGAATAAAATTAAGATTAGTCTATTTGTTGGTGATATGTTATTATCTAAAAGGACCAATTCAATGTTATGGATCAGGTTAATATTCATTTGGAAGAATTTGAAGAGATAACAGACTTACAGGTTAATTGGGATAAATCAGAAATTATGTTGTTTAATTGCAATAATGAAGAGAAGGATAAATTTCAAATTAAGATATGTAAAGTTAGTAAATATTTAGGTATAAATATTACCAAAATTGCAATGTTAAAAAAGAATAGTTTTGATATACTGATATGTGAAATAAAAGAGAAAATGTATGAATTTAGGAAAATAGGATATCATGGTTTGGTAGAATAGCAGTATGTAAAATGAAAATTTTACCTAAGAGTAATGCTTTGTTTGGGATGTTACTGATTAAGATACTAGGGTGAAGGGCCCTAGCTTTTTCTGTGAAACTAGGTAGACTCTCTTCTTTGATCCTGCTTATAGTCCAGAGAAAGTGCTATCCTTATTGTGGGCAAACTGACTCCTATGTATAGGAGTATGGGAATTTACAGGTAAGAAAAATTCCCTTAGAAAAAATTATCTGCTCATTTTTATACTCAGAAAGGTGTCAAATCAATGGATGGGCCTTTATGCTTGATAATAAATATTCACATTGTTCTGTATTTTTTTAATCTATGTACCAACAACAGATACCTTATTTACAGTGTAGCCCATTCAGGGTGACCTCCTGAGGACTTGATAAACCAGCGAGTTTTACTGTCTATCTAGTATGGGTAAACAGGAAAGTTCATGTAGAAGTTCAACACCCTTGCTCTAGAACATGGGCTGGGTTTGGTGTGGTGGATCACAAGCTGTATCTGAAAATATTTTCAAACAGCCTTGTTTGTTTATCCTATGGTAAAACAGGCTGATTCAAAGGTTGGATCCTGGTGTTATAATTGATTTGCTTAGCTAAGGACTAATTCTCAGGGCTTTTTTTAGAATTTTGCAAAGTGAATTGATGGCATTTGTTAGCATAGATTCATGGTGATATATTTGCCAGATTGTGGCTCATTATGCCACAACCTGAAAACTTGCAGGAGAAATCAAAGCCCTGTTTTCACTACAAGCTCAGCAACCTTTTTCAGAGTAAGCTGGAGGAGTTCTGGTAATGACCCTTTGTTTGTTTTTTCCCCTTTTCTGTTAGGGAATCTATCATGTTCTCCCTCTAGAAATGACTTAACCCATTTGATTTAGTATATTCTGTAATTATATATGATAAGATTGTAGGGTGGACTATTAGATACACTAATTTGTGCACTGGCTCCTCAAAGTCACATTGTGATGCTAAGTTTACCAAAATTCCAATCAGACCTTATAATTGCCATAAATGCTTTGAATATCCCTCTACAGAGGCAAAGTAATTATTCATCAGCCAGCCATCACTAACCTGGACTTTCCATACTTAGGTTGTTAGCTTTTTTAGCATTCCATTGTTTTTAGTTCATCCACATCAACTGCCTCATATCACCCTATTGTAAGTGTGGTTTATTCTACATAAAATTCTGTCAATTAAAGTATTAAATTTGCAATCACACTTTTCTTTTAAGCATTCTGTGCTGTGTTCTGTTCAGTGCTGGTGTCTTTAGTTCTGATTTTTCAATTTTGTCCCTCTCCTTTTCCTTGACTTGTTAGTCTGATCCAACCTCTTCTACCTCATCTGATGATTATCAATATGTTATGGAAGCTAAACTACAAGAAATGATCTCCATACGTAGGAAGGTAGTCCTACTGGACTTTACTTTCTATTGCTCAATAGAATCCATCTGATTTTGTTTTCATATTTTAAGAACTTTTTCTTTTTAATTTATGTATTTATTTTATTGATAATCAACCATTGTGCAGTTCAGTGCTTAAAGAGCTTACAATTTTATGATGGCAGGTTTGTGTTCAAACCATGCACAGTCTGCATGTTACATTTGGCTGATTTCATTGCTCATAAATAACTCCAATGTTTTGCTGGATGCTTGGATGTAACAGGCCTTTGTAGCTGACACATTTCAAGCAATGCTGTTCAGCTGCCTGTTTGAATAAAATTTATTTTTGAAAACTAAGTTTGCAGTTAGTAGTAGCTTGCTTTATGTTTTCTTTAAAAAAAATTGAAATTTCAACTCACAGAACTCTTTCAGTTTCAGACCAATGCATGCTATTTTTATAGGCGGAAGAAAGACATGGAAACATTGAAGAACGCATGAGACACTTAGAGGCTCAATTGGAAGAAAAGAATCAGGAACTTCAACGAGTATGTGCATTGCAGACAGCTTACTTCTTTGTTTAACTGAATATGAACAAATTCGGCACTCAATTTTGTATGGCCAAGCAGAGAGGGGCTGGGGGGAGGGAGGGGAATGCTGGTTCATACACTTGCCTTAAACAAAATCACAGCTTTGTGTTGGTGTGGATATGCAGCCAGATCACAATTACATCAGTCACAGTCATAGTCCTGATTGAAGTAATCACTTATGGATTTCCAATTTTATGAACTAACCTCAAATCACACATGCACTGATTTCCAGTGTACACTGGTGTAGAACTAACAGCACAGCCTATGTTATCTGAAACTAAAAGAATCTCATTATATTTTAAAGTGAAGTGACTATGAAGGAAAACACATTGACATATGCAAACATGAATCCTGCAAAATTGAATGCTCATGAAATCAATTAACAGATGTTGCATTATGTGGAATTTTAAGTCATTTTGTGGTCAAGTTTAATGGAATCCCTTCCTCTAATAGCAAACTTAGGTGCTCAGTACTCATAATTAAGTTGTCATAATGGAAGCACTGAGAAACAGGAAGTACACACAGGAGCACTATGCACTGTGATATTTTGTTGTAAGACACACTTTCAATTTCTTGATTTTTGGCTTTTGCTTCCATTCAGACTGGAAGGTAATGATTGTGAATGCTGAAACTTTGACCTGGTTTGCACAACATGAAAAAACATCAAGGGTGGCTAACTGTGGGTTGTCATCCAAATGCGGGCTGCTTCCCTCAGGGGTTCCTTGTTTTTTTGTTTTGTTTTTAAATGACTGATCCTGAGAATCTATGTGTAGCTCTATGGGTTGTTTCACCCACTATGAGTTGTTCTGCCATCCTTACCTGGGTGACTGATCCCACCATGTGTAAAGGGAACCAATAGTCAGGACACTCAACAAATGAGGCAAAACAATCCATTTCCATTCTTGACAATCATGTCCGTGCTGCTCCCAATGAAAGAGCCTCCACCATGTTCAAGTAGCACATTAGAGGGGCTGCACTGGTTTGGCATCTCCCCCTTTTTGTGGCACTCCAAATATGCAGTTCTGAAAAAGGGGGGGAGGGACATTTGGAGTGCAGTTTCGGTTTTGTTTGTTATTTAAAGGGGGATCAACTATCAAAAGACTGACTGATGGAGCTCCTTGGAGCTCTCTGAAGGGGCTGTGACTGTGTATGAATTCAGCAATCGCTGTTCCAGATCTTTGGGGGTTGCAGGGGAAATCAGCCATGGCTCATCAAAAAAATGACTCAGTCCTGGCAGGGAATGGAAACAAGGTGGATTCAGTCACCAAATCCCTTGGAATAACAGCTGAAGGACCTAGGGGAAAAGAGGGGGAGAACAACCCTGGGTGAGCCCAATCATCTGTCAGGCATAGAGTGGATTGTTCACCAAACAACTAACCCACCATTGTTTATTTTCAGCTTAGGGTAGTGTGATGTGCAAACCCATCCTTTGTCAATTATTGAATTAGTGAAACTGTGCATCTCAACAGTAGCACTAATGCATTTTATCCTCCAGCAGCTTTGGTTTTGCTACAATTTAAGTTAAAGGAAGCCAACGCCTGTCTTTGACTAATGCTGACAGTTTATTTGATTTTGGAACAACCCATTTTGTTTCTGTGCTATTTTCCTGAAGGCCAGGCAACGAGAAAAAATGAATGAAGAGCACAACAAGAGATTATCAGATACTGTGGACAGGCTTTTGACAGAATCTAATGAACGCCTGCAACTCCACTTAAAAGAGAGAATGGCAGCACTGGAAGAAAAGGTAACATAAACAGAAACACTCACTATGTCTATTTGTTGCACTTAGGGCCAAAACTGATATTCATTTAATTCTGTATACCAGCTATGTCTTTTGATCTTTTTAACTCTAGAACTGCTGTAGAGTGCACAACTGGGCTTTTAAAAAACTCCAACTCCTTTACCTAGGATCACAACCTAAATTGGAGAATAATATTCTGACTCCAGAGTAAAAACAAAACAAGTGCTTCTAGACACAGGTTTAAAGGCACTGCTTTGGCCCCTTACACTGATTTGTATTCATAGTTTCCCTTTTTCCCCTGTTCATAAGAATAAAGGCAATTAAATACAATACCATGTTTTCTTCTTCTCTCCTGCCTGCAGTTGCCATTAAGCTTTCCTCCCCATCTTCTTTCCCCAAGCCCAGTGGTGGGGTCACATGGGGCTAGCAGAAGAATTTAGTGGGCCCTCGTCACAGTGCTAAACACAAGCCTTCGGCCAATGCCACCTTCATGCCGCCACCACTGCACCTTGATATAACTCAGTGACTTTCTGCTACCACAGCCATTCCCTCAGCATCTCCAATTAGACATTTCAGGACACTTGACATGGACACAGAGCCACCACTTTGCTTTGGCTCTGTGATGTGTGGACAGCCACCATGATAGATTGCCCAAGATGCCCTGCTGTATTCCCTGCTTACTACTAAGGGCAGCAGAAGCACTGCCTCTGGGATGGAGGAGGAAATGAGTGACTGGTGGAATCTGCAAGACCTGCGGTGGGCCCTTCTGGGCCTCCTGACCTCCATGCCAGGTTTCTGACCATGCCAGCGTCTGGTGCCAGTCCTGAATGCACACACACAGCAGTGCCTGACCCAGTTGACCCCGTCACTGAAGCCATCATGGGTTGTGGCAGCCAACAGTTGCCCAGTTAATGATCCAAGACACATATACATACCTGCCACCAGACAACTCAGTGAGGTTGGATCGTTGAGGCAGTTGAAAAGATGCTAAGAACCTATGCACTCTTTAGGGTTGCTGGTGGCCTTTCAACCACTGCAAGGGCCCATCCTCTCCACGTTCACATGGCCTGAAGTTCCTGATCCTGCCTAATGGAGCTACGTAGGGTTGGGCTTGGTCAAAATCTGGATGGATGACTTAAATGTTATGAAATGCCCAAAGAGCTTCAGCCACTGGTGGTATAGAAATGTGGTGGTGGGGATGGGGGTGGTGGTGGGGTGATGATGTAACAAGAAACTACAATATTCCCACATATTCAGAATGGCAGCCACACCAAAAAGCTGTGGGGAAGAGGGATGGCACATTGTGGCTTCCCATTAAGTGCAAAAGCGATCTCTGTAGGGCACTGACTAATAACTTGCAGTATTTCTGTCATATATTGATGCCAGCAAATTGTGAGATACTTTCCCTTTACAATATGAACTATAATAGCCTTTGATATATTTATATCAACAATGAATAAAAGACTGTTACCAACAGACTTATTCTTCTGATATAGTAAAAATTTGTTACTTCTAATATATGAAGAAGACTGAAAATGTGACTTTTGTTTGCTTTATTTGCATGCTTTGATTGCACAGTGTTTATTTCTGCTGTATCTTGTTTGATATTTTAATCTCTCTCTTTTCCTCCCCTCATCCAAGAATGTTTTAATACAAGAATCAGAAAGCTTTAGAAAGAACTTGGAAGAATCTTTGCATGATAAGGTATTATTTTAAAAAATACCTTTATCTTAGCTGCAACTATTAAAAGCAGTTAGGTATATAAATTAATCAAATCAAAAGTTGAAACTGAATTGAAACTGTTTCTCAAAATCCTGGAATCTGGTGCTATTGTCTCTGCATCCAAATGAAGATACAGGACACAATATGAGATGGACAAGGGTCCCACAAAATTAAAGCAGCTTATCTGCAATGCGAATAAATGTGTGAATGTTTTAAGAGGAGGTCTAGAATGCCTGCCTCCCATTGTCATCTTGATTGGGTGACTCACCTGGGCCCGTAGACTGTGTTCAACCCTGTGCAACCCTGGCTCTGTTCCTCCAAGCTGAATTTGTGGGGGCTACAGACTGCAACATCAACACCAAGTTGTCTGGTCTTTTTGGCTGGCAAAACTACTGAGGACTTAAGGAACTTCAGTTGCAGTCCTATGCACAGTTATCTGGAGGTTGAATCCCATTCAACACAGCATGGCTTATTTCTGAGTAACCATGCATAAAACTGGAAGCTCTTAGTCGTTCACTAATGTATGTGGGATTATTGAAAAGATGTAGAAGCCCCAGTGGAAAAATGAAGTGCCTGCACAAAATACATTGTTCAGATCATATAATTCAACTGAGTATAGAGGTGTTACTGTGTGTGTGTGTGTGTGTGTGTGTGTGTGTGTGTGTGTGTGCGCGCATGCGTATACTGCATATGACTTTCTTTCAAACCACTGCATCTTTATGAAGATACCTCATTTCCCACTCTCAGTGTGGTGCTCCTTAGTTGGCTTTTTACACCCCGCCCCCCAAAAAATCCACTCAGTTCTGGAAAGTGGGGAGTCGGCAGCTGACACTGTCTGAAAACATGAGCTCTGGGATTTAGCCCCTATGTGCCTGACCCTGACAGTCCTGCTAAAAATAGCTGAAACTTGCCCTTTGCAATTCAATTCAATTTAGCCCATTCAGGACTGGTTTAGTGAACCAGTCAAATCTATTATAAACTTTTCTGAAAAATGCCATTTGCTTTCAACATTTTATGGCATTAAAGCTAATAGAAAACATGTAATAGGGTTAGCTGAGACTTTTTTCATGGCTGGGTATGGAATGAAATTGAAACAGAGGGAGCAGAATGGGGAGGAAATGTGTCCGGACCCTGAGACCAGAGGCAAAATAACTGTTAATATGTGAAACAAGAGCCCCACAGCAAGGGGAGAAATTGTAAACAAATGCACACTTTAATTTTGCTGCTATTTTGTTCCCAAAAAAGAGAAATTTTCAGCAGGAATAGATGTGGTTAGACATCTGGTCCTGACTCATGAGTTTCTTGTTATTTGGTTTGTTTATCTTAAGAATTTAAAGCCATGCTCACTTCCAAGGAATGGTACCCGAAGCAATCTACTTCCTTCCAATTGTACTTATCCCTACATTTTGTTGATTCTTGTTGCCAGAAACAGACTATCTTATTGTTGCTTACAGAATACAGCAAAGATTTTGTCTTTAGAAGATATAGGCTAGATCCAGTAATGTCTTACTCAAATGGGATGTGCAAGGCAGGCCTGTCAAACTTTCCTGACCCTGGAGCATTCTTATCACACACTCTTCCAGAGTGCCCCTTAATGCTCAGCTGTGGCTTTGTTTAGGGGTACAAGTTTTAGTAGGCACAAGGATGGAAGCGTTAAGAAGACCCTGCTGTATGAGTGGATCCAACCCACTGGCAGGACACGTTCCAATGAAGCAAAGCTCAGGGAACCAAGATTTAGAGTGGATGCCAAGAAGTACTTCCTGGCAGTTAGGTCCCCTAGGGTATGGAATGGGCTTCCACGAGAGCTGGTTGAAGCCCAACAGGGAGGGTGTTTAAGAATAGGTGGAACATGCACATGGTAGGCATGTCATGGGTGGAACTGGCTGGAGCTGGGGGTCAGACTAGATGGCCCAGGAGTCCCCTTCTGACTCACTCTGTTTCTATGTTTCTAATATAAATAATTTTAATCCGTGTTTTGTTTTGCTGTTAAGAAAGATATTTTGGATATTGTTATATTTCATTTATGTGCTACCTGATGAAAGGCTTATCTAGTCCAGCATTGACCAAGCAGATCACAAGGAAGGGCATGAGTACAATAATAGCCTCCCGCTTATGCCCATCAGCAAATTTTCTTTAGAGGCATATTGCTTCAGATACTGAAGGTAATACAATTTGGAACGCTTACTTGCTAATTGAAGCAGTCCAATTGGAATGAATGAGTAATAACTAAATTAGGTCTCATTGCTTCCAGCAGGACTTAGTGGTGACAAACTTTAGCTAGGCTGATGTCTTTGCTGCAAGTTGTTACTGTATTAATAGCACTGTGAGAAAGTCTGTAAAATTGGTGAAAACTATGCTATTGGAGAATATTTATATAGTTTTCCATCTGTTATGCTTGGAATTACTTGTGTTAGTTCAGCTGACAAAGAAGTATTTTGTCTAAAATTCTTTAATTAAAATTTCTTTTGAATATTGTAACAAAATCTAATGACACTTTTAGACTGCTTAAAATTATTGCTTTGTTGTCCACACATACTCTAAAAACTATTATCTATCAAAAGGTTATTAGTTTATTTCGTACAGTTTTCACCAGTATATTTACAATTCAGTCCCTCAAAAAGCTGATAGAATAATTTTGTCTTTTGTTGCCAAAAACTTGGAATTCATTTATATATGTATATATATTTAATTTTCAGGAAAGATTGGCAGATGAAATAGACAAGCTGAGAGCTGAACTTGACCAACTGAAATTAAGAACAGGTTCTTTAATGGATCCTACATTGTCCAGGTAGCATAAGAAAATAATCATGTTTTGTAGATATATTTCAATCATAATATGTTGGAAACACTTCTCCCAGTTCTTCATCCACAATATTTTGCCAACAGCATTTGAAATATGCACACCATCCAAGATACTGGGTGCAGCATGGTTCCTATTTTAAATGCAAATGGGTAGCCTCAAGTTTTTGTGCAGTGGGGAATTTCCATTCCCCCCACTCCTCTCTCATTGCAGCCTCCTGAATTACCCCCACATCTGCTTGGGAGGGGGGAGGGAGGGGATTGGATCCACCAGCAGTGTTTACTCACCTGGAAACAAACCTTTCTGGGTGAGAGTTTTGGAGTGTTAGTTGGTTTATTGGTCCAAAGGGCAGCAGTGAGAGAGACAGGTAAATACATCATTTCCCCTCAGTCTTGTGTTATATTTACATGGTACACCTATTCCATTTCTGAATTAATCTGCATTAATTGCCATGCAAATTACAATTAACTATAACTGTTAAAATGGATGCGCTCTCAAAATATGCATTTCTTAGCATCGTTTCTCTCAAAGTACACACTGTGAATTCACTGCATATCTCTTGTTTATATGGAGGTGGTCCTATTTTAGTCTTCTTAGCTTTGCTCTTGAGTAGTTCAGTGTTTGTTCTTGTGTATGCTTGTGTGTGTGTACATGTGAGTGAGAGACACTTGCCCAAAATATCTGAGGACCTTCATGTCTGATTTGGGCTTTTCACCTGGTTTCCTTCAGTTTCATTGCTCTATCTACACTAAACTCATTAGCTTTCAGGAAAATAGGTTTTACTTTTTTACTGCTTATTTTTCTTTTCATGAAAGCATATGACAAAGCTTTATTATTTACACAGTATTTTAGAAAATAAACCAAACTGCCTGCTTTAGCTAAAGAGGGGGTGGGGGGGGCAGGATTAAGATCTCTGCAGGTTGTAAAATTTCTTAAATAATTCCTACTCACAGTTTTCCTTTTCTTACTCTTTTTCAATTTTTATTGTGCCTTCTAGCTCATGTGCCACAATTGTTTTTCAGACCCCACCTTGATTCATCAGCAGAGCTGAGGTACTCTGTAGGCTCGCTGGTTGATAGTCAACAAGATTACAGGTCTACTAAAGTGATACGAAGGCCTAGAAGAGGCCGTATGGGCATCCGGAGAGATGAGCCAAAGGTTTATCTTTTGTTTATTGTTCTTTTCCTTATTAAGACTGAACTCATAGGCAGACATAGCTGGAAGTAAGAATGTGCTAGACTCATGGGGCTTACCTCTGAGGAGATCTGTATAGGGTTGCACTGCAGAAGCAGTATTGCTGAGGAATGTACTATTTTTCAATAATGGATATGAATATTTTTGAGCCATACCAGTTGGAGAGATCTGGGTGAGTGCAGCAGTGGTGAAAGACTGTCATGGTGAGGCCCAGCCAACACCTTACCTCACATCCTTTCCTATTTCTGGACTATACAGCACAGATGAAGTGCAGGGGTGATCTTCGGCTCCCCACTGGTTTGCAGTTCTTGCAACATCATGAAACAACCCCAATGATAATCTTAGAAATAGTCCCACATGGGACTATTGGATATGGCACAGAAATTTGATGAATACATAAATGAATAAATGTTGCTCTTAAATTCAGATAATTTGGAGATACACGTGATCTTATGAACAGAAGTCTTGAGTTGTGCAATATCAGTAACCTGCTTTTTTCATCTTGGCAAACCAAAACAGAAGGCAGTCCTAGTATCTCCAATCTACTGTGCTCCACTAGGATGGCAATTCCTATAATCCCCAGCCAACATAGCATTCCTACAGGCTGAGGGTGATGGGAGCAGTAGTATCAGGAGAATGCCAGGTTGGTGAAGGCTGGGTTCTTCATTTCTTCATCTTGTAAAGATGAAGAGTGGCGACTGTTATTGTGAGCCCTAAGATCTTTTCTGTTGATAGGAACAGGACAATGGGCATTCCAGAATGATCTGAAATTCAACTTATAGCCTCTTACAGGCTAAGGTGGCATTGTTCCACTAACATGAAATGCAGGTCATTGTGATGTCATGATACAATCATGAGACATTAACAAAAATGATTTAAGTGTCTCTTACACAACTGACCTGAGAAAACTGAAAGGTGTTAATCAACCCAGCAGTGTTTTACAGTGCTGGTTCTTCAGGTTTTAAGTTCTGTGAAAATTAACGTTTTGATTAAGGCTGATTAGTATGCATTTCTACAATTTCCAATTAGGTGAAATCCCTTGGAGATCATGAGTGGAACAGAAGTCAACCAATTGGAGTTTTGAGTAGCCATCCATTTGAGAGTGACACTGAAATGTCTGATATTGATGATGACGACAGAGATACAATTTTTAGCTCCATGGACCTTCTGTCACCAAGTGGGCATTCTGATGCCCAAACCCTTGCTATGATGCTTCAGGAGCAACTAGATGCAATCAATAAAGAAATCAGGTAATCCTTACAACAAGACCGTAGAGTTGGTCAGTATTATAGTCTCCATATTGGCTGATGTGCAGATGGTAAGTCAGAAGGAAATTGGCTTGCCTAAGCCTTTCCTGTGAATTCATGGCAAAAGTCATTTTCCTGTTACTGAAAGACTTTGACATGAACTGGTGTGGTAAATAATAAAGAAACAAGAAAGATAGTACGTGTAGGAAGGATGTCCTTAAGAAATCCTTACTTGGTTTCTGTGCCCTGAATGGACTTGTCAAAATACTAGGCAAATAAAAACTTTAGAATGCTTAAAAATAAACATAAGCAGAAACTTGGGATAGTCTGAGTCATTCCAAGTGGACACTAGAATGATCAGAAATTATCTGATCTGTTTAAGGGACCTCTAATGTAATGTGTGCTGTTTAAGGGACCTCTGTTTAAGGGACCTCTAGTGTAATGCCAAAGCAGTTGCTAGCATCATTTTCTGGAATCATGTCACATCAACTAATGCTTCTAGTATTGTGCTAGAGGTTCCTTATCCTAGTGCAATGTAGCTTAAATTTGTACTAATGTCCAGTTGGCTACTGCCCAGTGTTTTATGCCACTCAGAACACACAGAATATACATATTCTACTAATTGTAGTTTAAAAAGGAGACCATACATGCAACACGATAACAGAAGATAAATATGCAAAATTACTCCCTGATGGGCTGTTATAGTATTTATTTGATTTGTACCCTGCCTTTCCACTAAGAAAATTGGGCTCAAGCTAGCTCACAATCCTAACAGTCAAAATCTAACTATCAAAACAATACAAACTTGGTTAAAATGGTACTGAAACAGACGTCTTGAGGAACAGGCACCATTGGTGCATTAGTCTCAGCTATACCAATGTATTGCTAGCCACTGCTGAAATCTGGGCATTCAAGTTGAGCAATGAGCTCAGGAGTGTCTCGACACTGCTGCTGAAGTCTCAGTGTAACCCCGTCCATCACTTCTTGAGTTCCTGTTCACTGATTTGCCTTTTGACTAGCCAGAAGTGTCTCTTTTTTGCCTGGATTACATTTCACTTTGTTCACCCTCATCCTGTCTACTGCTGACATCAGGCACAGACTGAGAACTAGATCAGCTTCCATGGGTTTAGATGGAAGAGAAAGTTAAAGCTGAATGTTATCAGCAAAATGATGACACTGAACCCCAAAGGTCCAGGCATTCCCTCCAAACGACTTTCTCTGTGTGTCAAATAGTGTGTGGAATCAGATGGAACCCTGAGGGTTCCAATGCCAATGTAGCCAATGGCTACAGCACTAAACAGCAACCCACAAGTATCACCTTCTGAAACCACTGCCATCAGAAGTTTCCAGATGTGGAGAAAGATATGACCAATAACCCCTGTGATTTTCCAAGTTATAGCCTGAGGGTGGATTTAAATTGGAAATGGCATGGGCTGGAAGGTGAACCCCACCCAACCCCACTGTAGTTCCAAGGACCTGACCTATGTTGGGTCCTTTGTGGCTACCTTAAAACAGGAAAGATCCAGTCATGGATCTCCAATCTCTTGCTTAGTTTGACTGTGGTTGTCACTCATCACACTTGTCTTAAGCTGTGCTGTGATATATGAGAGCAGTCAGCTCACTGTTGATGCTCCTTTAGAACACCATTCTTGTGAACCAGGATGTTTACTTCTGCTGCTTCACATTCGTTTTATAGGTTAATCCAGGAGGAAAAAGAGTCGACTGAACTACGTGCCGAAGAAATAGAAAACAGAGTAGCCAGTGTGAGCCTAGAAGGTTTGAATCTGGCCAGGGTGCATCCTGGTACATCTATTACTGGCTCCATTACAGCTTCCTCACTTGCAAGCTCTTCTCCTCCTAGTGGACACTCAACTCCTAAACTCACTCCACGCAGCCCAGCAAGGGAGATGGATCGGATGGGTGTCATGACATTGGTAACGAAACATGCAAATACATTTTGTGCTGATGGGTTTCTTTATTTTAATAACCAAATCTGTTTTATTAGTTTGTTTCTTTTCCTATTCATGTATCTATTCACTTATGATCAGAGGCAGGTACAGTATTAATGCCTTGAGCAGCATCCTAAGAGATGTCAGAGTAACATGTCTCCCAAGAGCAGCAGTGGGAAACTGCTGGCCCTCAGCTGAAAGTCATGCTCCTTTCAGCTTAATTTCATGTGGGTGGCAAAAATGGGGGAAGAAGTTGCAGAAAGAGAGAAAGGAGGGGCCCTGCCCACTTTTGATCAGGGCCCACCTATTACCAGCCTGTGACCCACAGTGGATCACCTCTGAGAGAAAGTGGACTGCAGCAGGAAAAATGTTCCTTGTCCTAGTGCCAATACAAGATCGGTTCAGAGGCGAGGCCACATTATCGTTTGGCATAATGTGAATCAGCTCCCATTTGCAGATTTGATCCTGGAGTCCAATCTCGTTTTGCAATTGTTCAAAACACAGTTTTTCATGTAAGATATAATGATAAACTATGGTTTGCCAAAAGATAGAAAGTTGCTAATTAAGTGGAACATGTGGAGAAGGAATGGGAAAGAGGGAGCCAGGAGGAGAGGCAGCCAAGGACAAAGTACATTCACATGCATCTGAATCAACTCGTAATGTTGCAGCAAGAGAACCAAGCCCTGAATATGTCTTATTAAAAACAAGGGGAGGTTTGCTGTAGGGCAACAGAAGAATTCAATTTGCCCTGCTTCTTCTGATACAACTAAAACAGCAGTGGAAGTGCTCACTGTAAATTTATAGATTCAAATAAGGTATTGTCTTTGAAGTATCATTTTTCTGGTATTTCTGAAGTCTTATGTTTGAGAAGTCAGAAATATTTATTTTGAAATTAATAATGGTTTGAAGAGCACTCGAAGTGTTTGTGAAACGTTTCCACATGTTCTCATACATATTTAACTTCTTCTGGAGAAAAGCATCCAGAAAAGGAAGGGAAGCCTTGATTTTGAGCTGACTGCAAAGGAAAGAGTTTTAAAAATCTGTTCCTTTGCTCTACTTCAAGTTAGCTCAGTTATCGAAAGAAAATAAAGTTTTAGAAAAATCCCAATATAATGTATAACTCCACCCTCAGAAGTTTGTAGTTCTAATGAAAAGTCCACAAAACTGTGAGAAAGGTCCTTCTAGATCTTTGGTGAGTACTTCATTGTGAAGTGGCACAGAAGATGGTATATTTGTATTTTTAACTATATGGTATAGGAATATAGTTGGCATAATAAAGTCCACAAATAGCTTCTTGTGGTTGTGTACATCAATAGCATTTGTCCTCAAGTCAAACTTATATAAAGTTAAGATAGCCTATGTGGTGTAATGGTTGGAGTGCTGGGCAGAGAAATTTGGGTCTGTATCTTCCCTTCTGCCATGTAATTTACCGGTTTGCTGGAGCTGACACCATCTTTCATCCAAACCTACCTTATAGGGCTGTTGTAATCTCAAATGTATATTATCCTGAGCTTCTTGGAACAATATTGAGAAAGAATATACTTATAGTTGCAATGCATATATATCCCATATTGCACGGCGACATATACAATCCTCGTCTCAATTTTATCCTCACAGCAACCCTATGAGGGAGGTTAGAATGAGAATTAGTGGCTGACCCAACGTCACTCAGTGAGTGAGAACTGCAACCAGGGTGTCTCCAGTCCCAGTCCAACACTCTAACCTGTATGCCACATCAGCTTTCAATAATATATACTAATAGATATATCCATTCCAGTTTTCTGAATATGACATCACTATATTTTCTTCTACCTAAACTGCTCTGAATGTTTGTCTCTTTTTCTTTTGTTTTTTATCTCTAGCCCAGTGATCTCAGGAAGCACCGGAGAAAGGTATACTTTAAAACAAACTTGCCACTGAGAACTCCTCTCTCCATTTCCATTTAAAATTCAAGTTAGTTACTGCAGGGTCTTAAAGATACAGGAATAGGTTTGCCTAAATAATGCTATAAAAGTTCTGCCTTTAAAACCAAACTAAGAATCTCAGCTTTCAGGCCATAATCAGGATAAATCAAGTTTTTTGCTGTCTTTTTCTAGTACAGTTTGATTCATAATGTTGCTTATTAGTGTATTTATAGGAACATACACATTATACTGGTTAAGGAACACATTGACCATTCTTCTAAAATGTAGTAAAACAACCTAACTTCTATAGCAGCACTTTGTACAAGTAATTGCACATTATGAAACCAGCAGAAGTTGGGGTAATGTTACTTTAATTTTTAGAATTTTTCTGTACTTATCCACATCCATACTGGACTGGTGAACAGTATGAGATTAAAACAAATAGAGAACAAAAAAAACCCCAATAAGTTAAAACCATTTAAAAATGAAATAACATTAAGACCACAGCTGGTCATCAAGAAAAGGCTTCCCAATGAGTAGGACTGCCTTTACACTGAACATACACTAAAAGCTGCATAGTGTTGGCACCTGCCTGACCTCCAAATACAGGGAGTTCCATAGACATGGAACTGCCACCCTGCATGGTCTTCTCCTGGTAGACTCCTATTGAGCCATGGCTCCATGTGATCCACCAGGAGAATGTCCTGTGATGGCCTCAGCAACCTGGCAGGTTGGTACAGGAGAAGGTGCTCTCTTTTCTGGATTATTAATGAGGACTCTGGTCATTTTGTGCTAATTCTGGATAAACCTGCTTAAATATGTGTCTGCTTTTGTTCATAGAAATTAATGAAAAAATGACTGGTGCACATCCAGTTGCTTGGGTGATTCAGTATTTGAATCCTATCACTTGGTTTTTGTCACAATATATGTTTATCTGGTTATTTCTGCTGAGCTATTCTGCAATCATATGTGTTGAATATTAAAGTATATTGAGGTAAAATAGCAGGTGCCCCATTCAGAGATCTTGTGCATTAACCTAGTTTTCCAAACATGGAACATGAGAGCACACAGGAGTATGAGCAACATCAGCCAGTCAACTGGCCTTGCATTAGATTCATAATGAACTAGTTATATGATGCCCAAAAGTCAAAGTAGACACATATATATCCCTTCCATGCTGGACTTCGTTTATTGAATGGCAGCTACAGAGGAGATTTTGTACTACAGGGTGGGAGGAAGAGAAGGGATTTAACCCTTTACCCATCATTGTTCCAATTAAAATTGCCTTCCCCATCCTGATTTGCTAATTACTCAATTTTAAGAAAAGTTCACATAGGCCAACTTCATGCTCAGCATCATTATGTCCAGTTTAATCTTCAGGAATTGGAAAATAGGACTAGAATGTCTCACCACAGGACCACAGTGATGTCTGAAGACCCCTTTGCATTTTCTTTCTATTTCTTTCGTGTGCTAGGAATGGAAGGCTATTTTTGTGTAAAAGTTGCATTTGCTTGGAAAACGTGATTAATCTCACCAAACACATTCCTTTGCTGCAAGTTACATTGTTTCTTGTATATAACTTTGAACGTTTATTTCTAAGCTGCATTTTATGAAAATGGTTTTATCTGTAGATTGCAGTAGTTGAAGAAGATGGACATGAAGATAAAGCTACAATAAAATGTGAAACCTCTCCACCGCCAACACCTAGAGCAATTAGAATGACTCATACACTACCTTCTTCATATCATAATGATGCCAGAAGGTAAGAAGCTGTTTCTTTGAGACACTTCTTTCACATGGTGTATTAAATGAACACATCCATATAACTTCCAGATTAACTTCTGCATGAATTCTCATCTATGCTAGTTAAACCTGGTTTTCCTGAAATAGATTCAGACCAATTTTGCTCTGTGAGGTGATTTTATTACTTTTTGGTGGGACCTCGCTCATAAGAACTAGCTTGTCTGAGGGACAAAGTGGATGCAGAGGATAGGAGGAGATACCAGCTAACACAGGGCTTTCGTGAAACAGGTGTTTTGATGGAGCATGCTACTTGTACTAGTTGAGGTAGTTGTCAGCCACCTGCTTGGAGTAGCAGTGATCAGAACTGTGAATTGACATAATAATCTGTTTTGCATATAACTCATGTTTTATTTAACTCAATACTAACCAACAATGTGTTGGACTACCCAGAGTTTGACTGGCAGATGATTGAACAGACCATGGGTTTTTTTCCCCTTAATGCCTGCCTTTTTTGTTTGTTTGTTTCCCTTCTCTATCCACTCTTTCCCTTTATCACACATGTCTTTGCAGAACTATAATATTGGCATGCAGAGTGACTAAGGTTTTTTACCATCTTGCCCACCAGCTCTGTAATCTGGCAAAACCATTCCTAAACAAACTATGGTTCTTAGTTCACACATAAGGACAACCCAAGGGTTAACAATCTAGAGTTCACAAGTCAACAACAACCCATGGGTTCTCTTGCTCACTTACTTGTGATTGAGTTGCAGCTGTAAAGAGCACTTTGACCAATGCATATGATTTAATTATTGTAAGCCGTCCTGATATGCCATGCATAAGGGACAGCATACAAAAGTTTTAAATAAAAAATAAATAAAGATGTCACTCTGGATTCACTCTAATTTCACTTTGTAAAAATTTTAAGACATAGCAGTGACTCACACATTATGTTAAAATGGCACATACATGATAAATTGCTTTAATAATTTACACATTTACACACGAGGAATCTACCCAGGCTGCTCGTTAGAAAGTCAGGAACTAAAGATGAAGGTCAAATACTTTGGCCACCTAATGAGAAGGACGGACTCATTGGAAAAGACCCTGATGCTGGGTATGATTGAAGGCAAAAGGAGAAGGGGATGGCAGAGGTTGAGGTGGCTGGATGGACTCACTGGAGAGGTGGGTGTGGGCTCCAGGGGATGGTGGAGGACAGGAGAACCTGGAGGAATGCTTTCCATGGGGTCACGAAGAGTTGGGCATGACTTTGCAACTGAACAACAACCCATTTCTTAATGGAGATAATAAAATTGCATGCATCCTATACTACAAATCACAATTACAAATGCGTGGTCTAACACCCAGTTTTTACATAAGCTATGAATCCCAGCCAGCCCTCCCATATAATGAAAAAGTAGCCCTCTGCGAGTAAGCATCTCTTTAATAGGAACCAATTTGTACATGCTCAGGTGTGAATTAAGTTATGCAACATTAAATTGGCTACAGAAGTGATAAACTAAGTGTGGTTCAGTTATGGAGTTTAGTAATACAGCTAATGCTAAATACAGCTGGTAGGTTTTAACACTTGGATCATGGTCCAAGGGCTGATCATGGTCCAAGGAAGACATTTGAAGCGCTGATATTTTTACTAGCACTAGCAGTCTTTTAAAGCCCCGTATTCTGAATTTTTGATCCTCCTATTTATGGTTCTTTTCCAGCATCATTCAAAATATGCAAAGTAGGCATGTACTAAGGCTTGATTTCTTACGCAGTATGTCCTTCATAATAACTTCCATGTAAGACATAGATGCTGCTTCTGAGTAGCTTATTACATTTGCAGATAGCACACGGTTTCCTGCTGGGAATCAGCTTCACCGTGGTGCATAAATGGCAAATATTCTCTTTACCTGGAAATGCTATGTATATATTTATATGCATAGCATTTATATCCCTCCCCCTCATATAATTCATTCAGACAACACAATAAATAAAGCATACATTTTAAAAATAGAGACATCAAGCAACCATCACTCAAAAGCCTACTGAAAGAAAAGCCAAAAAGTAAATAAAGGTGAACGAAGGGCAAATTCCAGAACTGGTTGGTACTGCTGAGAAGGCGCTCTACTGAGTTATACATAACATTTAACTTTTGTCAGTGATGGTGTCTGCTGAAGGACCTCCCCAGCTGACCTCACAGCCCAGGGAGGATTATATGTCGAAAGTCATTGTTTGAAGAAATGCTCTCTACATAGAACTGCAAGGCATTTATTTTAAAAAAATAGTAAAGACTTTTTAAATTGCAAAGCAAAAATGCTTTAGTCAGAATCACAGATTCACAGAATAGATGGGTCAGAAGGGGCAAGAAGGCCACCGAGTCCAACCCCCTGCTAATGCAGGACTCCAGTTACACCATCTCACTCAGATAACTGTCCAATCACTTCTTGAAAGTGTGGAAGAGTGCACAACCTCTCACTGTTCTTCTCTTATTGACACCAAAGAAAAAATGATTTATGATGAGGTTTAGAAAGACAGACAATTGACAGGGAGATTCTCTTATTGGGATCAGAAGCCAGAAGAAAATTTGCTGACTAGATGTAAGCAAAGGTAGTAAGTTTCTCTGTTTTATCTCTGCTTCAGAATGCAGTGAAGAGATGAAAACATAATAGTTTGAAGGCTAGAGAAACTGCTTATCCCGTTTCTGTTGAGCTAGACTTTTGGTATCACCGATGAGCACAGCAGTCACCATACAGACGCCAGCATTTCCACGTTGGGAAGTTCCAGGCAAGCACCTGGAGGTAGCGTTTCTGTATTAGAGCTGCTTCCAGCAGTAGGAACAAAGGCAGTAGAGGAGCACTGAGGCTTTCCCAGAGGCTGTTCTACCACCAGCATCCTGGCTGTTGGGGAGGAGCAGCTTTTGAGAACACTGAGGGGCTTCTACCTGGATTTGCTCAGAAAGGTTATTTTATATCCCAACCTGGTAGGAAAAATAACTTTTCACTGGGTTTTCAACAAGTTCCTGTTCAGGCTAGAGATTTCTCAGGTAAGACAAACTCTCCTTTGTTTTGTGTTAAAACAGTGCTTTGTTACAAATCAAATTAATATGATACCTATCCACAAAGGCTTCTAAAACTTTTTGCAAGAATGATTTTAATGGAGTTTTGATGAATTATGTCTCCTTTCTATCATGTTTTGTTAGATTTGGATCCTCTTGATCAGCATCAGTGAGACATGAAAATTAGCCATTGTGTTGTTCCAAATATTACTGTGATGAAGGAAAGAAGCCCTCAGTAACTTGATTAATGTTTCCAATTATGAAGATAGTCTTATTAGATTCCAGATAATTTGTTTGCACAGCTGCCTACGAGGGGATGGAACCTCATAAGGACAATAATGTATTATCTATCTTTTGTGTGTATTTTGTAGTAGCTTGCCTGCATCCTTGGAGCCAGAAAGCATTGGTTTTGGCAGTGTCAGTAGCAGCCAGGATTCCCTACACAAAGCTCCCAAGAAGAAAGGAATCAAGTCTTCAATAGGACGCTTGTTCGGTAAAAAAGAGAAGGCTCGACTTGGACAGCTCAGTAAGGAATTAGTTGTACCAGGCTCAGGTCACTGTTCTTCAGTCCCTTTTCTTTTCTTTTTTCATTTTTTGATACTTTTTTTTTCTTTTTTTTGGTTGATGGTTTGGTTTCTTTTTTGGTTTGGTTTTGCTTTTCCAAACACAATTTCTTTCTTGTGATGGATCTTTTCCACATAATTTTCTTATAACTACTATTGACTTTCACAGTATTGATTTTGTGTTCCTAAATAAACAAGGGGGATAGACCAAGATGCCTTTACTTCTCTCTGCTACCTTTTATGAAATCAGTCAGGTGAAACTTTGCCAAGGCATAACATTACACACTGATGAGCAAGCATCTCAATCTGTCAACTGGATGAATGGACCGCATACCACAACCAATGTTACCTTGATTTTATATAACTTTTAACCTGATAGAGACCTGGGTAGCAAGAACTTAGGGAAAGCATTGGTTCACACCATTTTCTTACTATTATGAGTTCACATCACACTTAAGTCTCTCTCTTAATTGGCAAGAACCCCTGCTGCTACGTTGTGCCATCCTTTTGTTTTCGGTTTTGGTTTTCAGGAGGTTTTTTTGGTATAAAAATAATAGAATCATGTGGCCCCTTAAAGAGAAACAAATGTATTCTTGCATAAGCACTTTCCATTTCCATTACACTTTCCATTTCGTCAGATGCCTTGTGTTAAGCTGTACTACGTACAGTAAGACTTTAATGTCCTCTGTATTGATCTTTTAGTTGAATACTATAAGTTTCTCTCACAAAAGTTCACATATATTCTTGAGGAACTTCAAAAAAGAGGCCAAGAGTGGGGAAATTACTTTCAAGAGACAGATTATTAAGAACATATTTAACTGTTTCAACAGTCTGCCACAATGCTTGGCTGTTGTTTAGAAAAACATCTGAGATGTCATTGATGGCCAGAACACACAGTGGTTTGATACTATGGATCCTATTAGATTATGATGTTCATCTATGATATCATATTTCAGTTCACCCTCAATGTCTTCCTATCACCTGTTCACATTATTCAGTTGTCACATTTTCTGTACCTTAGCATTTTGTTCAAAACAAAGCTAAATGCTTGTACTTCTCTCTTTCTTCATGACAGGAGTAACAAGGACACCATATTAGACCCTAATATTTAGGAAACTGTGTCTTTATTTAGATAACAGCCTCTCTTTTGCAAAGACATAGATAACAAACACTTACAATATGAACCCACATAAAATCCACATTTTGAACGTAGTGTGGATTCTGTTTAAACCAGTGGAATATTCAGAAATAATGTGCCATATTATTAGAAAAAATAAGTGCAGTCAGGTACCATTGCTAATTTTTAGCCCATATTAATTCATTTTCCTGCTGAAATATTATCTTTTAAGTCTTACTTTAGAATTTCCATTGTTCTGCTAGAGAGAAAAAAATCTCTTTTCAAAAGATGTAGATTCAATATATTTCAAAGTCATTTTAATGATGCGTCCCTAAGTTAGATATTCCCATCTGCACATACTGAAAGCTTAATATCTTTACCATGGGTTTTTCATTATCAATTACATCCATAATACCATTTTAGTGCTATTGGCCCATTAAGCACAATCATATCTGATTTTTAGTAATTTGAAGGCCCAGAGATTAAAATACAATAAACACATTCATATTTGTTATATTTTTAGGGTGCATGATGGTGATTTCCATCTGTGAAGAGTATCTTAAGAGCAATTGTAGTTGCCCAGTGGCTTACATTTTCATTCACTCTTTTACAGTAACTCATTAAAACATAATAGCTGGATAAAATCAATGTGTAGTTCTGAACACATACTTAGAATAAATTATCACCAAATTTTAGTAGTAATAAGGAATACAGTGTACCTTAGTTTAGCCAAAGGTATATTTTCAGAGGAGAAATGAAGTATTATCAAAGTATTACATTTTTATTAAAAGATAGGGCAGCTAATAGGGCTGTAGAAATATGCAATTTTAATGTTCTTATTTTTTGTGTATTCAGGGTGCAACCTTATGGGGATGTCTGTAAATTCCCATACTCAAAAATTTATGGCCATCCTGTGCAGGCGGACCTCTCTGGGGAGCGCATTCCATAGGTTGGGCGCCACCGCAGAGAAAGCCCTCCTCCGGGTACTTACCCTCCTAATTTCCTTCACGGAAGGTTCCTGGAGAAGGGCCTCTCCCACTGATCTCAGGGGGCAGGCGGGCATATATGGATGTAAGCGCTCCTTCAGGTAGCCAGGACCCAAGCCGTTTAGGGCTTTATAGGTATTTTCCCTATTTGCTTCATCTGTACTGTCCTTTCTTTCAAGCAGTGTATCCTATTGGCTAATGTGGATGTGAGCATGAACAGGAGTTCTGAGTGGAGATGGAGAAGGCAGGTGTAGATTACAAGTGTCACCTGTCAGTTACATCAGATCATGGTGTTCTTCTTAATTTAAAATAGCACCATGGTACATGATAACATATTTCCCATATTCAGACTCACCATTGCTTCAATAAGCTCTTTTGCTTTAGCAGCACTGCTATCCTAATTGTACATGTTCAGGTGATGGTGAATTAAACATGATGATATTAGCCATACACAACTTGGGCTTGGGCCATGATGTGCCGTAGCCCACAAGGTGTTGATCTAATATGTACTCCCTTCATGTGCCAGTGCAAACAGTTCATATTGCTGGTGAGAGTGGGGGAGAAGGGGAGAGAGAGAGAGAGAACATACTTTTTGCACAGAATTAAAGATATTTTCAAAGAGTGATACAGACAATTATCTCACTTTTGCTTCTCATACACAGGCTTTTCAGTCCTTTGTATTATTTCAAAAAACCTGAAATGCCAGTATCATCAAAGGTGCCCTGGGCAAAAGAAATATCATGGGGAGCTCTGCCTCTCCAAAACTACTTTCAGCTTTCCCGAAAACTATTCGGTTGTTATCCAAAAGTAATATGGACAGAAGGTCATTGCCCAAAAGGCCTTTCCTGCTATTTTCATGCTGTTGTAATTCCTAGCACACTACCCCCACACCCCACTCCCCTCAAAAAATCGTGGAAAGGCTTGGGATGTGATGCAAAGAACTGCTATGGAAAGGGGGAATCTGAGAGTATTTGGCTGGGCCAGTTCCACTTCTGTAAGAAATTCCTTTCTACCATGGCAGTCCTCATGCCAGGTCTCCCCAGTGAGTACCACAGGCCCCAGCAGCATGTTTGGGAAGGCAGAGGAAGCTGCATAGGAAGGAAGGGGTGGGAAATGCCTCTTGTATGAATGGCATTCTGGACACCTAACTTTTCAATGCAACCCATTGGAGGCTGCTCTGGGAATAGACCTAACCAACTTCACACTTCCTCCAAAGCCCCAGGAAATGTAACTTTCCTATGCCAAAAAACTCAGTATTTATCATATAGTTGATATCCAGCCTTCAGAATAAAATATTACTTCCTTCATATATACTGAACGAGCCAGAGACTTTCCAATATCCTTATCAGAGCAAAGACACTTTCTTCCTGAAAGCACTTCCTTCTGTGTGGTGTTGCAAACTACCAATTACTTGCAACTTCGAAAACACCATGGGAGCTCCATTTTAAAGTGCCATTTTTCTGGAGGAGGAGTTGTTCTGTTCCTCAATAACTGAAAGCTGTACCTGGTACAGGAAAGTGATACCAGATAAAATCTTCAGTTCGGTACTGTAAGAATTTGTTGAAGTGCAACTGCAAACTTTGACATCTTTGTAAGGCCTTCCAATCATCCGACAAAGGATTTGCTTGCAAAAAGTCCTCTCCATCCCAATGTAGAGTACATCAAAGAAATGAATTTCAAGATTTATATGTTTCTGGTTTTGTGTATGTACACATGTATTTCAGAATGCAGACTTAAAATTTTACAAGCAATATGCTAAGCTAATAGAGCACTTGACAAAAAGGACAAGGGAGAAAATCTCTTTGCTTTTTTACACAGGAGGTTACATGGAAACAGAAGCTGCAGCACAAGAATCTCTGGGATTAAGCAAACTTGGAACACAGGCAGAGAAAGACCGAAGACTAAAGAAAAAGTAGGTTGCTTACTTTTGCTCTTCACATGTCATACGTTGTTAGTATGCTCCTTTGATCCTGAATTCATGCTCAGCCTGGCTTTCATCTGCTTGATACGAGCTAGGAGTTATATGTTTTTCTATATGGCTAGATAAATATATTTAACTTAGCAGAATTCTTGATCTATTTTTCAAAGATATCATTTATTATAATTGGTAAATTGCACACATTTTGAATAAAAAGGCAAATGTATATTTGCTTAATTAATAGAGAATGGTTTTCCTAGTGCATTGCTTGCTGAATTGTAAAAAAAAACCTAAATCTATTTGAAGGATCATTTCCATCTACTTGTAAGTAGTGCATAAAACAAGAGGAGGAAAAGGAGGGAGGGCTGTCTGCATTTATCTATTAGCAGCCTATTTGATATGCAGATGTTTTAGTTGGCACTGGCAATTCTGTATTCTCTTCAATCTGCTATAAGAGTGACAAACCAGAGTGTTGTCTATCTGAATTATAGGGATAATTATTTGCTTCTTTCCTTTGCAATTACTAATAAACCTAATTCAGCAGCTGCTATGACTCAGGATGTGCAGAAGGGGGAAGGTATAGTAAAATATAATCATTTCTCCTTCTCAATACTTTTCATGCTCCATAGAAAAAAGAGATACTCTTTAAAAATACAGAGAAGGTTTCTTTTAACAATGAAGGCTATTCATATTTATTCATGTTTCAAAATACTAATTTTGTTTCCATTGCTGCTTTTGAAATTTTCCTCCACATCCTCTGATGCACTTACTTCCACTGCTTGGTGCTAACTGTATCAGGAATCTTTGGTATTGTGTGCTACCCTCAGGTGTGTCCCACCATTTGCCCTTGTTTATCTGTAGTGTGCACATGAGCTATGTGTTCTATATCATGTGTGGCTGTGAGAAAAATGTATTTCCACCATTCACTGTTCATTGTTCAACCTGATAGTTGAGCTTGTAAAAATCATGATATAACAATCTGAGACTGAATTCCACAAACCGGATTTTATTTCACTCTGTTTTCTAAAATGTGTAACTGGTTTTCAAGTTCAGCCATGACTGTGCAGAACAACAGAGAGGAAAAGAGCAACATTGCATCATGGTGCCAAGAGAGCTGTGACATTTAGGAAGATTCAACAGGAAAATACGGCTGTATTTTTCTGATCACTATGTGTTTCTTAATATGTATCCAGCATTAACAAAGTGACATTTCATATAATAAAAGGTATATTTCAACCTGGAATTTAGTTGGATATATAGGGTTTATCTATCACTAAATAAGCAGTCCATTATGAAGTATAACATGAAATGCTTGCTATTGATGAGAGGACTACCATCTGAATGTGAAATAGTTTATTTTATCTCTGCACTCCAATCCAAAACTTGTATAGTGACATAATGCAATAGCAAAACTTGTGTGATGCTGTTAGAATATCTGGATGGTCACAGAACAGGAACCAATCACTGTGCTCTGTATTATGCATAAGCAACAGAAGTAAGCATTGCTTCGTGATGGAGACATAAATCTATCGAACTTTATTTTGATATTACTGTTTTTGCAACTGTCTTTAAAAAAGGAAGAGACGCTGAATGTGTGAAGTGGAAAGATTCTGTGACAATGGGAAAGATTTTGCCCAAACTTTTCTTCTTTAGTCTCTCATTATGGTAGTTGGAAATGTGAAACAGGCAGTTTAACCCCCAAATACTGGGTTGTAGAAAGGCTGTCAGGGAAATACAACATATGCATCCCAGTCTAGAGGATCCAGTCAGCTCTGGGACATAGGCAGCAGGCATCTACAATTGGAGCACCAGAACTAGAGGTGATGGAGGTCTTGATGAGATGCAATAGGTAGGACCAGAGGCAAAGACAAAGCCAGGTACAAGTAAGGGTCAGATACTGGCAAGGCATGGCGAGGCCAGAGGGAAAGGCAAGGTTGGGAATAGGAACAGATTCCTCACAACAGTGTGGTAGGACCAGGGGCAGAGTCAGGAACAGGCAGGAGTCAATGCACAGAGAAAGACATTGCAAGACCAGCATCAGAAGCTAGATCAGGAAAAATAAGCAGCCACCATGAAGACTTGCACGGTTGCCACAAAACTAAGCAGGGCTGAGCAGCCTGTTACAGCCCCTCCTGTGCCTTCCAGCTTGTTTTCGTGATTGCCATGGCCCTGATCCCTGCAAGGACCTACAGGCCTGATACCAGTCCTGTGAGCCCTTGCTGGGAGAACAAGGCTTCCTGCTCTTCCTAGCCATCAAGGAGACCTGTGCTTCTCAGCAGGTCCTGACAGCAGTAGTGATACTTGGAACATGGGCAGGTTCTTTCAGTTTCCTTTACACTGCTGATAAAGTTTTTTCATAAAATCCATAGGGTTTAACCATGGCATCACCAATCATTTTTATACAATCCTTGTTGTTAGGTAAATCAGTTTAAAATATTGTTGGTTTTGTTCAGAAGAAAGATGTGATGATTTATATAACAAGCTGTTGCTAGAGACTTCTGTGTTGCCTTCTGTACTTCATATTTGTCTCCCTGCTGAATTATTTTGGTTTCTTTTCTGATTTCACCTTCAACTGTGTGACATGGCTTCTGATTAGCCCTTAGAATGGGATGGACAATTTCTCACCAGCCAGATGTTTTGGTCTACAATTCCCATCAGCCCCTCCCAGCATAATGGCAAGGGAGGATGGGAAGGGTCAGCCAAAACATCCTAAATAATACCAGGTTTTCAACCCTGCCTTAGAATATGGTAACAGGGCAAGCAACTGTAGAGAATACTTTTTCTCTAACAGCCCAGTGCATATTGATACATGGATATCTAATGATAACTTAGCACTTACATCTATATATCAGCTTTATAATTACATTTTTAATCGCTGGTTGTCAAACAGGGAATTCCTGGGAAAAATCCATATGCAAACCCAAAAACCATTGTCCTTATATAATGTATTATTGTGCATCTTTTGCCAGAGGTACTATGAGAAAACAGTTATTATAATCCCCTGACATTCTTGCAGTTTTCAGTGGTCCCCTCCACACGTGGTGCCTGCAGCCTCACTTAGGACCATCTTCTGCAAAATTCTCTGACATAGCTATGGGCTGAGTGTGAAAGAAGAAGCCACATGGATGCCAGGGCTGATCTTGTTACTGTTTCCCATTGAATTGCCCTTGACCGTATGACTGATATTTCTGATTTATTTCTATTATTCTATTGATGTATTATAATGTTAATAATTTTATCTGTTTTTAATGAAATAATTCCCAAACATTTTAGGGAATGGTCTGATCCAGCATGGCTCTTCTTATGTACTTAACTCTTTCTTGTGTAGATTGGAAGGCCTTCAAGATTCCATCCTCTTCACAGCTGAATTGGAAAGTAACATGGTGATTACCCACCTCCAAGTCACACCTGGGTCGCAAAAAGTGCAAAAAGGAACATGTCAAAGGGTGCGGAGGAGAAAAAGATGGGTCTGAGGGCTCATGCTGATTTCTACCAGTGTCCCATCCGCCTTTCCCTCCCATCCTTGGTCTTTTACCTAGACTGAAGGTGGCCATCAAGATAAATGCAGGGCAAGAGGTGCTCTGATGATTTACAGCCATTTAGTTAATAAACTGGGAACTTGGCCAGCTACTTCACAGTATAGATAAGCCTTGCAGTAAACAGTCAGTGAAGGCTGTCTTGGCATTACTGGTATAAAGTGTTCCAGTGAGATTGCACAGGATGTTCAGAGTCTGTTGCAGACTAAGTCTGTAGGAGGATTAATACAGCAGGGCAACTGTGACCTGATAGGTGTAACTTAAACATGGTGGGATGACTCCCATGCCTGAAATTCAGCAACTTATTTAACAGAACTTATTCAACAACACAAGGAACAGAATGAGGGGAGGAGTCACAGTATATGTTAAAGATACATATCTCTGCAGAGTAATAGAAGCGGATGAGCGAAGTAGCCCCACTGAAGGCAACCGGATTAAAATGAATAGAACGAAAAATAACAGAAACTAAGTGGTCAGAATCTATTACCTCCCATCCAATCAAGGAGAAGACAAAGATGAAACTAAGTAAAGTAAATGGACAGTGTTGATGCCACCAATTACCTAAGACTGAAACCAGTGGCCTTATTGGACTCTTCCAAGTCTACTATTTCATGATTATATAATTCCCGGTCAGTCTGAGAATCAAGAGAGGTTCTCTGTTCAGGTTTGTTCCACAGTAATTCACCAGAGTCTAGTCAAAACAAGAGGGCAAATAGTCAGGAACAAGGTCTAGGGCACCAGAGCAAAGTTGGACATTTTTCCCAACAGGTTTACTGGCAGTATTAGTCAGCCTTTTATCCAAGAACTCAGTGAAAATGGCCATGCTCTGCTCCCAGTGCCCACAAACACAAAGGCCTGGTGTACAACCTGGCACTCTGCTGGAGAGTGAAAATCTGTATGCTTTAAAAAAAAAAAGTGGCATTCATGAGGGCTGGGAGGTCTTCCTATCTCTGGCTCAGATTCTGAGTCTTCCAGGGGAGAGAGAAGACTCCCCCCAGCCATTCACCCTTTGGGGGCTCAACCTCCTTAACCATTTCCAATGTGTTTTCCTCTTGTATTGCTATCTCTGCTGTCTCCTCAGACAGCAGGGCATCCCCATAACCAGGTGACATAAGCTCTTCCTCAAATGAGGACTCCCCAGGCAGAAACATGAAGGTGCTGCAGTGGTGGAGATCATCACCACTACATCTCATTCCTACCATTGGATGCTCATAAGCTCCAGTTTTAGAGGCTTATGTGCATCTGCCACAGGAGCATTGGATTGTGCCAGTCTACTTAAGACTGTGTCTTGAAGACTCCTTTGGTTGATGGACCAGAGCATTAGTTATTTAGAATATTTAGTTCTTAATCTAAGATTTAGATATTACTTGTTTAGAAGATGGGATGTGTGAAGCAGTGATATCGAATCTCATTGCTTTTGTGGGAGTTTTATAACTGAATAATATGATTGTGTGTGCTCACTGTAAAGCATAGAGTGCAAATAATATATATTAACTCAGAAAAATATGGACGCATATGAAATATGGACGCATTTAAAATTTCAAGGGCTTTGTGGTTTATAAATCAAATCAGTTTATAGTTCTTTTTATATATCTTATTAGATCCATGCTAAATTGCTGAGTTTTTAGGGTGTGATTTTGAAAAATGCAATTAGAATTAAAATAAGGATTTTTATATGCCATCATTTAATCGTTCTAACACTTTCAAGTATGGATTTTCAGTGTATTTTACAAATTTAAGATGGAAGCTTAATTATGATTTTATCATGTAAAATATGCTGTTAAATTCCTACAAACAAACTGCATGATTCATTTGGGTGATCATATAATTTAGATGAGTATGTAGCTGTGATTTTCAAAAGCTATAATTCATAGCTGGGAGCATCTTCAGTAGTAGTCTGGTTTTGGAAAGTTTAATGTTAGGATGGGATATCATTGGCCCAGTTTCTCCTTATCCAGAACCATACATCTTTTTTCCCCAAGAAAATTCCACATTCCTCTGCTTTTTTTCTCCCATATCACTTGCACAACAAACTATAGAAACAGACAAGGAAAACAAGAAGTATGACAATCAGCTGCCAGTCCTAATATTCCATGGAAGTATTAAATATTTGTGCCGTTCAGTTGTGTTAACTTTGTGGGTCTTAGGCTCTGGGAAGTCACAAGCTTTCATTACTTCACGTCATTTTTATACCGCTCGATATTGCAAGATCTCGGGATGGTTCACATCAATTAAATGGAAATGAAACTGCCTGAACTTCCATACTTGTGCCACAACCCACATGTGTTGGCTGAATTTATTCAGAGAGCCAAGGGCCACCTAAAATTTGGAATTGGGATGAATGCTTCACCAAGTATGATGACTTTATCAGGTCACTTAAAAAACTTTGAACACCTGTAGGTATATGATGTGACCAAGGGTTAAAAGAAGTCTGATTTTTCATTTGTTTCTTCAGCAATTCCTATGGATAAAGCATCCCACAAATTAGCAGCACCATTCATATAAAGAAAGCACGAATCCTTTTCTTAGTGTCACTAGAAAAATTTAGCACACTGGCATGGAGCAAATTCCTTCTGCTGAAAATGTATCAATAACTCTGGCAAGGATGGCCTCATATCTAAGCTAATAATACCTATGTGTCACTGCAGTGCAATTACTTGAGAGAATATAGATAGCCATTGCACTTCCCTTGCTTTTGCACAGTATGAAATTTGATGTTAATGCACAAACTCCACCTAATTCATTAGCATTGTTTTCAAATGGTATACCAAACTTCCTGCAAATCAATCATGCCACGCTCCTGGGTACAGAATCTCACTACATGGGAGAGATTAACTGTTTCCTAAGGTGCATTTTTGCCACATCAAGGATTATCAGTGAGCTAATGGGGAGAGTTATGACAGCCATCATTCAGGTACATGTTGGAAAGGGAGCAACTAGGGAAAGGTCCTTTGGGAAACCAGTAATTGAACAAAGCACCTTTTTTAGGCTGCAGAAGGATGTATGCCAACCCATGGGAAATCTACCCCTTTTCATAGGGTGCTAAAATGTGGCAGCAGCAACAAAGTAAATTACAATAATCTTCCATCTAGTCTGCAGAATCTTTTCCTTCATAAGACAGGGTTCTGAATGCTTTATACAGTCTGGTGTATAATTGCTTTGTTGTAAGATTACTGGGAATGGCAGGCTTCCTACAAGCCTCTCATCTATAATCTTCCATGGGGAAGGTCATGGTGGATGTTCTACTTCTAATGTGCATGATTGTAGATTTACAAGACTTGGGGCAGAAGAGACTTGAGGCATCAGAATGCAATGAGTTACAGCTTACATGCTGTTTCCCTTCCCTGGCTCTCACGTATCTAGTAGTGCATTCACTTACATTTCCTGCCTGTGATTCTACTGTTCAATGCCGGGTTGAACTTCAATAAGATTACCCATATTCACAATTGCAGATGAAAATGCTAATCTGGGAAGAATCCACACTGCAGCTGGGAATCTGAGGGATTCCAGGGGCTTGGCTCTCTGGATTCCACTCTGCTTTGCTGCAGCCCTGAGCCCAAGTTCCTGGTAAGTGCACACAGCCTTCATGGAGCACTCACCAGGAGTGGAGCCACACACGATCACTTCCCAAACATTGTCCCTCTTCCATGCAATGCCCAGAAGCCATTTGTGCTCCTGTACCAGATGCTGCTCGGGCAACAGTTGCACAGGGTTCCATTCTTGGCTGACTCCACTCAGCCACTCAGCAGTGTCCCCCTTCCATGCCGCATGCAGCAGTGCATCTAACGTGGAAGACGGTTGCCTGTTGCACAACCTTTGTTCCACAGTCATTCTCAGACTTCCTCTCAGCTGGGCTCACTGTCAAGACTGGGCCAGACACGACAGGAAGTCCACAAATACCGGAGGGACAGCTTCTGGTGAGCTTTGCGCCACTGTGATCAGTGAGTGAGCTGGGTGGGCTGACCTAGCTCAGCTTTGCCCACGTGGGTACTTGCTGCAGCTCCAAAATAGGCTGGAGGGCCAAGGAGGAGAGCATTGCTTGGCTTACAGAACCAAGAAGCCACTCTACCTTGAAGTGGGCCTGGAGGAATTGTACCTGGTGTTGGGCCAGATTGCCTGTGTAATGCCCACTCTTCAGCCAAGCAGCCTCTCTGACTAAGTTGATTGGGGACCATGGTGTAAGCAAAGGATTTCAGTGATAAGCACCTACAGACTTATTTTCCTAAATTGGATTGTTCCTTGTTGCGGTGGGGCCTTTTTATTTTAATTTAGTGTTTAATTACAGTGGTTTGGCTTGTTCATTTTTACAAAAGAAGAAAAAGAAAAAAGAAAAAAAAAAGCCCTGTTTGCATTGTCATATAAAAATGTTGCTTTAATGAGCCTAGTCATTAAATACATTTTTAAAAGATCAAAATTAAATTAATTGCATTAAGCTGTGTGTAATTACTAACCACCTACATCTCTCTTACTCTTACTGATGAATTAATCCATTAGCATAGCCACTGAGGGTATATGCTTTTGTTTAGCCCTCAAGAACACTCATTACCTAACAATTCTTGCTTTTTGTCAATTGCATATTACTGGCAAAAGCCTGTTTTGACATGAAATGTGTATTCATTTCTTGTTTGTGTCAGAACTAATTAGAAATCATATGTTACTAGCGCTCTGGCTTGACATATAACCCTGACCAATAAAGTATGTATTGTATGCAGCTGCCATAGCACCCCAGCTCCCCTCCAAAAAGAAAAGGAAAGGAAAAAGGTGAGATCAAATGATCTTGATGAAGCAAGCTCTGTCCCTTTGAGATTGGGTAAATATGTTTGGTTTTACTGCAGCAAATCATGATAGTTCAGGTTTTCACATCTTTGTGACTCAGCTAATAACAAGTATTCAGTGCCTTACAAAAGTTACAAGAAGAAACATACTCTTTAATAAATATTTACCTTTGTGTCTTCTAGAAGCAACATAATCCTTAATCCAGTAAGATAATACTATTTTGCAGAACTACTTCAAATGCCCATTTAGTCCCGCAAATTTTTCCTGGCAGAGTGATCAGCCAGAGAATGTCACAAAGAGGGTATAATGGAGATACATGTCAGATACAGCTCCTCTGTATATGGTGGTTCTGTTGCAAGGTGAATTATCCCTGGTTGCTGCTGCGTGCCATAACTTCTGTCTTTGAGGGGTTATTCTTGCAATAAGATCTCCCTTCACATGCAGCACATCTCTCACTATCTCATGCATTCCCATGGAGAACATAAAATGTGACTCAGGGACAAGCTACATGTATTCATGTGATTTAGCCTTCTGTGACTGATATTTGCAAAATATGAATTAACCTGCATATGCGGGCAGGTGCCCAGTCAGACTGGGACGCATTTGCTTGTGCTCTGGTCCTGATCCAAGAAATTCCCCAAGCCCATCAAACAGCCCAGTGCTTAATATTCACCATCAGAGCCAAGAAATGTGCTTCTGAGGTTTAACTGAGGAAACCTGCACTCGGAAGTCATTTCTGTATACACAGAAGGCCTGCTTAATACATTTTATTTTCCAAAACAGTGGGTTGTATCCCAGTTTGTTCAGTCTTCATGGAAAAGCAGTAGGTATATCAATAAAGACATGATTTGGGATGCAGTAAATGGGGAGATGAACTGTCTCTAAATAAGGAGCCACCTCACTGATGCATATGCAGCTATTATCTTGGCATTTAACATAATGGTTTGGAGAGCCAATGTTGCAAATATTGTTAATGGTAGAGACGGTGACTGTATGTGGTCTTATGTGTTGGCAAAGTCTTGTTCTCTTGTAATTGTAATCCATTTTGTGCATTCTACATTCAGTTCCTTCCATTCAAGATTAAACAGCAATATTTTTAACTGGGAAATACAGTAGCCATTTCTGTTGTTCATTCAATGCTATCTCAAATGCATTAACTTTGTACAGGGCTGTATATTTGGCTTAGTGAGAGATAGAGAAGGAGGTCAGTTTTACAAATAGTAATTACCATATTTACTATGCTGCTTCTTTAATTTTTTACTCTATCATATGATTTATTTTATGAATTGACATATATTCATTAATATTTGTGTGCTTTTCTTTTCCATCCATCTCTCTTCATCTCATGAAAAGCACATCTGGGTAAGTTAAACCACAATGGTTGCTGATCATATTCATTTTCAGCACCATGTTTGAATTTCTTCTTTTATTTCCTCCTCTTATTATTTGTTTTCTTCTTTATATAACCATTTTAATTTACAGAATGAGAATTGAACCAAACCTGATTTTTCAAATATTCTGAACCAGGCAACATTTGAGATCTTTCCAAGTTTTACATTTTGTTATTAGTCTATGCATATACTATTTTAAATGAACTAAGTGAAGTTCTATAAACTTTGCTGTACCTCTGGGGCATGGATATCATATTTCATTCATTTTTTTCATTCACTTGTTCTATATGAATTATGTATAGAACAACAATATTTTATATTGATTTTTCTACTCTTAGTTTCAATTCTTACCAGTTTAATTAATTTGCATCACTGAAGTTATATTTTTATTGCTCTTCTTAATTTGGCTAAAATGAATTGGGCTACATTGCTGTACCCACTTACTTGTTAGTAAGTGCCAATGAAATAAACAGGACTTCATACTGTTTATCATTACGTACAGCATTGCCCTCATAAAATGCTTACTCTGATAAACTTTCAGAAAATATAGTGAGAGAACCAATGTCCTTGCGAAACCTCCAGGAAAGGTATGAAGAATTTTGTTTTAATATATATGAACTTCAGCACCTGCACAAGAAAACAGTAGGCTTATGAAAGCCTTTTTGGTAAATGAAGATATTAATTTATGATTTTATGTTAAATCTTATATTATGTGACAATCAAATATGGATTCAATGTGGTTTAATACACCTGAAAACTCCAGGAGTCTGTAACTGTAACTGACAAACTTACTATAACATAGCAAGACTATGTATTATGTCAGGTAGTTGATTGATTCTGGTGGTAGTTGTATTTTTCTCATAATTCAAGGTTCTGGTCCCTGCTTATGGCTACTCAGCATTCCAAACCCTTTCCCAGTATATTCTTTTCAAAAGCTATAATTTTCACTACCTTGAGGTACATGTATTCAAACACAGCAATTACAGCATTATTTAAGCAAGCTGTGCTTTTATTTTAAAAACTTGAGAAGCCTTTCATTCCTTTTCTATCTAAAACCTTTTATATTCATATTTTTCTTAGGCCTGGGTATTGTTTTTTCATTCCACCAGAAATTTTCTTTAGAGTTTATGTAGAAATAGATTCCAGACAAGTGATAAATCACCCTTGCCACTGCTTCACCATCTGCCTGGTGCATGGAGTGATGTAACTTGGTGTCCTTCAACAGCAGGAGGCTGGACCTGATAGCCTTCCTGGCCCCTTCCAACTCTACTATTCTATGAGTCTATGAAAATCAGTACCATGTAGTGGTTAGAGTATTGTTCTGATATGCAGGAGAGCTGGACTCTAGGCCCGACATAGTCGTGAACTCTATGGGTGGATCAGTCACCGACTCTGCCTAACCTACCTCACCGACTTGTTGTGATGGTAAAATGGAGACGAGCAATTTCTTGTGCACCACCTTGTGCTCCATGGGAAAAGAAAGGATGTAACACATTTTTGGCAAAGCACATCAACATGAATGAATAAATGAATACCAAGTTAGATACTTATCTAGGCACTCCATTTAAAAGATTACTTAACCCTAAATGCAACTGTTTGATTTGCTTGTGTTTTGAGGACTCTTGGTGCTAAATAGGGAATTTTAATTGTCACCTGAATGAACTTGCTGAAGGAGTGAGAGTCACTCCTGAGGTGGAACAGAGCTGCACAAGGGCTAACTAACTTATACATAAGAACTTTTGCTGCTGGATTGTGTGCTGCTGGATTCACCTGCACTTTCGCAGTCAGAAGTTTTTTCTTGCATATCAAATGTGCGTCTCACCCTGCAATTTAAGCTAACTGAATTGATACTTTCTGCTATAACTTAGACTTTTTCTCTCAGAGCACTTATAAGAAAACAGATACGTTTTATTACAGAGTTCACATCCAGTGGGACTTCCTGTTTAGTTTTGCAGTGAATTGCATCTGTATAATGAGGTTAAAATGTTCATTTTATCTAATGGCGTAATGAGAGAATATGGCTGACAGTCCATAACATGGAAATTAAAGTCAGCATTTAAACACCTGGGTTCTCAAAGGAAACTCTGCATATGATCCTTACGTCTCTTCTTCCCTGTTTCATTTTTTTATTGAATTTACACCACCTTTTTGTTAACTTATGCAGAGAATTGCTAGCAGGTCCTTTATTTAGTACAGAATCTAGTACAGAATTGCACTATCAGTTGTATAGTGCAATTCTTTCATACAAGGAATTATGCATAGTAAGTAAATGAACTACATAAAGCAATGACTGAAATACAAAAGCCTCTAGAGAGGGGCTTGGTGACTTACTGGCCCCCCCACATGTCTTGGTCTACAACTTCCACGATCCTTAATCAGCATAGGTAATATTTGAGGGACCATAGCAGTTACAGGCCAACATATCTGGAGTGCCACAAGTTGCCCATTCCTGCTTTACAGGCTAATAAATACTGAGGGAAGCCGTCCTGTTGCTTGAATCATGCAGATAGAGTGGGCCCAAGACATTTTGCTATCTAAGGTGGAACAGCAAATGCTTTGACTCTGCCATCAAGGTGTGTAATACCCAAGGCTGTCCAAATTATTTTGGTACCTGAAAATCCTACAAGTGCTTCTCCCTTGGAGTAAAAGGACTCCCCTTCATTTGCTACCTTTTCACGACATGCAAAATCAGTTGTTTTGAGCAGGTGCCTCACTTTACCCTGGCAAACCATGACAAAATCATAGTCCACCAATTTCTAAAGAGCTTTGGATGAATTAGGAGACAGCCAGTTACCTCCGTTATCCCTCTACTGAGACAGGCAAAGACTTGCGTTTTTAATAGCACCAAGTCATATTTGGTAGGTAGGTTTGATTTATAATCCCAGGCTGAGTGTAATTTGTTTGCTGAGACCCAGTTTCTATGTAATTCTTCTCATTTACTCCTGTAGGTATCCCACACATGTCTTCTCACATTTAAATGATTCACTGTGCCCACTGGCCTCCAACTCATGTAGCATTGGCATTCCAGCCATCTGCAGCCCAGGTGCATGCTGCTGGCATGCTACCACTAGAATCTGTGGTAGCATGCCAGTGACTAGATGCATGCCTGCTGGTGTGCATGGGAAATGCATTTACATGTACTGAGTCGTGCTGGACACTCACACAGTTCATTGCTTTCCTGGTGACCCCATGCTACATAGGACTTGCATCTCTCAGAATGCCATAAATGAAAATTTCAGGTGATTTTCCATTTATGAACTTGCCAGCTCAATTCTGCTGTGCTTCAGAAGTGAAACTACATCAGGTACATATAGCCTTTGACCTCTCATTGTACCTTATTTATTTCTACCACTCCAATACTACTGTGATTTTTTTTTAAAGTGATGCCTAGTAGACTGGAAGAAAGCTTCAAGAAAGTAAATGCTGAGGAAGCCCATTTCTAGTATAACTGCTTACACAAACTAAAATGGAATATCATAAGTTTTCCCTCTAAGGAAAACTGGACACATTCAAAATAAAATAACAAATAGCAACTTGTTGACTTATTAAGAACCTTAATGCAATGCACCAGGAAGGTTTTCAAGCATATAGGTTCTTCTGTAGAATTTAATGAACAAATTACATTAGTAATTTTTGTTAGTGTTGGTTGGAAAACTTAAGTACCAAAAGAAAAACTTTGGTCTTGAGCTCTGTAGTTTGATTAATGAAGTTATCAGTGGTTTCAATGTCCAACTTCAAAACTGGTTTCATAAATTTAAAAGAAAGTCTTGTTATAAATATAGTTCTGTAAATTCTTTACATCTGTGTAGACAGCCAGATTTTGGAAACTTTTCTTTTTTGATTAATGAAAATAATGTTCACTTATTCCTCTGTTTCCAAAGATCCTTTGCACGTATAGAACATTGTGAAGGACAAACAGAAAAAATACAAGGAGGACAATTGACAGCCTTGTTGCAGCTTGCCTGCAAGTTCTGGGCCATGTCAATTGCAAGCTATTCAAATGACAAAATGTTACTTTGTATGGAAATCTTTTTCCAGGATGTCAGGAACTTCCTTGCCTGAGGCATTGGCATCTGCAGCCCTTGACTGATGAGGCCCAAATTTAGCTACATTTTTGGAAAGGACCTAACAGGCAGTAGACTTCACAGCTGATTTGTTAGCCAAGATGTAAAAATCTAGTTGGTCTGAAAAGACATATGGAGCCCATGTCTCATTGTCCCCCATCACACTGCTTGGTTATTTTCTACTTCATGACTGCAGAAGTCATTGCTAACTGGGAGAGAAACAATTGTCTGACTTTTCCCAAATGTGTATAACAAGTGAGTAAGGATGAAATCCTATGACCCCTTGACATTGTTTGGAAGATCACGCAATTGTTCAGAGCCCTGGACCATCCCCATCACAGGCAGTGCGGAAACAACCACATTGGGTGCCTGCTGCAAGGAGCACCAGTGCTCCTTCAAAGGCATGTCGCCTGGTAAGAAAGGGAAGAAGTTGGGTCTGTGGACTTACACTGCCCCCGCAGCCTTCCTTCCCCTTTTCCAGTGCTTTATCTAGATGGCCAAGGAACCCACGTTGGCAAAGATTGCCACCACCGTGCTTCATTCAGGGCATAGGAATGGGGTTGCAATTTCAATGGGGTTGTGGCCTGACAGTGGTTTCTTGTTCTAGCTCAAGAAGTGATGGAAAATCAGAAAAATTGGTTTGTTGTTGTTATAAGTGCATGGCAAGATAAAATGAATTTATAGAGAGCAAGAAAATGCTTGACCCAGGAAGAGAAATATTCTCATGAACAAAAATAACACTTTTTCTAAGGTCTGAAGTGTTCAGCGAGCATAACAGACAATGAAGGCTGACGTGCCGTATCGATGATAGAGCGTACTGCAACATTATTGTGGCCAAGCACAATTCCTGTCTGTGGTGTTTCTCAGTTTTAACAGATTCTGATGTACTTGTAGGCATGAACTTCTGGAAGAAGCTCGGAGGAAGGGCTTACCCTTTGCGCAGTGGGATGGGCCTACGGTGGTGGCATGGCTAGAGGTAAGCCCCAGGAAAACCCTTTTCAAAAGGTTTTGTCTTGCAATAGAAGCCACTGCAGCTGTGGTATAATATTTTGTGTTCACAGAGGAAAATAAAGGTGCTCCTAATTAAAACTATTTATGGAGAACCACTCAAACTGTACTGTTCTCCTGTGCAGTGTCTCATTCTTCTCCTGTTCTTCTTTTACAGGGGTGGAATGGCAAAAGGATAGTGATATTTACCCTAGAGACATGCACTGATTTAATAGGAGGAATGGGTGATCTTTGAAATGGATGCCAGGGCATCCTAACCACTACTTGCAGCTAGTTTGTTTGGTGTCCCCTTGACCTAATTAGACCAAATTAAAAGTGTATTTGCATGGCAAATTTATGACAGTTCTGAGATAGGTATATGCATCACAGCCTCTTTCACACAGACATTTTCTGGTGCACTGTGTAAAGATATCATGCTGCCACTGAGAAACGGTAGGGCTTCTCCCTGTTGTTTAGCAAAAAAAGGCCACGAGGCTCTGATGTTTGTTTTTCCAGAAAAGCCTGGCACCAATGACTGGCAGGGGCACATCGGCCCTGAGGTGACTGGGTTGCTCTTCCAGCTGGTAGTGCAGGGGACTCACTACTGCCTTCAGAGCTTTTAGGCCTATGGGCCCTGTTTGCCCGCCCCTCAGCCAACCCTCATCCACTCACCCTATCTAGTGTAGAGGTAATGTGATAGATCTGTCTTTCAAGCCAAGTTATGGGATTGTTTTCTGATGTGAACCAATGAAACGTATCTTTAGCAGGCATCTTGATAAACTACTATTCAGCATCCGTTTTTGTACTCTTTTCCTCATTTCGGACTCTTTGTTTTATGCAATTAAGAAAATTATTTCCCACTATTCTGAACATCAGATTCAACACCTTATTACAAATAAAGAACAACACATTTCATGTTGTAAGCAAGGATCCACCATTCTGTTAAGTTAAATGTTACTGTGAGCTGAATCACTCATGCTTTTGACCTGTAACATTTGAAACTTGTACATGTTAATGGTACAGAATAGCTTCAGAGATAAATTCCATTCCCTGAAGCACAGTGGCCATAAAATTAGTGGCTTTATATGCAAACATATAGAGGAAAAATATTTTTGTCTGCTTTACAAATAAAAGTTTTCTTTTCCTTGTACCATAAAAGAATAAATAAATGAAAATGCTGACCTTCAAAATACACAAGCAAAAATGTCCAGGGTTTCCATTGCTGATGTCAGAGTCATATACACATCCTTGATAGAAAGAAACATCAAACTTGTTTGATGGAGCTTAACACCCCCAGCAAGCTTTGCATTCCAACAGAAGTTCTTCAGTTTTGTCTACAGGTTCAGGGAGAGTGAGAGAGAGTGCTGAGCCATTGCCTCTAATTTTCCTGCCCTCCATCATTGCCAAGGCAGGGACAGCAGGAGACAGAAACTTTCATCAGAGAATACAAGGAGTATGTCCTGAGCCATCACCTACCAGGACATGTGGCAAAAGACATTCTTTCTCTTGACAGCCACCTCAGATGAGGGAAAAGATCATGCTACACTTCACAGAGGCAGAAGAAATGTTTGCAATTCCTTTTCAGATGTTCCCTGAAGCTTCAGCAACCAGATAAGCCACCACTGATTTCCTTGGTTGTTCTCTTCCCTTTTCCCTGCAGTTGTGGCTGGGAATGCCTGCGTGGTATGTTGCCGCTTGCCGCGCAAATGTGAAAAGTGGAGCCATTATGTCTGCGTTGTCAGATACTGAAATTCAGAGAGAAATTGGGATCAGCAATCCTCTCCATCGCTTAAAACTCCGTCTGGCAATCCAGGAGATGGTTTCTCTCACCAGCCCATCAGCCCCTCCAACATCTAGAACGGTGAGCCATATTTATATAGCTTGTAAGAAGAGCTCTGCTGAGTCTGACCAGAGGGTGTGGGAACACAGTAGGCCTCTTCCTGTATTGCTTTCCAGTCACAGGCACCGAGCGGAATGCTTCATCTGATGCAGAGGCCCTATTTAGCCATGATAGGTAACAGGTTTTTCTAGCAAAGGCTGTCCTGCTATATGCTTAATCATTTTTATCCTTAATTATGCTAAATGGTCTGTAAGATCCTAGTTGCCTTTTTAAAGTTGTTCCCTAGGCAAGAGACAGCAAACATGTGGGCTTAGCGAGGACAACATATTTCTGGCACAGAGGAGATAATATTTTCGTTTTCGTTTGCAGGGATTTCCTTGCAAATAACATCAGCCCTTGATGTTTACAAGCAAAGCAATGGCAAAGCTAAGGAGGGAAGAATGAGGCAGAGGGGCAAACTGCAAAATGAGTGGGGTTGGGATGGGGATATGATTTGGGAAACAAATATTGAAGGGAGAATGAATTACAAGTGGATAGAAGTTCAAAATGTTCCTGCCATTAGCAATTTTCACTGCCCTCCCTCCCATGGCCCTGATAGGTTATTGCCAAGCTGAGGCCCCATCAGGCAAGGTTTTCTGCATGACAGTGTCACCTTGTTGTCTCATGCGCTTTCAATACTCGTTGGCCAGCAGAGGTGTCAGGGTCTTTACTCTCTTCAAGCCCCTCTCCACCCTTTCTTCTGCTACATAGTTTTTCATCCCACATCTCATGCAGAGCATGAGCTGTAGGGCAATACTAAAACTAGCATGGGAGGTGTTTTAGTTCATGCAGAAACTAAAATGTAATTCGCTGATTTCATTTCAGTTATAGAATTATAAAAACAACCAAATACACAAATACCCCATGTAAGTGTTGCCTCCACATGATTGCAATTGGGGGCATAGAAGGCTGTCCCTACTGGCCCTACCCCACCATCCACATGTTGTGTGCAAACATCTGTGGGTAGTGTAGCATGCATGTAAACTCCTCCAGAGATTGGAAATATCATTCAAAGTGTATGAATTGTTGAGTTCTTTTAATGGTCCAACACACACATAATACTTAACCACTGTTGGCATTGAACCAGGTTTCATTTCCTTGGTCGCAGTTAAATTCCCAAACAGAGACATCCTAGTTTAATTTGCTAAGTCCAGCCTGCTCTCGCTTACTCCCCCCCCCCCCCGTGTGTGTGTGTGTGTGCGCGTTGGGGAGCAATAGACCAGCAAGGCCTGCTTGTTCTCTTGCTTAGAGTCAGAGAAATTGGAGCTCTAAGGAAATTTTCTTAACTATGGTTTGTTCTGCTTGTAGATCCACTGGCCTAGTTGGTGGCCAGTCCTAAGATACAGTTAGATATTCTGACATAACATTAAACTTTAGTTAAATGTTTATAACATTTAACATAACATAATATTTAAACTTTAGTCTGCATTAAGGTCCATGAATAAACTACCTCATGTTTCTGTTTTTCTGACTGTGTGCACTGCTTTTTTTATTTTTTATAGGTCCTGCTTGTGACTACAGTTTAGATTATCTCTGGGGTCACAGATGAATTTTCTCTGCATAGGTGTACATTTTTTTAAGGGAAAACCCCATGCATACTATTTATTTTGAAGAATGTGCATTTACCTGTTTCATCTAGACACTGAGAAAGTCTGATTGGCATGATTCCCACTGTATTTCCATTGGCAAAATAAGGTTCAGGTTGCAGATTTCCACCCTTGTCTGAGAAAGACATCACATTGTGTGTGTGAACAAGTCCTATACTGCAGCCAAAGATTAGATAGTGACAAGAGGACATTTAAAAAAAAAAAAAAAACTGTGGGACAGGAGTTAGAAGGAAACAACACTTACAGAAATCTAATATATTTCCTGTGAAAAGTTTATTAGAAAAAATATGGGAAATGGATAGTCACCAACTAGAATAATCTTCCTAAATAGGGTGTTCAAAAATGGAGGGATTTTACTTCCCTTACCAACTTTTGGGTCTGGGTTTTCTTCAATGTTTTTGCCGGAACAGACAACCCTGACATTTGCTAGACCTTCTCATTAGGCAAAATATTAGTGGCAGCTGCAAATATGCAATCTATTTTGGAGAGGTCTAACTAATAGTAACAAAATCCCCAACTCGATTTTTTTTTTAAATAGGTAATGCCTCCTTTCTTTCTCTATGCCAGGATAATGATTTGATGACCTAATTTCCCTCCCCACCCTCCCCCACATACGTGTTTTCTAAAACAATGTTTTGTAATGACTTCCCCAGTCTGGATATGCTGACTTCAATATTGTTGCACATTCCTTTTCATGCGACTTTTCCTTCAATTTTCCCAGAATAGAAACAAAAGTAGGGTAAGAAGGTTTAACCTATTCATGCTGATTCCCTGAAGCATGAATAAAGCTGCTGCAAACTCTTTTCAGACCTAAATCAGTATATTTTCTTTCTGTGCATCACTGTTTTTCTTGTCTCTTTTAAGCAGAAACTCTGTTGTGCTTACGGCCAAGTATTGCTACTGCTCACTAATCTAGTAGAAAGAGGAAAAGGCACTACTAGGGCAATATGGGGAAAGCATCAGTGACCATATTTTTCTCTATAAGTGCCACATGCGGGTAGATGCTCACTGTACACAGCCAAGGACACAATCCTATAGTCTTCCATAGGAGCTTTTGAAGTCTGAGCCCTGAGATATTCCAACATCAGTGCTCGGATTTTAAAGACTGAGGCCCTACTCCATTGCGCTGCTGCTGGAGTGGAAAGAGTCATACCTACAGAATAGGTATCATACAGTACAGCAATACAATATAGCAACATGCAAACATCTAAAAACATAACAGTGCAAAGCCAGCATGACAAAAATTCAGAAAAAATGCAAAAGCCAACATAATAGATGTGCAATGCAAAGCCAACCTGTTGGATTGGGTGAAAAAAAGGGAGTTCAAGCAGTCAAGAAAAATAACAGGAGTTAAATCCCTTTCACAGAATCTGGATCAAAGCAGCCAAGACTGTAAAGGCCTGGGAGAACAAGAAAGTCTTAAGCTAGAGATGGAAAGAAAGCAATATTGGTTCCAGGTGAATTTCTCTGTGGAAGAGAATTCTATCAGTGGGGGTACAACACTGAGAAAGGGGGTAGGAGTCATTAGTAGGAGCAGAAGGATTTTTTTTTTTGGCGGGGGGTTGTTTTTGGACCAAGGCTCCTTCCTCTTTTTCAGAGTGTGTGGGTGGGGAGAGGAAAAGCAGCTGTCTGATGTTGTTTCTAGCTGCAGCTCAACTGAGGCAAGGACGTGGTTGTGCCCATTGTGATGCTGTATGCTGTTAACTTACAGTGTTGCTGCCTTTCTTCTTTAACACTGCTTACCTAATGCGGATTCTACTGGCCTCCCTGTGGGTGCTGACAATAGCCCTCAGGCAATGTTTGGGTGACCCACGAAGAAATGGAAAATCTTGCCGCCCCAGCTAAAACGGTGAGTTTTCATAGCAGCTCTCACGTCTACTTCAATGTCAACATGTATATAGTATCCCTAAATGTCCGTGACCACTATAGCAACCGCATATTTTTTAATACACCATTCCATTGCATATGGAGCTAACATAATGAACGTGACGTGTTCTGTAGGTAAAGATAGGGGCAATTTGAAATCTATCAAGTGAGTTAAATAGGTCATGCCAAAATAAACGAAATAATAAAATAGAGTAATAGATGCTATTGGGGGCATGGATCAAATGATCACTTGTCCACTGCAATCCTGTTTGTTTAGCTATCAACCCCATTATGCTCAATAGGAGCTACTCCCAGGTAAGTTTGTGCAGGGCTGAAGCCTTAAAATCATTTTTGTACTGTACCTTTCTTGTTTGCATCACATAGATTATTCTGTTTTCCTGGCACAACCCATTAATTGCCTTTTACTAAGTGTGACAGAGTAATCATGCTCTCTGGCGCTACATATTAACAGGCCCTGCAGTTGTGGAAATGTGCATTGAAGATAGGTTTGTGAGATGGTGTTATCGTGTCCCTGTGCTATTGATGCAACAAGCCTGCGTTGGGACGTGGAGCTCCATCATGGAAGTCATGCAACATGCCCTGTCCATCAGGAGAGCCCTATGTAGCTGGAAGAAAGATGGCATCTGTGGAGACCTCCAAGGGTGCCCATGAGGCTCTTCCCTCTCTACCAATTCAGAAACATGTTAAATGAAAGGAAAATTGAAGACATTAAGGCATCAGTTCTTCTTTCCTATGTCTGAGCCTGCTGCTAATCAGCAGTTCAGTGGGCAAGAAAAGATGGAAAAGTTGCTTCCCGGTCCCACCCAGTCTCCTTCCACCCACATACGCCCTTCCCTTTTGCACTTTCTCTCTAGGGCAGCCTTCCCTTCCCCATCATCCTTTCTCTCCCCTTCTAGCCCTACTCTCAGTATTTTTCTCTCTGCAGCTCCTCATCCCACTTTTTCTCTCCCACCAAACCCCTCGTTCTCCCACCTCAACTGCTTTCCTTGCTGTTTCCCCGTGCCTCCGGACCAGCCACTAGCCTTGCCAGTCTTCTCCTCCACCTGCTTTGACAGGCCAGGGTCCCACAGCAGCCATTATGTGACTGGCCCAATCCCCAGGACAGCTATTTTGTGGGTCTGCCTGTAGCAATTTCTCCAGCTCCAAGGGATGCCCACAGGTCACAAACTTCTGGAGACCTCTGCTGTTTGTAACCCCACATGCAGTGGCTGACTTTGCTTACATAGTCGTGAACCTCACAAGGAAGCTTCTACTTTAATTTTTCCTAATTCATGTCACCTGATCTTGGCATTAAACACAGTTTCGTGGGGAATAATGTCCCAGATCATCAGGGATTTTAAAAATTCAAGAAGAAAAATAATTTCCGGTCTCAGGGGTAATCACAGGAGTTCCAGAGTAAATATATTGAATTTTTGTCACCTCCAGTTTTAGATCTCAGCCCCAATATTTTACCGTATTTTATTTTTCTTAGAAAGCTAACCCAATATATTGTTCTCATAATGGTTAGACACCACCACTGGATATCCAGCCTTAACACTGACATGTCCCAGTGCCTGTATATTTCCATACTGGAACTTAAGCCTTTAAACCTTCTATTTAATTCTAGTCTCCACCTGGCCTTGAAGCTCACTGGGTGCCTTTGCGCCAGCCACCACCACCATTATTATATTATATTGTATTTCAAGCCTGCCTTCTTTTTCCTCTCGTGAGGAACCCATGGTGGCTTACATGGTTCCATTTTATCCTCACAGCAGCCCTGTGGTGGTTGGATGAGGCACCTGGGAGATCCAGGCTCTGATCCCTGCTCCTCCATGAAGCTCACTAGGTGCCTTTGGGCCACTCATTCACACTCAACCTAACCCCACCACATAGGATATGCTTCAGGGTGTGCCAGGATGAAGCGGAATGGAGGAAAGTTATGTGAGCCACCTTGGGCTCTTTGCAAGAGGAAATAGGTGGGATTTGATATTATTATTATTATTATTATTATTATTATTATTATTATTATTATTATTATTGCTGCACAAATCATCTTCCATGCCAAATACACAAATAATTAATTTTTGAAAGAGATGGTGTCAAAACAAGATCCAAACCATTTGATGTGATCACACAGAGCATTTCTGCAGTGCTGTAAATACTATAAGATATGTTGCACTTCACTGGATTGATGAAGTGAAACATGAAATATTTGTGGGAAATATTTGAAGTCTTTAGCTGACTTCAGTTTTATCAGTATTGTTTCTAACTCTGTAGGTTCACTCAACTGTCTTTCTGATCAAGACTGAGAATACTTAAGGTGTTTATAATTTGTGCTTCTTTTCATTTTTGCTATTTGACTCATGCTGTATTTCTTTTGCATTCTTAACTCACTTTGCTAATGGTTTTCCTTAATGCTTCAGAAAGAGAATGAGGAAGGCAGTTGGGCTCAGGTAAGAAGTTTTTCCACTTTTGACACTTCTCCGGTATGACTAACAGTAATTCAACATCTGGTACTAGGGACCTGTCAGCTCTTCTGCAGTTAAGCATGGAGTGCTTGCTCTTTATTTGTTTAAATATAGCAAGAAAGGGATATTTTAATGGTCTGGCTTTTTATTTTTGTAAAGTCAAGTTGGCTTTGTGCTGCTAATTATATTTGAGCCCCGGGCAGAAGCTTCACCATGTCTTGAAGGGTTAATGCTCACTGAGACTTTCTCTGCCTCATTTGTGCACATACAAAAATGTTCAGCCATTGCCTCAGAGCCTCCAGCCATGCTTCTCAGGCAGCTGTCAGTACCAAGGAGCCCAGTACATGTGGTACAGTAATGGTTGAATTCCCTCCCTGAGAATATTGGTCCCCTGGCAACACTGATCCAAGCAATCAGGGAAGGAGCAGCTAGGAATGGACAAATCAGCCAGTTTGTTTCTCTCAGTTTCTCCTTTCTAGACTTAAGTTCAGCTCCTGAATTTTCAAGCATTTTTCCAATTTTAAATTTGGTTTGTCCCAAACTTTGAGCATTTAAAAAAAATCATATGAAAAGGTATATACGTTTTGTGCACATTCCTCTGAAAATATATTTTGAACACATTTTGACCCAATAGGCACATTTTATGGGCATTATACCAAATTTAATGCATTTTAATGTTTTTTTTCTCTAATGTGTGAAATTTTAATGTTCTTTTTAAATGGAGAATTGCACTGCAAAATTCAGGGAACAATGAATTTTGAAGGTTAACAGTTTTGGTTCAGCTATGTATTAAGTCCAAATTAGGCATTCTCAGATTAAAATCTGACCTGAACAAATTTCTCCTCTATCCCTATTAGCAATTCCATGTTGCCACCTGGCTACTGTTAAATCAGATGGACCGGCTTTACTCATGCTTAGTGCTAAGCAATGGGGTAACACTTCAAGTGTTTCAATTCACTCAATGAACATGAGTGCAGTCCAGATGAAGGGCTGTGTTGTTGCAAAGAGAGTAACCCTGACTTCCAGTAAGTGAGAAAACTGGACAGCGAAAGATGAGGAAGAACTGATGAGGTGGCACACAAATGGAGCCTTTTGCCCAGAAGGACCAATTCTTTACTCTCTTTACCTTATAGAAAAAAAAATGTCTTTTGTTTTTCTGAGTGCATCCACCTGTATATGTTCTTTTCCTGTCCACTGCAAGGGTTAATCCTCTGATCCCCAGCTCAGACCACCATCGCCACCCTTGGTGCTGAACTATCTGTTAGCTCCTCAGATGCTGACTAGGGGCCACAGGACCATTTCTTATTTAAGTATTTATTTAAAGTTTTTGTATGCCGTCCCCTTGCTATGTAGCCTCGGGACGGCTCACACAAAAGAATTGATTTTGTTCCATAGTACAGATGCTAACAACTTTGTATTTTTTCCATAGACTCTGGCCTATGGTGACATGAACCATGAATGGATTGGGAACGAGTGGCTTCCTAGTCTAGGATTACCACAGTATCGAAGTTACTTCATGGAATGTTTAGTAGATGCAAGGATGTTAGATCACCTGACAAAAAAAGATCTCCGTGTACACTTAAAAATGGTGGATAGCTTTCATCGGTAAGTTAGTGTAGTAGGTTTACAGCATGCAAAAAGAGCATTAAGGCTGCCAAAGCCAAACATTAAACACTCTTTTCCAGATTCAACCCCCAATTTATGTCCCATCAGCAGCAAGCAACAAAACATTTACAGCACCTGTGAAACATGCTTGGTGGAGGTTTTCATACTAAAAAAATGAAACTTTTCTTTCTTTGTAATATTCTGTTGTTTTTAAAATAACAGAACAAGCCTGCAGTATGGAATAATGTGTTTAAAGAAACTGAATTATGACAGAAAAGAGCTAGAAAGGAGAAGAGAAGCCAGTCAGCATGAAATAAAAGGTAATACTATATTCAAGGAAGATATTCTTAATGCTTATTTTCTGAAATATTTTATTTCAGATTATTTCCACTGCCATTCAGGATGGACTTTCACATGACAATGATGTTCTTTAGCTGTACCCAAGTGGTAGAATTACCTCTGTATGCATGGGTGAAGTCCATCCTGTTTGCCCATGCTTTTACTGGTGTATGTTTGCTATGATAGTCCCTCTTTCTAATTGGATGATCATTTTAGGGTTTTTTATTGCTGTTATACAATTTTGTTTTATTTCTTAAATTGACTACCTTGAGAGATAAGTAAATAGGCAAGATATAGATCCCCAAATAAATTGGATTAGGTTTGGAATAGACTTGAACTTGTTCTTTTGAAGCATAGTCCAATCATTTTTTTAGGGCTGAAAGTTGTCTAACTCTCAAACAACCCAACCTATGGCAAGCCAGATGCATGCAAAAATGGCACCCACTGGCAGCTGGGACTACACAACAATCCTTGTGGGTAAATTAAGCCACAGTGGGCTGCCGTGCCGTAAGAAGCAGGTGAGTGTGTAGCTCTCTCATCCGTCTTCTGTACACATGCTTTCTTGAGACCAGGGAGCTGCTGTTATGCCCAAGACACAAGCTGTCCTGTCAGTCGCCATGAGTACCTGTAAATACATCCTTGGGAATTAAGAGCACATTGGAAATGTGTCTGAGAAAGGCCAATGAGTACAGTAATTTTGCAGCATGACCCCCTTAGCCAGGGATGGGCAGGAGAGATAACATGGAAGCCAGCCATGCATGTGAAGTATCTGACCAGCCAAAGCTTTACATATTCTTAGCCATGAATAGAATTGGTGGATCAATTTGGCTGGTTGAACATTCACATGATGATAGAGAGCATCTCCTAGAGAGTGCAATCCTATTCACACAAATTGATCAAGAGACCATCCTCTACCAATTAACACTGAAAATGTTTCACTATGAGGAATAAATAGACAATGAATGAATAACAATGTGAATCACTGGCAAATGGCTAGCAGACATTAAAAGTAGAGCTACAACTGCATTTTATTAAGTGGTTATTCAAATAAAATACATTTTGTTCAGCTTAAAAGCTGCCCATTCAATGGGAAATCAGAATGTATGTGCATGTATGCACATTCTTAGATAAAGTGCCGAAGGGGAGCACCACATTAATAGGCTTTCCTTCCTTTCTTTCAAGTGTTTTAACATGCATGTAAAATTAATCATGTTTGGAGGATTTTTTACAATGTCCTTGCAGTGTAAAAAGTGGAGTTCATTTCCACAAGGTGTAAGGATAGACACCCGTCTGGGTGGCTTTCAGAGGGGGTTAGCAAAGGCTGCCAATGGCTACCAGTCCCAATGGCTATAGACCTCCTCCAGTCTCACACCCAGGTACACCAGTTGTTGGGGAACTTGAGCAGGATGGCATGTTGCACTCATGTTTTGCTTGTGGCTTTCCTGTGGGCAGCTGACTGGCTTCCGCATGCGCAGAAAGCTAGGCTAGATGGAACTTCAGTTGGATTTGGCAGCCCTCTTTTTATGTTTTTGTATAGCAGTTTTAGAACTAGCACTGTGAATGGCAAGTAGATATGAATCCTTATCACTTCAGTCCAGCAAATACAGCAGGCCATGCCTTCTGCTGGGGTTACCATGTGTCATAACTTACTATGCTAACAAAAGGCCCAATCCTGCAGCAGGGTAGTCATCACAGAATTTTCCCATGCCGTTATTAGCATTGTGTGTCAGGATACTCATCCCTTCAGTTTTCCTGCTTTCCTTAGCCAGTTAATAGTCTGTTGCTTTCATTATACCGTCTTTACAATAAACTGGAGGAAAATATATGATAATTGTCTTTGGCTGCAAAATTAGAGCTACATCAAAAATGGGAATGAATGAATGTTCAGAAATTAAAACTGTATGTATTAGCATCAGCATCAGAACAGCTCAGCACACTACAGCCATGCTCTAAGCAATTATTTATATTTTCAAACAGAATTCCAACAGGTTGCATTTGATTTTCCTTTAATTCACTTAATTGTGTTGATGTTTGAGTGTAGCTTCTATAACAGATTCTGTAATGGCCATGACAGGTTCAGATCAGTCCTTCATACGTCCTCACCCTTTTTGAGAGTCGAGTCATAAGGAAAATTCTTCTCTCCTTCCTTTTTGCAGATGTGTTGGTATGGAGTAATGATCGAGTCATACGCTGGATACAAGCAATTGGATTGCGAGAATATGCAAACAATGTATTAGAAAGTGGAGTTCATGGATCGCTCATTGCCCTGGATGATAACTTTGATTATAGCAGTTTAGCTTTATTATTGCAAATTCCAACACAGAATACACAGGTAACTAAATTAATCATTGTAATCAATTCCAATGGGTTGTAACTATATTTTTAATTTCTTCAATTATTTTACTTGGTTATCCATAGGCGCGACAGATCCTTGAGAGGGAATACAACAATCTGCTGGCACTAGGAACAGATAGACGACTTGATGAAGTAAGTAATCTTATATATACATAACTGATGCATAAAAATATTAAGTGTTTGGTTTTGGTAATTGATAGACTACATGGAAAGGGAATAAAGATGTTATGCAGCTACTGGTGCTAATTGAAAAGCTATCAACTGCTAAACATAAATTGGTATATGTTCCAATTTGACTTTATTTATTCATGCATGGAATTAGCTGTAGAGACAATTGCAAATCTTTCTTTCCTCACAATATGCTTGTGTTTATTCACTGTACTAAATTATGGTATAAAACTCTGAGTTGGAAATTGTCAGTGTAATTGAATATATTCAATAAAACAAGGAACTATGGGGTAGAATTAACCCTTATGGATATGTTGGCTTTACTGTAGAATAGGATCTAGCTTGGCTTAGAATAGGGGTTGGATGACATAAGATAAACAAATGCAGTCACAAATCAGTGCTGAAATCACTACAGCACTCCCATCAGTAGGAGCACCCATAGCATTTGGTAACTGATTTATGAATTGCTAGGCTGACAGGCCTTTCAGTAATTCTAGCTTCTCAACAGATGAGCAGTTAATGTACAAAAAAGGGTTAAAACACAATCAACATTAGAAATACAATTCTAGGTGATCAAAATAAACAAGAACATAAGATTTTTCTAATTTCACTGTGTTTATTTATTATCGTGCTCAAGACAGCTTACATATTTTTTCTACTCATCTCAATCTTATCCTGACAACAGGATTAGGTAGGTAGGTGGGCTAAGAGTCTGTACCTGGTCCAAAGTGACCCAATGAGCTCCCTGAATGAGTGAGGACTAGAACCTGGATCTCCTGAGTTCTAGTCCCATACTTAGTTTCATTGAGAGCCAGTGTGGAGCAGTGGTTAGAATGCTGGACTAGGCTTCCAGCAATCTAGATCCCAGTTAGCACGCAGCTGTGAAACCAATTGGGCCACAGACTCTCAGCCTAACCTACCACACAGGATTGTTGTCAGGATAAAATGGACAAGAGAATTTTGAGGGCCACCTTGAATATCTTGAAGGAGGAAGGTGGGATATGAATTTAATGTGCTGGTGATGATGATGACGACCATCACTTGTGAATCCAGGGCAGTGGTAAAATAAAGAACCAGAACAGTTTTTAGCTATTAGTTTTTCATTTCGTATTGTTATATTCTTCTCTTAAAGATAAGCATACTTAAATACATGCAATTAGTAAAAGAGTATATAAACATGTATATCAGGAATGGGGCACTTGGGATCTCCTTAGTGCTCTAATTACCATTTTCTTAACCATTAGAACCTAGTGGCAATGACATCAAAGGATAAATTGTTATTAATTGTATCCCATTCAGCACACAGGTTTATGGAATTCCATGTCGAACAGAAGTAATTTGATCTACATTTTCACTTGTTAGCTGTATGGTTGTTAAGATATCTGATACAAGTACTGGTTACCTAATCAGGCTGCATTCAAAAGGGATTATAAAGCAGACATTTGACCTCCTTGAAATGGGCTAAAGTTTTTCTTGTTTTTAGTAATCACTTTTCAAAAAAAACATATTTATAACAGGCAGAAATCCACTTTACAACTTTTTATTTTTTTTGTATGGCATTGCTACAATTAAGCCAGGAAACCTACAGCGCTAATACAGAGTAGTTTGGCTGCACAAGATTGCTAGCTCTTCAGTTCATGCTCATGCGCTATGTGTGGTGCACCTGATACCATGAGCAACTGAGCAACTGATACCATTTTAAAACATACAGAATTGCCAATCAACAAGAATAGTTTCTTATGATTCAAATGATTTGATTCAGAGTGATGACAAGAATTTCAGGCGTGGCTCTTCCTGGCGAAGACAGTTTCCTCCACGTGAAGTTCATGGAATCAGTATGATGCCTGGCTCTTCAGAAACACTCCCCGCTGGGTTCCGGTTAACTACAACATCTGGACAGTCACGAAAAATGGCAACTGATGGTATGATGCTAATGCCTACTTTCAAACTCAAAGTGTTTGTGCATTCTGTTCCTTTGCAGATGAGAATGTACTGGCCTTACATAGCTTGGCCAACTTGCAAAATGTGCACAGTCAACATCTAGAACAGAGCAAATTAAAGTTGAATAGATGGAAAAATTCAGTAAGTGCTAGACAGTATAGATACTGCCTAAGAAAGCATTCAGCCATTGTATTTTGGATTGAATTGAGGAAAGAAATGGTCAGATGGGAGAGAGTCAGCCTGAAAAAATTATTTTTCCTACTTGTATGCAGTATCCACCCCTCAGACATTTTACCAGCAATGATACCTGATGCTAGGGAGCTACAGTTCATGGGATGAGGTGGCATAGTCCCACTGCCAAGGCACAATAGATGATCTTGCTTAGAGATCCAACTGTAGTTTTTGTGCTCCAACTCTCAGGACAATGTATTGGGACCTGCTGGGCCTGTCCAGTTTATTTGCATAGCAGCTGATAGGCCTCTCATGCTGCCTGATGCCAAGGCAGTTGTTAAAGCTTGTACAAGCCTTTGGTTAAGAGCCAAATAGCTTTGTTTTCCTCTCAGGTAACTGCCGGTAGTGCTAGAGTAGCAGCATTTTCAGAGAGCCAATGTGGGAAGAAGTCCACTTTCACCAACCCTGTGGCATGTGCTAAATCTGGATTCAACTCACTTTTTATTAAACAGTTTATGCTAAGTAAGATTATTAACAAATATGATTAAATGTGGGAGGGTGAGGAGAGACAAATCAAGTGATTAGCGCTAAATAAGCTTAAGGAATTAGGCCAAAATAGAGTATCTTGCAGAGTGGATAACTTATCTTACCCCCCTCCCCAAAAAAACCTGGACATTAAGAAGAAGATCTTTCCTCCTCCTAATCTCAAGATTCTTCTTGCTGGGGTTTTTCCTCTCTTTTTCCCTTTTTGTTCTGAATTTGCAGTTGCTTCAACGCGGTTGCAGAGGCTAGACAGTTCTACAGTTCGCACATACTCATGCTGACAAGGCTAGCATGGAAAAGAGCTCTGAGCTGACCTAATGTGAGTATTTAAGCATGGACTATGAAAGCTGCATTACTTAGTAAGAATAACATCCAAGTAATAATTGCAGTGGGTGTGGGATTCTCCTGTGGGCTCAAGACATTTGAATTCGTAAGACTAGTTTTCTCGATGACAGTAAACCTACATCTGGGCTGTACCACTTGAGAGTGCAACTGGAGGTTCATCTGATGAAATGGTTCTCCACCCAAAAATATTCTCCCACACAGAAACCAGCTCTCAATAAGAGCTCCAGCCCAACCTTCTCCCAGATGTCAAGTTTCTATGTGGAGTAAGCCCCAACTGCAATCCGAAACAGCAGAGTCTAGACACAAGTTTACTATCTCAAGGAGAACAACTTGTACCAATAAGCAAGTAAATGGCAGTTCTTTCAGCTCCCTGCTTTAATTGCTGCCATCTCTTCTGCAGGTTGTTTGGCATATACAGACAGTGCAAATCTAACTTCCACAAAGTATATTCACACAGCCCTGTTGCCATTCTGTGATCACAGTAACTGGTGAAAGAGAACAGGATAAACATCAACCGCACACCAGTAGCATCCACAGGATTGAATGCAGGTGGTCAAAGGGCTAAAAGAAAGCAGCTGTCTCTTAAGGCTGGCTTCATCTAGCATCCCACACCCATCCAAGCTGTGATCTGACCATTTTTGATACTACCTGTATTCATATGACAGGTATTGCTACTTCCAATAATTTCTTTTCCCTGTGCCTTTAGAATATCAAAATACAGGATAGGTTTGGAAGCAAACCTGTATTTTTGTTAGGCTTCACACCAAAGATTGCCCAGTCTGCTGCTATTACTACATGCCCTTAGCCACTGCTGGAGAATCAGAAAATAGTAGAAAATACAAGCCACAGGATCTGGGGCAAAACTGTGGGTTGATTCCAGACTTAGAGCAGACCCACTGAAATCAGTGGAACAGAGTAGTCATGGTTACATTGATTTTAATGGCCCTGCTTGATGCATAAAATAAGTCTGGAGTTAACTGTTTTGTTTTTTTCTTTTATACCTTTCACACAAAAGTTGTTAAGTGAAATTTGGAAGAATTACTCCAAGTGGTAAACAAGAAGGTTCCATGGCTGACCTTATGAAAAGCTCCTTGTTCATTAAGTGGTAACAACATTAATTTACAGACCAATGCTATCATCAAACCTCATGTTTTCCAACATTCTTCTTAAAGAACAATACTAAAATATATATTCAACCAACTACCCTTCTTACAAAAAGTAACCTGGGTATTTTTTTTAATAAACTCAGCACTGCACAGAAGTGGCACACAACTAGGAAACAATGCCCTTTCATTTCACATTCTTTCCATTATCCTTTTCTCAACTGGAATGTTGACAGCACAATCTTTTACATTCTACTCAGGAGTCCCACTGAAATCAATTACTCCCAGGTAAGTATTATGGAAGTGCCACTTTACTATACTGAAACTTCTGTTTATCATACAAAGGCTCAAATTCCAAAACATTTCTTTTCACATAGAATGCAACTTAGCATTATTTAGCTAACCTGTATATGTTTTAGTTCGGTGACCAACTGTTCTATAGTGCTTTGCTGCACTAGAAGGGTTAAATTTAATGTGTCCTGAAGGTGAATGTGATAGTTTTACTGTTTCACAGCACTATCTGTTGTAGTGGTTATAAAACGTTCACATCTCCACACTTCGCAGCGCACAGTAGGAACTGCATGCTGTGTTCTGCCCACCCGTTGTTTAAAGGCCCTGAAGCATCATGGGGTCTTCTACCTCAATCCTTCGCCGCTCTCATCAGCATCCTGCTCTGCCAGCCTTATTTAGGCTCCCCTGAATATAGAAGCTGCCGTTCTAATATTATTGATCATCTGAAATGAAATGAGCCTATTACTTAAAACGTGGTAAAGAAGTTCATTACTGAAATGCTATTTTCCCCACATCTCTAGATGCCACCTCTTTCTTCTACTTTACCTGAAGTGCACTATCACCATCTTAAGAAAAAGAAGCTTTTTATTCCAAGAACAGGGTAATAGGGAAGACAATATAAAATGTTTATCAGACTAAAATGTGTGGTGATCTTTTTACATATTAAATTGTCATGTGCAATCTGTCAAGTACTACTATCACAGGACTCATACTCATTCCATTGGAGTTCATGTAGGATTTGGATACAAACCCCACTGAAATGACGGAAGAATGTGCAGTAGAAGTACTGGCCAGACTGCGCTCACTGGGTAGTTCAAGGCAGAATAGTTGCTAATTAGTTTTTAAGAATAAATCCCAATGTATCTATCATAAATCTGGCTGAACTGCAGAAACAATGCTTTTATCTAAAGAAGACACTCATTTTTAAACCTATTTCATCTGTTTTATTGTAATATACTAGAATTTATGTATTTATTGTGTATGTATTTCTTTTTAATATGTGTAAGTCTCATGTAAATGGATATAAATATGATTTTTAAAAAAATTAAAGCTATGGTACATGGGGTCTTAGTGCAAACACTTGACAATACAGTGTAAACAATACTGTTTGTATCTTTCCATTCCACCATTTTTACAGTTTTGAATTGTAGCAAAGTAAATTGGATATGTCTAGCAGAATTCTTAGATGCTTCAACATGTTCCTACTTTTTAAAGAAGCCTGTCAAAATTTAAAGCTCAACACCTGCCTCTGATGATGTACAATAGAAAGATTTAAACATGGAACTTGAGCCAAAAATGGACCTATAAAGGCAAAACAGAATTGTTATATATACTTGTAGAAAAGCACTGTGATGGCTCTCCTTTTTAAAATCAACATGAAGAAAAAACTGTTTGCAAGAGTCAAAAACACAGGAAATTAAAGAGCAAGAGAGAGAGAGAGAGAGAGAGAGAGAGAGAGACATTCACTTCAATACTACTTATGGACCAAGATGCAGCTAGTTTTGCTAGGCATCACTTTTTTCCTTTCAAATTCTTTACATACCAGCCAACACTGGTCTAAAAAATAACATCAAGGGAAAATAAATCTAACCTTCAAGTTTTCAGTTGTTTAAAAATGCCCTCCATTTCCTCATAATAATAGGGCATTAGACAGCTGTTTGCCTAATGTTACACTTTTATCCAAGATGGCCTTGCTGAGACTTCACTGAAGTCATTTATCAGCGGAAATAACTGAAAGACAGAACAGTTACTATATAATGTATAAAAGTTTAGATGAGAAAATATTATCTGCTGTGGCTTTATTTGGTGGTGTTATTGATGTTTATTCTTTGTTTATATGGGAAGTTTCAAAGTAAGACCTATTTAAAAATGTAATTTACCTACTATTTGCTAATCTCCCACTGCCTGATCCTAGCTTAAGACCTGTCTTTTGGTTATTCCTTTCAGCAGGCTGATCGGCAAAACATCTGCACGTACATTTGTTTTACTGAGTATTTTTTAAATTTATTTAAACAGACTTCACTTAACCAAATGGTGACAGATTTTTTTTCTCCCCAATTGTCAATAAAAGAAAATCACTACTGTTTTATGTGTTCAGTCTGTGATAGAGCTGCATGCCATAGTTTCCAGTGGAACTTTTAGAGACTAACATCGCTTCAGGGATGACTATAAATGGAACACTTTAGATTAACAAGCAACCAACATGTGTGCTGAAAGACAATAATGCAAACAGCCACAAGATGGTGTACTGAATGTTGTGCTTTATATGACCTTAACAGACCAAAAAGCTGCTAAGTGCACAGTTTCTTATTGATGGACTTTTTACATGGCCACCAAAATATAGCTCAATCCACTGATTTCTACAAACTTTAACTTGCTGTGGCTTTACTTTTGGCAGTTACATTGGGATTTTGAAACGCAGTGCATAGTGTGTCTTAAGGTGCAGTGCAATGCAAGATTAAGGCAGAAAAACATGGCTGGCTGGAGGGATGCTGAGAGTTAGCGGACCTTTTTCCTGTTTAAATGAGTATAATTTCGTACACTTTATGTTCTAAGTGCTTTTTTGAACCACATACACCTGAAACTATTTTTGGAAGAAACGGGACACTCAATTTTATCTTACATTTTATCCTCATCGTGTTTTTTTAAACAGTTTTTAATATAATGAAAGCTGCTATGAAGGATGTTAGTCTGGCATGGACATAAAGAGTGATGCCAAGTGGCAACTGGGGGAGAATTAGAATGCTAGTGGAGTGGCCAGGTGACACTGAAGTGACCCAGTACTGGAAAATACCTGCAATTAAGTAGCGTGGTTCCCTAGGAGTACCTGTCAGGTACATTGGTGCACTGTAAAGTCATCAGTCATTTCTACACTACCAGAGAAACCTGTAGAACAAAGTGGCATTGCTTTTGTAGTTGCATAAGATTCAAGCCACATTGTACAGTCCCTTTGCATAATGTTCACTGTGATATCTTAATAGACAACTTTAAAAGAAGTTGATAGTGCTACTCTTTGAGAGACGAGCTACCTACCAATATGGGAAACCAAGTGAGTCACACTTAAGGTAAAGGTTTCCCCTTGACATTAAGTCCAGTCATGCCTGACTCTAGGGGGCGGTGCTCATCTCCGTTTCCTAGCCGAGGGAGCCAGCATTTGTCCGCAGACAGTCTCCGTGGTCATATGGCCGGCATGACTAAACACCAAAGTGCACGGCATGCTGTTACCTGCCCACCAAAGTGGTACCTTTTTATCTACTTGCATTTGCATGCTTTTGAACTGCAAGGTTGGCAGGAGCTGGGACGGAGCAACGGGAACTCACCCCGTTGTGCAGCTTCGAACCAGCAACCTTTCGATCAACCAGCCCAGCAGCACAGTGGTTTAAACCACTGTGCCACCTGGAGTCCTGAGTCACACTTAGACCTTGTTAAAATCAATGGAACTTAAGTTAGTCATATCTAATTTTTCACCTTGTTTTGCATTGGAGCAAAGCATGGTTTGGGTCTTTATCCAGCATAAGATATCTAAAAACACCAGAGTGCTAGTCATAGCTGCTCAGACATTAATCCCATTGAATTTTCTTAAAGTTAAAAGGATATCAGATTGCAACCTTAATCTTTGCTGAGTTGTTGCCTCCATTTGCTTGTTTTGAAATACCTCATCTCAGAACAGAATTAAGGCTACTAAGAACAACATCAATTCAAATTGAACAAGTAGTTACATTACACAGATTTAACTTTCAGAAGCCTACTCTAGCTAGAACTTAACATTTCCAACAGGAGTTTCGTTTTTATTTCCACTGCGGTCAAACCCCAGTGGCTACAATCCTGCTCTGTTTAGGCAGAGCACTAACTTTTTAGCTTAGAGGAGAAAAACTGTGGCCTCATTAGTCTGCAATTCTGCTCTAGATGCATGGCTGTTTTCTGTTTTGCTTTCTTCTGCACAGAAAAAGGTGCCTTGATCACCTTCAAGGTACTTCTGCAAAGCAACTGGCTTTCCTCCCTTCTTTTTCTATGTTCTAGCTGTGCTATTTGGGGTTGACACAGGGAGAAAGAGGTGAGAAATAGAACAGGAACAGAGAAGGAGCAAGATGCATTTCCCCAGAGCACATACTTCAGACTTCCATTGTGCGGCAGGCCAATCCTGCACTTGCCTTTTGATTAAAACTGAGTTACCAAAAAAAAAAAAACAGAAAGGCTGGCACCACCCACAGCATAGCACCCTGCCCCTGTACTAATCATTGCTTAATGCTAGAGGATGAAGCCTTTGGCCCTCAAGGCTCCCCTTCCTTTTTAACCCTTTTTTAAAACTATGGCTACAAATCTAACCCTGATTTACAGGCAATAAATCCCACTGAAGGGCTTATTTATTTATTTATTTATTTTATTAAAACATTTTTATGCCGCCCCATTCGCCGAAGCCTCGGGGCGGCTTACAAGTTATTTACGTATTGCAAAGTAAGTGATTGGGACTTGTTGTGCTTCATCGTAGGATCCCCTCCCTTTATTCTACAGGCCTTAATAGCGTCTCATTTCCTCTCCTTCCACCCTGCAGGAACTGCACACAGTTATATATGCAGGGCAGCATGACAAACCATTATGGAAAATGCTGCAGGCACTACAGTCAGTAACAGAGGCACTCAGTGCAGATTATGCATGTGGCCGGGCATGGGAACTATGTGAAAAGGACCCCTTTCATTTCAGAACTAGTCACAAGACATCACGAATAACACTGTGAATACTGCTGTATAATCCATTCAGCAGGAAAACCAGAAAGACTCACGCTTCAAGAAGCTGCACTTACATTTCATTTAGTTTTGTCATGAAAATATCAGCACTGATAAACTTGCATCACTAACTTAAAAGTCAAATTCAAAATTTAGACAAAGTTAATTGTGTCGCATGTTTTTAAATATTGCCAATTCCTGGAGTTAGTCTATTTTTTGGCACTAGGGGGCAACCTAAAAGTTAGAAATCTGCCTGAGTGTTAGGGTGTTTTTGGAAAAGGTGTGTTCTAATTGAATATCTGAAGAACAACTATATACTGCCATTTATCATGGGGACATTTACAACCATCCAAATTGCTGGTTGTTTGAGGAGAATGTTTATCATATCCTTGCTTCCCAGATATCTGTTGAATAATGTGAACATAGTAAAAATTTCCTCATTATGTTGGTGACTGAACGTCAAAGACAAAAGATGACCTATGTAAAAATTAGCATATACAGAAAGGCATTCTCACTGACGGGAAATATAATTATTCCATATAAGCTATGGTAAACTTACCTGTGGAAAAATGTAATACTTAACTACAGAATGCTTAAACATAAGGTGATTCACAAAAATGGCATCACATAATTCCTAACAGCACAGACACTCTGCTAGTTTTCACTTCATGTAACATTTACTGTCAAGTACAAAACAAACAAAAATATCTGGCTGCTAGATAAACCAGAAAAGTGCCCAGCCAGAACCATCATCCTTTTGCAGGCTGGAATTAAGGGTTCTTGCAAGCCCAATTTGACTTGGGTAATCCTGAAAGGGGTTTTACTCACATGATTTGAGGCTGCTATTTTCAAGATAAGGTGTCCTTCTCAGGTACTCACCCCATTCCTGATCAGAAGAACTCCATCCTACATACATTATTTCCCAAAGAGAACGAAAGCAAAATTTGTAAAGCCTGTTCAGCACTAGGACTAATCTAAGTAAATCAGCTGAGCTGCTTGAAAAGGTTCCTTGTGAGCATGACTCTATGACAGCATGAGCACTTTTTTTAAGGACATGAATTACGTCTCACAATGAGATTGATGTGTTTAATTTTGGCAAGGTATGAAGCATCTTCTGCTCTATATTTATAGGTAAGTTTGGACCAGCATAAAAGTGGCACATTCTCCATTCTGTTTACACTGTTTTAAAAGTGATCTGAATATTGATCATAAGAATTTACTTCAACACTCCAGTATTATTTACTTGCCAATGAGATTAGAAAAACTCAGTCAGACTTTTGCAGAAATCAAACTAGTCTCATGTTATTAGACCTGCAAGATAACCTTGGCCTAAATAAATGCAGTAAGTATTCCACTTTTACTCAGTGACTTTGAACAGTTATTTTAACTTCATCTTCAGCACTTCTTCTACGTGTTTGAACACAGCAGGGTCTTCAATGGTTGGACTTATCTGAGGAAATAAGAACAAGAAGTCAAAATACCTGATTGTTAGCTACTGTACAATTGACTTTGCCTAGTTTTGTTGAAATCATACAAAACTCACTATTTGCCCATCAAAACCAATATGGCATACACTCTACACATGGCACTGAAAGCAGAATTTTGTAGCTACCTCCTTATCATAAACCAAAATGGTTCAATGTGGAAATGGATGGAGATGAATGTGACAAAAATGGGGTACTGGGTGCTGGAAAGTGTATCTGCCATTCTAAAGGCACTTCGTGAACCAGGGATGTTTGGCTACACTTATGTGCCTGCTATGGGGTGGTAAATTGTTGTATTTCAGGAGCTGACACAACGGGACTATGTTTCTTCTCACGGGATATGGCTCCCAAGTTAAAGCCATGTAAATGCCACTCCGTACTCCTTTGATGCTAAGGCATGACATTAGGTGGGGCATTAAATGAAGCTGCAGACAGCACTATATAAAAGCAAAATACTGTGTGTGTTCATTGCATATATTATGCATGGCAGTCATTAAAAAATCTTGATATGCACCTCGTATGGCTTGCTGTTCACCAGTGAAGAAAGAGCAGAGCGTGGTATCTTGCCAGAACGAGTTTTCGGGATCTGTTTCACAAATACTGCTTTCCGGAATGCTGCCACAGGGCCAATATTTTCTCTAACCCTTTTCACAATCTCTTCCAAAAGCTTTTCTTCTTCAATATCCACTCCTGACAAGGAATGTAAAAGCACAATTTTCATAAGAGATTTTATTCTATTGTATGGTTACAGTTCTGTTAGATGCCCAAGGTCAAGTCAAGATTTAAATATGAAATAAATCATGTTCGTGCTCCTGACCCAAAGTTAGCTTTGGCTTTGTACACAGAACATTGCTCACCATTCCTCAGGACACATAATGCTAGTGGGACATGGCCTTTTAAGGAATCCTCCTGGCCGACAACAGCACAATCTGCCACAGCACTATGGGAGAGAACCGCCTGATGGGAGAACAGGAAAAAGACATCAGTGAACAAATCTGCATATGCACATTCATTATCAATCCATGGTATTTGAAGATCAAGACATAATCTTTCACCCAATGTGAGGGAAACTTTCAGACAGACAATGGAAACAAATGCCCAGGTTATCTTCCTTTAATATTAATGATGTCTTAAAAGTTAGTATCCTAAGACCTCATGCCATGGTGCATTTCTTGAAAAACTCTAGATGTAGGATGGATTTCTTGAAAGGCAGCATGCATTCATCTATGGTGACTGATGTTGTCTATGCTAACTCAGCACTTCTAGTTTTTGACCTGTATGCTCTTGATATGCTCTTTTATACTTACCCTACAATCTCATGTAACCAGCTTTCCATATTTATGTAAGTGCTAAATGTAAATGATGTGGTGCCTATTCAATGGCATACAGACTGTAACACTTCAGCCAATCATTTAAGTGTAATAGTCTATAATAATCTAGCAAAAATGCATTGGACCATTTACATCGGGCACCAACCAACACCTTCTGTGCAAATGCAGTATTTCAAATTATGACTTTGTATCAGCCTTTCAACCAGTAACACGCTGCATAAACCACAGCCATATCTATCCTGCAAAACATTTTCACACAAAGCAAAGTGGTCAGGTTGACTTATGTTTCATTGTTTCATGAGTCTGCACTGGGAGTAATAATACACAGAGAACTCTTAAATGGAGATTAAACTATCTCTTAATGTCACAGTTAAAACAGGAAAGACAAAGAATCAATACATTATTTAAAAGTGCAGCAACTTTATCAGGCATTCAGCAAAGCAATCAATTGCTACCCACTATTTAGTAAACAAACAATGGGGATTAAACAGCTCTTTTCAACAATACAAGGGAGACATCACTGCAGTGAAGTATGAACAACTGGTGAAACAAGAAATTGAGTCCAATTTCTCCTAAAAGCTAAGACAGAACGATTATGCAGATTCATTTTACCTGTGCCTCACACCAGTTTGTCAGGATGAAGCTGCTATAAATAAGATGCCTTCTCTCAAGCAGAAAAGAGAAGGTTTGAGCAAGTTTCCTAACACTTTTTTTAAATTCTACAGTTCCCAATATTCCTAACACTTCCTATCTCTGCTTTGGGCCAAAAGAATAACAGAGCACAGAGTTCCAAATAGGCTTCCTAAGGTTCAACACTGTCAGAAAATGAAGAGAATTGAGGCCTCTATCAAATAGTATTTAGGTAAGGTTAAAGCCCAATACATATAAAATTGTGAAGTTGTGTAGGTACCTGGGAGGGTGGGAGAGCACTTAGTGTGTGACCTGGTTCCCATGTGTATGGATATTGCAACTATCCACATAGCCACCAAATATGGGAAGAAGCTGCCATTAATTCTGTCCACTTGGGCAGACCATAAGGATCTTACAGTGCAAGGGAAGGGTAAAGCAGACATTGTATGCCCAAGAAACAAATTCTTCCCTGCTCCTGAGGAAACCTACTTCTGATTTATATACAGCTCACCATATTTAAAAAGATTTTCCAATTTGCATAGTTAACAGCTGGCAAAACCTCATTGTAACAGCCATGGTCTGCCACCTTCCTCATCTTGCAGGCCTGGTCTTAGCACACAGCATCCTTGGGAAGCTGCCAGAAGCCAGCATACTACCTGCTGCCTCTACTGGCCCTCCTTGTAAACTTTTATTTTCCTTCAGCATTCCACTTGGCACCACCAGACTATTATACCAGGGAGCCATTTCACAAATAGCAATGTGAGTGTTTGTGAAGCACACCCAAGTGCTCATCGAATAAGTACCCCCAGATAAGTCTGTGCATAGGACCGTGTCCACCAGTCACCCCCAGATCTTGGTCTCTTGTCTTCATCCTTTTCTGATTTTTGGTTTGCGTTCTCATAGTTCTTGGTTTCTGTGAGTTTATTACTTGCAAGTTCGACAAATGAGAAAAGCTTTGATCCTTATGGTCTGCACATGTTTTCCTTTGATACTATCCTTTCCTTTTCCTTCTACTTATTGGTTGGTCATATTCTTAATTATCTCTTTGTTGTATTTTTTCAAGTCTTCTAATGCTCCCTTGTCTTCTCTCAGAACACCATTTAAGTTTATTCTCTCTCAAATACTTATTTTCTTTTTTCTTTTTACTAATTCTTAGTGATAGGTTCCGCCTCTTTTCTGCTTGATTCTTGTTTGCTGTTCCTATGGAACCTAACACAGATATTTTTGGTCTTCCTTAAAAGTTAGGTTTTATTTCCCACACTTGATTTGTTTTCCAGGTCAGTCATAGCTTTCTTTTCAACTAAACCTCTCTCCTTATATAGCATGGACTATAGCATTATTCATTTAAAAAATATAACCGGTTCTCTCCTCTTTCTGCTGTTCCTAGCTAAGTATTCTTCCTGGTTAATCTCTTATTCCACTTCTACTCATCATTTTTATTACGTTATTCATTGCTTAGTCCTTATTCTCTGTTCTTGACCATTATTAGTTCTTTCTCCCATCCACAACTTCCCTTTATTAGAGCAGCTTATATATATTCATGATATCTTTCTGATCATGTTCTCTTGCTCATCATGCATTACAGTTTTATGGTTTGCTTTTCTTTATCCTTTTCTTCATTCTCGCCCTCTTCAAAGTCAAGTATATGTTTCTTCAATATTGTTCCTTAATTTATTAAAATCAGATTATTCGCTTTCTATTCTTCTGCTCTGTGTATTTTAAAGTCTTTCCTGTGGTTAATGTCTTCTAAAAACATTTTGCTGGATCCTTTGTCAGATAACCACATAGTTTTTCTTTCTTTTGTGTTAAGAGCATCGTGCATTTTCTCAGTGCGGTGGGTTCAGATTTGAGCATGCTTGGAATAGACCCATTAAAATCACTGAGGTTAAAATAAACTTGACAAACTTGTATCAGTGATTTTATACGGCCCAATAGCCAAAGATCTCTAGGCAGTTCACAAAAATTACAACTCAAAAATATAGAAACACAATATAACAAAAACATAAAAATTAAAAAAAAAACAGCAGATAACAAAGTAAACAGGTTTGCTCTTAGCACGTGCCTTGATTATCTTTAGGCCAATTCACTGTCTGATCATTTTAATGTTTTTAATTCATTTAATTGTCTACTTAACTTTCTCAGTAGGCACCATTTGTTTTTTAAAGATTATCATTGACACTGCCGATCCTTCTCTTTTTGTTTGCTTACCTAGTAATGATTTATCTGGTTAACTGGTTTTGTTTTTTCTTGGCTTTATCTGTCATTCTTTACTCATATATATTAAATTGCATATTGTTGTTGTTATCAGCTTTTAGGTGCCTTTCAGTTCTTGATTACCTTCAGGTTATTTTGCATCTTTGACTTCTTGATTGCCATATCCTATGATTATCGCCTACAAAGTCCTCTATGGCTTGGGATCGGGCTGCCAAAAAGATTATCTTCTCTCGTATAGAACTATTCAGGTATTAAGATATTTGGGAGAAGCCCTTCTTTTGATGCTACCTCTACATTCAGAGGCATGTTTGGTGATGATGAGAGGGGGCCTCCCTAGAGGTCAATCCCAGAATGGAATTCCTTGCTACGGGAATTTCTTGTCATACTAGCAGCAGGCAGAGACCTCTTGATTTGCACAAGCCTTTGGCATGTAAATGAAGCTATTGGCTCAGTGACTTTTTCTGCAGTTGTTTTTTTAAGTTTTAATACAATGCTTTTATTAATTAAATGAAGTTGTATTTATGACTTTATATCTCCCTGAGTGCCAGTTTTCTTGGTGAGAGGATATCGATCAAATAAATAAATAGCTATTTCTTTAGGACCAATTATCATTTTTACGCAAACAATTCTCAGTTGCATGTTTCTGTTCTAATTAACTTAATTTTTAAAAACTTTCTGCTTGCTTATCTGTTCCTGGATGGATACTTTTTTTCCCTTAAGCTTAATCAAAAATAGTCTATTATTTTTCTTCCTCGTTGAGTTGATGGTATCATAGCATCTTCTGCCTGAAATCTAGATTATCCTATGTGAGTCTACCCTTCTCTTGTTATATTTGTTCTGTTGTCAAATGTAGCAATAGTAACATCTAAAAAAGAGAAAGTGTTTCTATTGACTTATCTCATACTTTGATTTTTACCTTTCTTGTTTATTCTCATTATTTACTTGTACTTTCATGTCTCCTCATAGGCCTTTTAATTCAATTTTTCAATCAGTCTTTCAAATAATTCTATCTGCTTTGAAGTATGGTCATATTACTTCTTCATTGCTTTCTATTCATTAGTTACTCTGCCTTTTCCTTATTCAATCTAAGAAGTTATTAATTTTTAGGTAGAACCATTGTTTGGTGGTCCTCCTTTACTTTCATGTTGTTATTCTTTTCATTCTTTGCAGATAAGTCAGTCAGTTTAGAGGCGATTCCTTGAAATTGAGAAGTCACTGATGTGGGCTGTGGACCACTTAAGCTACTTTCAAAAAGCTACTGCACTAGAATATATCTTCATAATACTTTATTGCAGTATTTTTAAATAATATCCTGTTGCTTTCTCCACTGTTAACAATGCTGGGCAAGAACTGGAGCAACACAGAATGTTCCTGTCCATTACATGAACTTGTCCTTGAAGCCCTTTTCAAGAAGCCATATTCCACTGCAGTCTGAATAGTAGCTGGAGTTGTTTACCTCCTCAATTGCCCCAGCTGAAATCCTGTGACCTGCAACATTGATGACATCATCCACTCGAGACATGACATACAAATAGCCATCTTCATCCATGTAACCGGCATCCATCGTATCATAGTACCCCTGAGAATGAATTAAAAATACTTCAGGATATTAAACATGTCAGTAATATTTTCTTCCTATTTTAAATAATTCAGTCACCTCCAATGTGCACAACTCTTGCCATAATCCCATCTGCAGCACTAATCTAAAATAATCTGGACTTTATGGTGCCCATGTGGAGCCTGAAGCAGTGGTTTCTGTGCAATGTGACAATGAACATACAGAGCAGCTCATTGTGTGCATAGTTTGCCTTGCATGTTGCCATCTCGAGATCAGCTCTGAACATTCCAGGAGGAGGAAACTGCCCTTTCGTCTAGTTGGGACATGAGGAAGGGTGACGCAGAGGCAGATTTGGGGGGCACTGGATCTCTTACATTATATTAGACTGCACAGATGGACAAGCGAGAATGTTTATTTAGCAGTAAGAAACAGCTGTATTCTACTATGAGATCAGTGAGATAATTTAGTTTGAAAAGAGAGAAGTTTAGCAAACATTGAACTTACTCAGTAAACTTTAAAAGTTCAGGAATATAAAACATTTCCACAAAGCTAGGCAAAATTTGGAACTCTAAATTTCAACATTGCAATGTATGGCTGTGAAAGTTGGACCATAAAGAAGGCTGAGCACCGAAGAACTGAGGCCTTTGAATTGTGGTGCTGGAGAAGGAGACTCCAGCGACTCCCTTGGACCACAAGGCAATCAAACCAGTCAATCCTAGAGGAGATCAACCCTGACGGCTCTTTAGAAGGCCAGATACTGAAAATGAAACTCAAATACTTTGGCCACCTAATGAGAAGGAAGGACTCCCTGGAGAAGAGCCCAATGCTGGGAACAATTTACGGCAAAAAAAGAAGGGGACGGCAGAGAATGAGTGGCTAGATGGAGTCATGGAAGGAATCAGCATGAGCTTGGGTGGACTCTGGGGGATGGTGGAGGACAGGAAGGCCTGGAGGAATGTTTTCCATGGGGCCACGATGGGTCGGACACGACTTCGTGACTTAACAACAACAACAAAATTCAACAGGGAGTACACAAGGACAGAAAGCTGCAATTCAGCACTGCCACAGCCATTTTAGCAGACATTTGGGCATTTTGCTGCTGCCACCACACCACTGACATTTGATGGTAATGTCCCCAACAATGCATGCAGACCCCCAACAGTGATTGGGGGGGGGGAGTCCTCCAAGTTGCCTAGATTTTCTGTAGGCAATTCTGCACTAAAGAGAAGAATAGAGGAACCTGCCCTGTAGGTGCTGGACCCTTTGTCCATCCAGTGGCTTCACGGGGTTTCAGGCCGGGTTTTTTCCCAGCCCTGCCTGTCAGCCCCATCTACTTCACAGGGCGGTAGTTGTGAGAATAAAATGGAACATGTAAGCCACTTGGGGTTCCTTGCAAGAGAAAAAAACGGTAGGCTATAAATACAATTACTGATAACATCTGGAGGCATTGGGGACTGAATCTGGGACTGCTTATATGCAAAGCATGTGCTTTACTATAGATCTCTGATCCCTCCCTATAGAGGAACAAATAAAAGAGTAATAGGGAATACATGTTTATCTATATGGAGTAAGAGAAAAAGTATGGCTTCTGGGCAAGACTTTTATGGTGCCACACTGTGCCTCATTCACAGAATTTTATGGACAAGCTCCAGGCATTGTTCTCCAGTCACAACCCTCCCCTGTTTTCCCACTGCTTTTATCATCTTTCCTCTGACTGTAGCAAAGACATGAAGCAGAAAAATATAGCTGCACAATGTCTTTTGATTGGTATCTTTAGTAGTGCTCCATCTGGAAGCATTTGCAGAAGTAATTTCTTATATGTTTAATTCACTTACTGGGTATTTTTGGAAATATAATTCCTTGTACAGCTCCTCATTTTTCCAAAGATCCAGAAACGCTCCTGGAGGCAAAGGCAACCTGGTGTTTTTCCCCAAAAAAGATAAAATGGTGAGAGCAAAAGGTTAACAGAAATAAAATGCAAAGAAAACGTGTAAGAATATGATAAGCATACAAGAAAGGAATTTTATTTTGGTACAAATTTAGAAACCAACACATACAAGTATATTTTTAGTAAACATGAGGCTTCATTAGCCAGCTGTGTTAGTGTAAAAGGGCAGTTTTCAAGAGACTGGATTCAAGACTGGATGCCTTCTGTGAACAGAAATGTTCCTCTCACAGAAAAGGCCTCTGGGCAATTTTCAGGGAGTCCCCACCCCACCCCACAACCCACTCCATCCAGATCGTCTACCTAATTTTCAGGGAGCTGCCACAGTGAGAAAGGTCTGCTGTCACACCCCAGCTTCACATGGCTAAATCTGGACCAAGGTTAACCTGTAATTCTTGAGATGATCTACGCTAGAACTGTAACCAGTACTTCAGAATATTTGCTGCTCAGTTCAGGAAATGGCCACAATATGCTCAGCAGATACTGGCATTTATTTTATTCCTTCTTACAGCAACAAAAACAGAGCCAGGGAGGAAACCTGATTTTAAACTCCACTGGTTAAATCAATGGATGCACAAATTATAGGCATTCTTCAAAGTGAAGACACTCTTATGTCAAATCAAAGGAACAATCAGTCTGCTAATCCTGAAGATTTCCTTTTAGCATGGAAGGCTTTCTTTTGCACAAAAATTAATGCATGCTGAGATAACATCCTACAACTCCAAGAATTCCCAAGGCAGCATAGTAATCCTCAAAAGTTCAATCTTCAATCTTTTTTTCTCACTGAACCTTTACTTTTAAAGATGTAAAGTATTCAACGTATCAGAACTGACCCTAAATTGGAAGCAGAGTGTTATAAAATTGAAAGAACTAAGAATAAGTATATTTCAAGTTAATTTAAACTATGATTCTGGGTCACTTTGTGTGAAAAAATGTATGAGAAACGTGTGGCCAGATTTGACCTTAACACTAAGGCACAGTATGGTTTGTCAAAATCAGCACAGGTTATTCACCACCCTGGCTGGGTTCAAATAACACAACAAACAACCCTTGGCTTATAAACTACCACAGCTTCCCGTGTAGCAAGAACCCAGTCACTGGACTGGTTCTTACAGTAAACTATCATGGTAATTCAATCACTATGATAGGTTGTTAAGTGCCAAGTGTCAACAGTGAGTCCAATGTTCAACTGAGCCCACTGTGGGTGCTTTGCTTCTTCCTCCCCTTCCCTCTCATGTCTTCCGGCAGTGTCCCAGGGAGCACTGTGGGAAGAAGCGAGGCTCTTCCATTTGACAGCTGCCATTACAATCACCTTGCTGCAGCTGTCAGATCTCCCCACTATGAAAGCAAGGCTCATGCCCAGGAGTGCAACTGCGAGGACAGGAGAACTAGAGAGTAAGGGCACCTTCTTCACTCCATACTGCTGCCCTGTTTTCAGGTGAGCATCACCAGAAAACTGGCTGCTATTGCTTGCCTAAAAGGCTTACTCTCAAGCAGGAGGTAGCAAGGGGGTCCGATCTGCTTGGGGCTGCTGTCAAAAAAACATGGCAAACCTGCAAGATCACCAGTCCCCTCTTCCACTCTCAGGCAGGAGGCAGTGAGGGCAGATCTACTCAGAAGCACTGCTCTGAAAATGGGTCAGCTCTGCCAAGCCAATCATCAGTTCTACTCTCAAGCAGCAGGGGGCTGTGAGGAAGCGCAATCTGCTGCTCTTGTCAAACAGCTCGCTAGTTTTGGGCCTTGACTTGCCCCAGTTTGGACAACACAACAATGAATCATGGTACAATCAACCCTCAGACAAACTACTGTGACTTAATGTGGTTGACAAGTATTATGAGCCACAGTGGTCAATCACCACAGCTGGATTCCCACAACACAGTGAACACCCAACCATAACAAGCAGGAGCTGGTTGTTGTATCATGTGAACCCAGTCATTGGCCAGGTTCACACAACACAAGAAACCATGGTGAAATCTTACCATATGTCTGTGTGTCATTCAGACCCGTTTCAGGAGTTCCTGTGCTTTGGATTAGCTTTTTGAAATGATAAGAGATGATCGACTGCCTGTTCTAAAATTTCCATGCTCCACAGCAGCCTTTCCAGCTGTCCAGACTTGGGATTGCCATTTTACCATTGTTGCTTTGGAAACACCCCGACCACAGAACTGGCCAATTCTAGCATTCAGCCTTTACTCCCTAGCAACTAATACATCATTTCTTGCTTTAGTCTCATTGGAAAAGCAGTATGTCTGTCTCCTCATTTAGTTTTAGAAACGGGGGGGGGGGGGGTGAAAATACATGGAAGGAAAAGGGGTGCATCATGGGGGAGACATCCTGTGTACCAGAAACTGTGTCAAAACCCATCCCCACTAACTATGGTTTGTTAACCAGCTATAAACCCAACTAGAATCCTAGAATCCATGGTCCATTGTTGCTGAATGAAGTCCAGCTTGGTTAAACCATGGCTTGTTGTGATTTCTGAACCAAAAGGCATGGGTTATCCCTGTCTAGTCTGCACTGCTGTCCATGCTTACAGAGGCAGACAGCAAGAGTAGTCTGAAAGTGAAACTACCTGGAAGGCTGGCAAAATGGTTGGGAGAGAGATAGGAAAAACAAGCTGTGGTTTATTTATAGATCTGCAAAGCAATTCATAGCTAAGGCAACAAACAATGTCTAATATAAATAAACCTTTAGTGTTTGTGCAAGTGCAGCCATTGAATTGCAAATGTAATTTTTTTAAAAAGAATGTAGCTAAAAGTTTTCATGATGCATTCATTTATACTTCTTAATCCTTTCACTAGGAGTCACATGCATCTCTAAATTCAAAAGGCTGTTAATGTCTAAATACTTTCAGTAGCTATAATTTACAAAAGATTTCTCTTTAATACAAAGACTCTATTGTGCTTTGTCCACATAACATTTTATTTATTTATTTATTTATTTATTTATTTATTTATTTATTTGGGATTCTTATATGCCACCCCATTCACATAATCTAGATGCATACCTCAAATAAGCAACTATACAGGATGTCACTGAAAGTAGGTAAACAGATTGGCATGCACATAGGTGGATTCAGAACCAATGAACCATAGGTTCATGCCCTTTTGTATGCATCTCTGCATTTCTATCATTATGCCCTATAACTAGATTTTCCAGGAATAAAACTGGTGTAGGGATGGCAAACTCAACCCTTGACTACCCGGTGAATTTGACCAAAGTTTGCCTGGAAATGCTGAGCTAGACAATTACCCTTGTGGCTCCACAGCAGTTTACTATCTTTTGATGCTGGGATGCATCAGCCAAATATATGGCCACTTCAACTATATCCCCAGTACTCCTACGATACTCACAGGACCTACATTCTATGCAAATGTACTAGCTTCAGAAATGCCCCCTAAGAGGCATTTGAAGTTATTCCTTGTGTCTTGCTTCCCCACAGCACTTCTCTGAAAAGCTAAAGCAACTGAATATGCTAACATTAAATGAAGTATTCCCCAACTTGAGTTTTCCACCTTGAATGCATGCTTGTGACAGGAAAGCCATTTTGGTGAATATTTTGATACACTAACACAATCCTGTTGGACTACAACTCTGGTCCTGCTCAGCCAGCATCAGGTTGGAGAAAGCTGCACTAGCAATACATCAAACCTGGCCTAATTGATAAGGTGATAGTTAAAGAACACTAAGATCCTGATAGCTATAAAACCCTTTCTTGATCTCATCTGCTTTTAGCTCTTAGCTCTGATGGCCTACCTCAAAGCCTGCTTGTGCATTGACAGGTTCAATTTCATAAATGTTGCTACAGGTGCCCAAACAGTTTCATGCCCAAACTTTTCAAGTGTTGATTTGAAAAAGTCAAGCCACCTACAGTGGAGCAAGTGCCAGTTTTCACATTCTGAGAAAGACTCTCCCACACAGTATCTGAAAAGCTGCTAGCTGTGTTGACTCTCAATAACCTATTAGCCAGGTTCACACCTAAAACTAAGCCAGCCTATGGCCCACTGTTGTGTCAGAACTTACAAACAAGCCATGGCTTGCTAACCAACTATGAACCACAATTAGCACCTGTGATTTGTGGCCCTCATTCAAAGTCTGACTCATTTAAACCATGGCTTGTCTTGATGTCTGAGCCAAGAAGCATGGGTTTTTGCTGTTATCTACCCTGGCATAGCTGAAGATAGCAAGAGCATCCTGAGGCTGAAGTCACTGGCTAACCAGTTAAGGGGAAAAATGGAAAAAATCTGTTTGCTCATCCAAAAGACCATTTGTGGCTAAAGCATAAACCCTGGTTAACATAAACTGCATTTCATTGCTATGTGCAAACACAAATGGCAACAGCTTTGCAGATCAACATTAACACAGAATATTTTAACCAAACTTTTATCCTTTACTGTTAGTTAAAACTGGCATAAAACAGCAGCCCAACAACAGACTCATTTCCGAAAGATGCTCTGAAACATGACTGATCTAGAGATGTGTGCAAGGGCAGGGAGATGTATGTGTATGTGTATATGTATATGTATGCACGTGTGTGTGTGTGTGTGTGTGTGTGTGTGTGTGTGAGAGAGAGAGAGAGAGAGAGAGAGAGAGAGAGAGAGAGAGAGAGAGAGCGCACCATGTTAAAGAGGGTGGCCAAATGTTCAGTGATGAAGCCTCAGCTTAGTAAACTTTGTGGTAGAGCGCATCAGACACAATCCGATCTATTGAGCCAGCAACAAAAAGTGTTCACCTTGAATTCATTAAGACACTCGAATAAATCCATGACTAGGAAGCTCAGTGACTACATAAACTGAGAATTTCCAGATAACTCATCAATATTCTTCAAGCTTTCATCCACAATAGCAAATATGTTGACCTTTGAATTTGTCCCCAAAAAACAGCAAAATCCCCTCTAAAAGCTCTTTGAGGCCAGAAAAAGGAGAAGGAAAGTTGATGTCAACAATGGTACAGCAAGTGTTTGAATGGAAAG